GGTGCAAATCAAAAGTTCGAGGGGGGTACAAATCTAAAGTTTGTCCCCGGGCGCCGGGAAGGGTCGCTACGCCTATGCTACAATCAACAAGAAATTTGGTTCATTTATTTCTTTTGATTTTTTTTTACCCAAAAATGCAAAATGTGATAAAACAAACTACCTTTAAAAAAAATACAATTATTGCTTTTAACAGCATTGGCTATTTTTAAGCAAATGTTTTTTCTTTCACTTTATTTTTTATCGTAGATTTGTAATTTACAGCGACCGACTGGCTTGCCTGCTTATTGCATTGAATCACAATTTTCATCACTGTGATGACGATACAGATTTGCTATAGTAATATTTTTCTGTTTGACATTTCATTCATTGACATTGGTTTGTATGTAAATTATAGTGTCAATCTTTACAACCTGAAAATTTTAACATTAATTAATAGTAATTTAATATCCCGTGATGATTTAAGTTTAAGAGGGATTGAGGAAGACTCTTTTTTCATCAGATATGTACCTTCCAGTGTCAGTTCGATTTTTCAAACTTTCTTGAGAGCTATTATTTTCATTATCTGCTTGTGAGGCCTATACCAGGGGTCGGCAACCTGCGGCTCGCAAGCCGCATGCGGCTCTTTTGATGTCAAAATGCGGCTCTCCAACTCCTTCCACAAATATTAATAATTATATTATGTCATTTCCAAAATTCAAAATAAATAATAGGTCTACACTGTAAAGAAACTCAACTTTAAACAGGATAAAAATACTCATCAGAGAACAGTGAGAATAGGTGCAGTAGGAAGTATACGGACAGCCGCTTGGGCATCAGGCCCAGCCCTTACAGCCGTGCTATTGACAGCCCCGTGGCAACAATCTTTGAAAGGGGAATGTTATTTTATTCAGAATGCATTGCCCTATCGGTCAGTAATCATTAATTTGACCTGAGTGACGTAGTTTTTTTTTAGTTATTAGCTTCCTGCGGTCGAGCTGGGTACTGGACGGTGGGGTATGAGTTTACACTGGGCTCTGTAGGGTGGTGAGAACCAAATGACAGAAGTGACCGATACACACGGTAATCAAACCGATACCCAAGGACAGTTAGTCGGAGTTTGTTGTGTTGAGGCCTGCCTGGATAATGGCAGATAACTCCTGAGCCCTTGATATCCGTAAAGACAGAAAAAAAAGTTAACAGCTTCTTATTAAGTGGATTGTGATAGTTCTATAGTTATATTATTTGATTACTAATTTTATTACTCTGGTGAAACGTGTATGTTTTTATATGAATAAATATTATTTCATATTTAAAGCTATTTATTTTAAATAACAAATCAAATGTATTTACATAATCCAAATCAATTACCATATATTGAAAATAATTTGTGGCTCTGACTGGAAAATTGTGTAAATTGTAACCTTTGGCTCTTCCGTCTCAAAGGGTTGCCGGCCCCTGGCCTATGCCAGGGGTCTATGCCAGGGGTCGGCAACCTGCGGCTCGCGAGCCGCATGCGGCTCTTTTGACGTCTAGATGCGGCTCTCCCGCTCCTTGCACAAATATTAATAGTTATATAATTTCATATTTACTGGACGGTGGGGTACGACTTTACCCTGCGCTCAGGGGGATGGAAGATAAGCCTGGTGAGAACCAAAGGATAGAAGCGAACGATGCAAGTTATTCAAGCCGATCAGTGGCGTAGCTAGGATTTTTGGGCCCCTATGCAAAAAGTGTTAGTGGGCCCCTCAGAGGCGTAGCGACCCTTCCGGCGACCGGGGACAAACTTTCGATTTGCACCCCCCTTCAGACTTTGCACCCCCCCCCCCCTCAGACTTTCGATTTGCACCCCCCCCCCCCCCAGACTTTCGATTTGCACCCCCCTCAAACTTTCGAAAAAGGGCCCCTATTTGCCTTGGGGCCCTATGCCTTGCTTACGCTAGCTTTACGGTAGCTACGTCACTGAAACCGATATACAAGCCAGTTAGTCGGCGTTTGCCGTGTTGAGGCCTGATTGGCTAATGGGAGACACCTCCTGAGCCGGTGATATGCTAAAGAAAAATTAAATAAAAATTAACAGCTTCTAAAGTGGATTGAGATAGTCCTAGAATAATATTATTTGATTACTAACTTTACTATTCTGGCGAAACATGTCTATGTTTTTATATGAATAAATATTGTTTCATATTTTAAGCTATTTATTTTAAATAACAAATCAACGTTATTTACCTAATCCTAATCAAATACCGAATATTGAACTAAAAAATGTTGTGGCTCTTTAAAAACTGGGAAAGATTGTAAATTGTAGCTTTTGGCTCTTGCGTATCAAAGGGTTGCCGACCCCGCCGACCCCTGGCCTATGCGGGCTGCAACAGTGGATACAAAGTACGTGTAAATTTTTTTTTTAAAAGAAAAAAAAATCATTGTTTTCAGCTTTCAAAACAACGTTAACCACAATGCTACTAGCCAATTTTTTTTTTATTTTACGTGTAAATTTATTTATTTTTTTTACGTGTAAATTTTTTTTTTTTTTTTTTTTTTTTTTTTTTTGTCCATTGATTTTCAAGGGATCCAAAATTAATAACATGGGAATAATTCAGAACAAAAAACGTGTAAAGTAGATTAATGTCGCATTCCCAAGTACACATTACCGCATTTTAATTAGAATTTTTGCATATTTACAAAATAATAATTGCTCACTGATCCTGCTTTGCTGTTTTAACTAGATCTAACGGTTTATATTATAAAAAATTAAAAGTAGCACATTTTGACAAGTCATCTTACTAAATTATAATAAACATTTTATGAAATAGAAATAAAGATTGCAATTCATTTTTTTTTAATTTCTGTTGCATTTTAAGTTATTTGTGACAACTATGTAAACATTGTAATAGGTTATCCTTCTTAGTTTATTTATTTTTTGAAATGGGAAGTAACTATTAAATCGTAAAAATCAAAGCATAACTTTCAGCTAAACAAAAGTTTATTTATTATCCAACACATAAGGTTGTCTTCCTGTATGGCCCGTTTTCTACAACTATTTTTTTTTCTCATTTCTAATTCAACGAACCATTTTCAATTCTAATTAAAGAAAATAGCGGTTGTATGTCGCATTGTCCTCAAAACGCTTCATTAAATTAAACACAATCATAGCCCTTAGTCTACCAAATTGGCCGTTTATGAGCTTTGAAGTTAGGAAATATCTTATGTTATGTTAAAATAGCAATCTTAATTTAAGTAAATTAACTATAAGCATTTCAAAAAACATTCCCGTTCTATAAAATTGTATAAAAGCTTATTTGTAGGCTAAATTTTAGAGAATGTGTTATTTGACCGTTGATGAGAATTTTTCGTTTTTTTTTTTTAGTTCTTTTAGTTTTTTAAGTTCTCTTTAAAACTAATTTAAAAACTCTAATTTTCCCCAACTAATTGGAGTCTATTTTCTGCTTTGTTAAACTGTTTATACCTTTTGTTGTCCACTCCCCAACGTTCTAATGCAAATTTACACTAAATGGTGAAACCTCTACCCCCCCCCCCCCCACCCAATTATTAACAAGCACCTCACGTCCTCTATCTTAGTACAAACACCCCTGCCCTTTCCACCTCCTGTATATCTAGCTAGGCAAAGACCTCAAGTGACAGTCTATTGACCTAACTCAGTCCCTTCAGTTGTCCCTAAAGAAATTTTTTTTTAAATTCACTTCAAAACAAACCGATGACTCCGCGTTTTTTCTTCTGTCATGGGTTAAAAATGTCCAGCAGTGGTTCTAAAGTCATATTTTAAATCTGTCCTGCAAAGGTTCTAAAGTCATATTTTAACACTCTCTAGCAGGGGTTCTTAAGTCATGTTTTAACACTGTCCAGCAGAGGTTCTAAAGTCATGTTTTAACACTCTCTAGCAGAGGTTCTAAAGTCATGTTTTAACTCTGTCCTGCAAAGGTTCTAAAGTCATATTTAACACTCTCTAGCAGGGGTTCTTAAGTCATGTTTTAACACTGTCCAGCAGAGGTTCTAACGTCATATGTCCAGCAGGGGTTCTAAAGTCAAGTTTTAACTCTGTCCAGCAGAGGTTTTAAAGTCATGTTTTAACACTCTCTAGCAGGGGTTCTTAAGTCATGTTTTAATACTCTCTAGCAATGGTTCTAAAGTCATATTTTAACACTCTCTAGCAGAGGTTCTAAAGTCATGTTTTAACACTCTCTAACAGAGTTTTTAAAGTCAGGTTTTAACTCTGTCCTGCAGATGTCCTAAAGTCATGTTTTAACTGTCCAGCAGAGGTCCTAAAGTCATGTTTTAACTGTCCAGCAGAGGTCCTAAAGTCATGTTTTAACTCTGTCCAGCAGAGGTTCTAGAAGTTGCTATAATCTGTTGACTGCAACGCAGTCGATTCGTCCTCGTTTGGGTTCAACATAGCATAGAAAAAGCTGACAAACAATGTTGACCCTTTTGCTAATTATATAAAGTCCCACCGAAATGTAATAAATTGTAGATAGAACTTATGATTTATAAATCGGGAAGTAAACATTTAGAATGCTCTACCTACTGATAATGCAAAAAAATAAAGCATTAACTTTAACACAAAACATAAGCTACATATTTATTTGGACATTAAAAAAAACCTCTTTTTTTATCAAGCAAAATGGCTCCAACAGTTTTTTTTCTATGAGCTTATAAAAGATTTTCAAAATTTAACATAGAAATAGAAAGTACAGTAGATTACGAGAACCCCTGGTAATAAATAAAGGTCCCGGTACGGTCCACTATCTCATACGGCCTTAGGGACACACAGCGCATGCCACGGTAAGGTTTTTTTTTCTCTCTTTCTTGTCTGTCGCGGTCTCACGATCGAAAGTGACCTACAGATTTCTTAAATCTAGCCCAGTTGTTCTGTTCTAGCACCATCTGAACCGATAGTAGGCCTGAGTTTGTTTTTAATTAATTACATTTTTTTTGTTCCACTTGTATTTGAAACAATCGTTCTGGTGTGATTTGTGTTGTGTGTGTGTGCGCTTATCTTGGGCCTCGTCTCATTGATACGCCATTGAATTGAGTGTCGTAGTGTACTGCTGTGTTGTAGGGTATACTTAAATTTTTTACTGCTTAAAACGGGCTACAAATGCAGGTAAAATGAATTAGTTAGCGAATTATACATGCGAATTATTTAAAGTGGCATGGATAAATGTATTGTTGAATGCCAAAGTAGCCAAAACATTTTTAATCTTAAACATGCTAGAATAAATATTTTTAAATCTTCCTTTTATTTAATCAAAATGTAAAGTAGGCTAAACATGGGCAATAACTGCATGCTCATATCCCATAATAGGGGAAATTACATTTATGCTAATTTATAGGCGTGCTTCATTTAGCAATCTAATTATTAAATTAAATTAAATGCTATTGTTTGAAGTCGTTAGTTAAAAAAAACACATTAAAAATGACGGAATATTTGGGAGTGGAGGGGGGTGTTGATCCACATAATAGACGTAAACCTACACATCACGTGATGGCCTACACTAGAATCATATGTCGTTTACCCTACATTTAGGGGCGATTGGGGTCATCCATAAATGACGTCATGCTTTTTTGGACGATTTTTACCTCCCCCTCCCCTCCGTCACACATCGTCACAAAAAGCCAGATTCCCCCCCCCCTAAAATGACGTCACACCTCAGCCTACAACCCCACTCAAAATTGCAGTTGATTTTTCTTAAAACATCGATATTTTTCCAAAATCTTGTCTGAACTCTCTCAACATAGAGTATTTTAATCAATTCCTATTACAATTTATTAAAACAGTTTTCTAAAACGCGAAATAACGGCTAAAATTTCTAACATCGCTTTTTTATAATGCAAAAGTGTGACGTCCCACTATCTGATCCTCCCCCCCCCCCCCTTTCCCCCTCATCACACACCGTCACAAAATTACGGATCCCCCCTCCCCCCCTACGAGTGTGACGTCATTTATGGACGACCCCATAGACTAGACCCTCTTAGACAGATATTGTCTAAGGGTCAGCGTATTGGATAAAGCCATAGATCAGGTCTAGTACCTTCTATAAATATCAGACTAAAAAAAGAAAAGAGGGGGTGGTGGTATCTTGTCCAGGTAATTCCTGTCAAAAAGTTGACCCCTGTCACCAAAAAAAAAATATTTTAAAAAAGAAAATTTGAAAAATCTACTTTGGATTTTATTGAAGAGAGTGAATATGGGACATGAAATAAATAATTCGCACGAAAATGTCTGCATTTTGGTATCTTTAACCCTGACCCTAACCCCAATCCGGCGGATAAGAAGTTGTTTTATGGCGTGCGTAAACATAAATAAATAGGTCACTAATGGCGCGACTCAACTTATCGCCCGCGCACTTTTTATAGCCCAGTGGAAATTAGTCCTAAATTATTTTTAATTAGATGGTTTAATTTTATGGGTGCTCTAGAAGAGAGGAAGACATCAACAGTATATTGATAAAATCTTTAAGATGTATTTGTCATTGTGAAGCATCTTTTAGTTGTCATTTGTGTTAGAAAATGGTAAAGTATATATTGTTAAATATATATTGTTACAACTTTAAAAAAAATATATTTAAAAGCTACTATAATTGTAGCTTTTAATTATTTATTTTTTTAAATTATGAATGATAAACAATACTTTGTATTCTTAACTCAATTTCCTGTGCCTAAGCATATTTTCGTTTTGGAGAACACTAGAAACAGAACTATGTTATCTTTTTGTAGGCGATAGGCAAATGAAGTTCTTATCTGTTTAGCATATAAGGAAAAATACGTTTATTTTTTTCACGACCTCTAGCCCAACACCTTTTAACACTTTCGCGGGAACAGCTGTTGCCCCGGAAGTAGATCTGTATATCATTATTACCTTTCGTTTTCTAAATAAAAGCATCGGGACTTACCAAAACAATTACCTACTGAGCTGTGATGCTGGGAATTTCTTTCGCAAACGGGGGATTTAAGATAAAAGAGTTGCATTTTGATTTACTCTCCGACAGCTTTCACAAGTTTAAGATGGTAAATCAGATTAATTGTATTAACTACTAGATTCTAGATCTAGAAACGACCCAATGTTCAGTGTACAACGTAGATTCTCTAGAATCTAGCTAGATCTAAAATCTAGGTCTAGATCTAGATCTAGATTAGATCTAATCGTAGATTCTAGATCTAGAAATCTAGATCTCTAGATCTACTTTTCTAAATGTCAGATCTAGAAAAGATCTAGATCTAGATCTACGTATTCGTGGTAAACTGATAATGGAGACGTAATCAATGTGAATGTATTGAATGTAATATGTATGTAACCTACTCACTAGGCCTAAATCTACTCACTGAGTCACTCACCACCACTCAGACGAGTACTCATTGAGTACTTGCAGTACTACTTCTCTAGCTGAAACAAGGCCCTATTACTTAGTATTATTTAAAAATGAAAATGTGTTTGTGTGGGTTTGTCTTTTATGCATTATTACAACTTTGATCCAATTGGCATGAAACTTTGAGAAGTGTTGAAAATACTACTAGGGATGTATTGTACTGCAGTAAAAAAATTCAAAGGGGTGCCCAGAAGTAGAAGAATACAGTTGGACTCATTTTCCCAGCAGCTACCTTAGCACATGGGGTCCGTGGGTGTCCTGCACAAGGGTTTCAAGGATATTTTACTAAAGTATACTTGATTCAGCTGTTAAACTGCACCAGGTGCATCTGTTTGCATCCTGGTGGTTAGGTAACCCTGTGTGCTCTGGGCTCCACCATGAACACTATGACACTCCCTCATTATTAAAGAAATCAATTAAGGTACATTCAAGGCATTGATTAAACACTCCCAGAGGTGTCTGGGGAGAAGGGTGCACTAACTTGCGCCCAAACGAAGGTCCAATACAGTACCAGCGCTGCTTACTTTTAAATTTAGAAAACAAGGTCACATATCTATAAATACACGATTGGTAACATGCTGATGAAACTGCTATAAAATATTTTTGTCGCTCTGATATGAAGGACTAGATCGCAGCAACACTTGATGGTTTTAATTTACAGAATGAGAGGAATATGAAACCTTATTATTTTTTTTAAATCATTAGGGCTAGTCACTTGAATAGTCACTACCTGTTAAACCACATCTAGTTTCTTGATCTAACAAAAAATGCTATGTCTGCCTAGATTTCTTCATTTTTTGGGAATTAAGATTTTGTCTGGAGCAACACAACACATTTTGTTATCATTTGACCTGCTAACCTGCTTTGTTTAGTTTAGTTGCTAATTATTTTGCCAAAATTAGATGGTAGCTACTATGTTCATGGCTAGATTCACTTCTACTAGGCCTACTAATAATAATCCCTTACTACAAGCATGTGCGCACGCTTGACATTAATGATCGATAAATTATTATGTGAATTGCAGCTTAATGCATATTAGGCATAATATAAATGTTAAATGCCTTGAGACCTCCATCACTCAATGATTAAATTAAAAGTCATTAAAGCATTAAGAACCCAGGCAGTACCCTAACTAATACAGGACCTTTATTTTAAGGCTAGCAGATAAGTTTATCTTGTTTAGTCTACTATATTATAATCATAATCCAATTAGCTAAAATGCAGTACATTTTTAGTTCGTCACTTGTTGATTATTTGCTTCTTCGTATGAAAATTTGTTTCATAGTTTAGACTTAAGATCTATAAATACCAATAGTACCAGCTACATAAAAACTGGAATCTATTGGCACATGGGTATTGGGCTTGGCTTACATTGTTATATTAATACCAGGTCAACAAAGCCTACCTTATTACTTCAGCCAGATGATAAAGTTGTTTCAGACAAAGAAAAATAAACAAAACAACATACTATCAATCATCTTTAAAAAGGTTAAAGCAAAAACTATCTAGAAGTAATATTAGTAATTGCAGTTAGACAAACTATAACTCATTGTCGCGCTCATTGATCCACGAGTTAACCCCACGTGTAACACTAATCAATAACACTTGGAAGTGTCAGTACACTTCAAGACTAACAATGGTTGCCAAGCAATGGCCACAGAAAATTCATAAGGGAACAGTATGCAATAAAATTGTACGCAAAAGTATAGCCTGATGTGATGTAAAGTAATTACTAGCATAATAATAAAAAAACTTCTTCTACCAGTATTATTATGGCACTGAAGACAGTTATTAATTATTTTTTTTATTGCACAATTCTGATAGTGTACAAAAATGAGATTTTCTTTTAATCCTCTGTATTATAAAAACATCTCCAGTGACATTACTATAAAAATCAATATGTCATGCAAACAGAGCTGGGAAACTATTCTGACACTTTTGCACTAATACATCTAATTAACTAGATCTCTCTTGTCATTAGCAAGTTTTCCATTAATCATCTTCTTACAGTATGAGCGATAGAATTTAATTCAAAACTTGTATAATTACCAATATAAATTAAATAAGGTTGCATCATTTTTGTAGTGTATAAATAGAACTCTATTTTGTTAAGACTAGACCAAAAGTAGTCTTGTTGATTTTTGTAGTGTGTAAATAGAACTCTATTTTATTAAGACTAGACCAAGAGTAGTCTTGTTGATTTTACTCTTTCTGCAAGACATTAACAACTGATCGGAGTATACTTATTTTTTCCCACCAGTTTTTCTATATATTCTTAAATACTTGTATTTTTGTTCTTTTTTTGTAGGCGGGGTTAGCTTTGAGAATTTGTAAACCGGGTCGACTTAGGACCATAATGTCATCCAGTGTGCAATATAGAACAGCTGCTAGCTTCCAGCACGATAAAGCTTACGTCAACGGAAAATGGATAGAAGCCAAATCTAAAAAGACATACGAAGGTATATTTAGGGAGGTGTGAAAGATGGTTAACAATAATTTATTGCGTTAACTAGGTCAGGTGTCACCCGGTGTGGTAACTGAGGGTATCACCCAACCCCATATGTCAACAATTTTGCATTTTCAGTTTGTTGTTGGCCTTAAAATTATGTCACTTGGTAGTGACCACATCCCTACCCCTGCTGCAGGCATTAATAAATAACTAGCCCACATTATTCACTTCTTCTTCTTCTGCGTTCTTAATGATTCATTGAAAACACTAAATTATGCAACGATCACAATCAATGAACTTTCAGCTGGCTAGATTTACTCTTACACTGCAGATCAACAAAGTATTAGGTTTCTTTCGTTTTAATTAGACGAATTAATAAATCAGAAGTTTTAAATCAGCACAGTTAATTAATAAGAAATAAAGTGTTAGTTGAAAGCCCATTAAAAATTATTTTATTTAAAAATTGATTTCTCATTAAATAATCATGATAGATAAAACCCAATTTTGTGTTTGTGTAATTGATTTTACATTGATAACGACCCAATGTTACGAGACAAACATTGTTATATTTTAAAACTTGCACTGGGTTGGGCTACATCATACAACAGTGACAGCTGACACTGACGTCTTGCCGAGAAAATGTCATTCTGGATCAATTATTAATTTATTTTTGTTTCCCATTTTGGTTTAGTGTTAAATAAGGTGGTCAATACTTATACACTTGAGGTAAATAAAAATACGGCAAAAAACGAGGTTTAATTTAATTTAATGGGTTGTCATTTACCATTCTACAACTCTACACAACCAGTTAAAAATGTGGCACGGGACAATGATTATCCAATACAACACCATACTTTTCAGACTGACACCATAATGTACGTGAAGTTTGCACTCACATCACCTTCCCTGGTGGATATTTATAGACTCAAGTGAAAGATTATTCCAAAATTAACTTGTCACACATTGATCTACTGAACTGTTTTCTAGATCACCATGAATTTTTTTTAAAGTGCAGTTTTTTTAGATCTTTTAACTTAAAGATTATGAGTGTACATTTATTGAACTGGTCATGGATAAATTGTCAATCATTTTTTTTTATCCAAAGTATCTGCTTGTAAAATTGTTTTAGTAGGCCAATTAAATTAAAGAAATGATTGTAACTGTTGTAATGTCTCTGACAGGAATAGCACAATCACTTGTTTTTCTTAGTAGTAAAAAAGTAAAGGTAAAGTTCACCCTTTAGACCTAATGATTCTGATGTAGTAAGCCTACTTATGCTCATTAACCTGGGTGTAAGAAGTGATGGCGTGGTCAGCTCTATACCTAGCTGACTTTACTTTCCCTAAGTCGTGGAGACTCAAGTCCGGATTGAGATCTGAACCCAAGACTTTCTGGTTAAAAGTTGAGCCCTCTAGCACCCTACCATGCCATCCCATTATCAGCTAGAACTTGTACTTAAGTTCTCTAAGTATTTAGTACCAGCTGTAACTTTAGTATCATTACAGTTTTTGTTTTGATGATTTACTTATTGACCAGTTGGATGCCCATGATTTAGCCTTATAACCTCTAACCCCAATGATTTAAATACACCTGTAGTGCTGAACCCATCGACTGGAGAAAGTCTGGGATCTGTGCCAGATATGGATCAGGCAGACGTGAAGGACGCCATTAATGTGGCGTACAGAGCCTTTCAGACATGGAAGAAAACCCTCCCCAAGGTCTGGTAGTCTTCACAGTTTTGTTCTCATCATCAGTGTAGTTCTCTCAAGTGTTTAGTTCATAATTGTATCATTTCAGTGTGTAATCCCATCATTTCATTGTATTATTGTATCATTTTATGATTTCATCGTATAATTCTATCATTTCATTGTATGATTGTATCATTTAATTGTATAATTGTATCATTTCACTGTATAATTGTGTCATTTCATTGTTTAATCCTATGATTTCATTGTATTATTTCATCATTCTATGATTTCATTGTATAATTCTATCATTTCATTCTATAATTCTGTCATTTCATTGTATAATTGTATCATTTCAGTGTCTATTTGTATCATTTCATTTCTGTCATTTCATTGTAAAATTTTATTATTACATTGCAAGCCTATAATTGTATCATTTTATGATATAACTAAATCATTTCCTAAAACATTCTAAAATGTAGCCTTCATTATTCCAGGAACGTACAGCTATCCTAAAGAAATGGTATGATCTCTGTCTGGCTAATAAGAAAGAGCTAGCCAAGCTCCTGACATTGGAAAATGTATGTTCATTAATTTTTTCTGGTTGTTGAGATGGAACTCAGATTAGTATTATCAAATTGTTAATTTTACAGTTAAATTGTATGATAAAAACATTTCACATGTCAAATATAAAGTGCTTTTTTTTTACTTGAAAAAAAATACTGTTATCATTTGAAAAATTTAATTAAATCTGTCTTTTAACTTCTGCATTCATTTCGTCAAAATCATTTCATCCTTGGGTTGTAAATAATATTGCCTATCAGCTGTTGCGTGTTTAGAGTTAGCCTACAGATTTGAAGTAATCTCATCTTCATTTCATCTTCATTTCATATTTACAGTTGGCTGTCAAGTGTATAGAGTTTGCCTAGAGTTGTTATGTAATCTCATCTTCATTTCATATTTATGGTTGGCTGTCAAGTGTATAGAGTTTGCCTAGAGTTGTCATGTAATTTCGTCTTCATTTCATATTTATAGTTGGCTGTTAAGTGTATAGAGTTCACCTAGAGTTTTTATAAAATCAAATCTGTCTATTTACAGGGCAAACCTTTAGCAGAGGCCGAGGGGGAGCTGCTGTATGGCGCTGGGTTTCTAGAGTGGTTTGGTGAGGAATGTAGACGGACATACGGGGACATTGTTCCTTCACCCGTAGCCAGCAAGAGGACACTGGTCATCAAACAGCCTATTGGTGTAGCAGGAATGATCACACCGGTGTGGGCTTTAACTTTATTTAGCCTAGAATGCATAACTTTTTATTTATAAATATGGGTATGATTTTGTATTCATACCATCTGGACAGAGAGTTTAAGTTATTGAATAAGACTAAATGTGACCACCCACAACAGATTGAGTTGACAAACATCTAAGGATGTTTTTGAATTTTTTAGTCAGTCTTACTACATTTTATTAATGATTTTGGCAGTGAAAACTGTTTAGGAAATCAAATAGTCCAAAGATAGTAAGCTCTATCCAAATTATAGTTCTAGGAATTTTCAAATTTACAATGTAGCATCTTTAGGCAAAGCATATTAGTTTGCTACTTTTAAAAAACAAAAATTTAAATACTTTAAAGTTTACATATAGCAAAAAATATAAAATAATTTTAAAATAAAATATACTTTAAGTTAATATCTTAACTCTTCTTGTTTGGCTCAAGCTTCAAACAACTTGAGGTGCTAATTTGTGGAGGGGGATCCACAAACATCCTTCACTATTCTTTAGATAGAAACATTGAATAACCCAATTATAAAAGTGAACATAAAATTGTATCTGACAGTGGAATTTCCCAAACGCCATGGTTACGAGAAAGGCTGGGGCGGCCATAGCTGCTGGATGTACCGTTGTCTTGAGACCATCTGAAGACACACCATACTCCGCCCTGGCCCTCTGTGAGGTAAGGATATGTAAGGTTATGTTCGAAGTTTAATGACACCGTACTCAGACTTCTCACAAAACTTTACAATCTCTAGGCATTTTGTGAGCTCTCTGTTTCTAAAATGTGTCGTTCAGGTCATTTAAAATCATCCAAAGTTTATTGTTCTACAACAAAATTTGTCAATTTAAAATATTTTACCTAGATTGAATGACTTTAAGAAACTAAATAATGTATGCATTATAAGTTATGTGAAAATTACTTCTACTTTTAAAATAAATTTTTGATTGGAAAAATAAAAACATCTACTTTGTCTATCCCTAAACCTTTAATTTAAATAACAAATTTATTATGGAGATACAAGCATCTGAGATTTAGAACCCCTGTGAATCCTTATCTGTGAGTGCATATGAGCTGGAAATTTTTGTTTTCTTAATTAAGCTATTAACTTGTATACTATTTGAATGAGATCATGTATTCTCCCTATACTGTTAAAGATGTATTCTCCCTATACTCTTCTTTCTTCTTCTTCGTTCTTAATTATTAGTGTTGAAAGGGATCGAGATTTATCTGCCAGTGGGTTTGAACTCGGGACCTTATTTGAAGTTATCAACCATGAGCTTTTTGCCGACTCGACCACGCCTCCAACACAATTAAGCGTTACGTGTCAACTGGTTATGCGCCATTGAGGCCATTGACTCCGATTTCAGCCTGCTTTTCTTTTTGGATTTGCTTCCATAGCCTTTGTCCAACCAAGAACAAACTACAAGGCAGCAGTTGTTTAATTTTGGAGTTGTCTCTCCTAGAAGAGTGGCTGTCCCCAGCTAACGAGCCTCATCTGCCCGAGGGTTCGAACTCGAGACTTTTCGGTTTAGCAACCATGAGCTTTACCGACTCGACCACGCCAACCCCTCTCCCTATACTGTTAAAGATGTATTCTCCCTATATTGTAAAACATGTACTCCTACTGTACCATGTATTTATAAAACTGTATTGTGTACCCATCTGTTGACAGTTGGCCCAAGTCTCTAACTGTACCATGTATTTATAAAACTGTATTGTGTACCCATCTGTTGACAGTTGGCCCAAGTCTCCCACTGTACCATGTATTTATAAAACTGTATTGTGTACCCATCTGTTGACAGTTGGCCCAAGTCTCCCACTGTACCATGTATTTATAAAACTGTATTGTGTACCCATCTGTTTACAGCTGGCCGAGGAAGCAGGTCTTCCACCAGGTGTCCTGAATGTGGTGACCAGTGGCCGAGGCAATGCTGGACCCATTGGCAAAGAACTGTGTGAGAACCCTCTTGTGTCCAAAATCTCTTTCACTGGATCAACAGCTGTGGGCAAGGTACTGATTTAACGTGGATGCAACTCTGACTTAATCATGAATAGACTAGAGTAGGACTAAACAGATGAGAGTTGACAGGAATAGAAGAAAATAGAGGGTGGTAATATGGGGGGGGGGGGGGGGGGGGGTTACATTGTAAAGTTACATACACCTTGTAACATTAACACTAACAGAAATAGGTTTAAAAATGTGATTTTACATTGTTTCATTTTAAAGTACTATTGCTTTGCTCATTTATTAGTTTTTGTAACTGTTACTATAGAAGAATCATTTCCGAAAACTTATTTGGGATACAAAAACCTCTTATGTCATATGTATAATTTTTAGCAAGGCTTGAAGTAATTGATAATGATTGAGCTAGTTGTAACCTAAATATGTGTTGATGAGTTTTGAATTAATTCATAACAATTAATCTAGTTGTAACCTTGTCATGTTTTGACCTTTGTCATGTTTTGACCCTTGTCATCTTTTGACCCTTGTCATGTTTTGACTCTCATCATGATTTGACCCTTGTCATGTTTTGACCCTTGTCATGTTTTGACCCTTGTCATGATTTGACCCTTGTCATGTTTTGACCCTTGTCATGATTTGACCCTTGTCATGTTTTGACCCTTGTCATGTTTTGACCCTTGTCATGATTTGACCCTTGTCATGATTTGACCCTTGTCATGTTTTGACCCTTGTCATGTTTTGACCCATGTCATGATTTGACAATCAGATCCTGCTAGCCCAATCTGCCAGCACTGTGAAGAAAGTGTCCCTAGAGCTTGGAGGAAACGCCCCCTTCATCGTCTTTGACTCGGCCGATGTGGACAAAGCTGTGGTTGGTGCCATGAGCTCCAAGTTCAGGAACGCTGGACAGGTCAGCATATTTTATTCTGTGTCTGCTCATCATGGGATACCATAATTTTTTATTTATTTTAAAAAAATTGATTACTGTATGCATAATATGTAGAACACTGGCTGGTTGATTGGTAAAATTTACAATTGCTAATTGAAAGTCTTGAGTTCAGATCCTGGGGTCGTGTCAGTAGAATGCTCCTGAGTCAACCCCTAGCTCTGATGAACCTGACTAGTGTTAGGGAAACAGGCGACTGGACATACGACTGACCACACTATCCTCTCGTATGACGCGGTCACTGGAACAGATGAACTCTACTTCATCTGCACCATGTGTCTTGGGGATGAACTGGAAAAGATGATGATAATTCAGAATATGTCCATGTCATATTAAAGAAAATCATCCCTACTGTACTGCTAAGCTTTAACTACATACATTTGATTTATTTATGTTCTGATAGACTTGTGTTTGTGCCAACCGTATTCTGGTCCAAGAAGGCATCTACGACAGGTTTATCCAAGCCCTGGGTAAGGCCATCAAGGCCCAGATCAGAACAGGCGATGGCCTAAATCCTGACACAACGCAAGGCCCACTCATAAACTCCAGGGCCCTGGAAAAGGTCAGTGTTAGTCTTAATGCAGAAAGGGTCAGTGTTAGTGTTAATGTCAGTGTTAGTCTTAAATGTCAGTGTTAGTCTTAATGTCAGTGTTAGTCTTGATGTCAGGGTTAGTCTTGATGTCAGGGTTAGTCTTGATGTCAGGGTTAGTCTTAATGTCAGTGTTAGTCTTATTGCAGAAAAGGTCAGTGTTGGTCTTAATGCAGAAAAGGTCAGTGTTGGTCTTAATGCAGAAAAGGTCAATGTTAGTTTTAATGCAGAAAAGGCAATAACATAATTGTGTGTTTTATCCCAGGAATTTCACCCTGTATTCTGCTAAATGCTGTAGTGATCAATGATAATGTCTGTGTTATATTTCTACATAATCTATCACGAGCTTGTAAAAGAAAAATGTTTATAACTAATTAAATATCATTCATAATAAAGAAGAAAAGTCATTAACAGATTAATAAGTTTAATTGAATAAAAAAAAATGTATAGAGCATTTGGATTAACTTTTAAAATTTATAAAAAAATAGTCTATATTACCTCCCCTATTAATCCTGTTAAAAAAATAATTTGCTGATGTAAATTCCAGAATAACTGGCATTAAATATTTTTCCCTGGAGTCACTATTAAAGCTGTGTAGTAAATAGCAGGATGTTTTTATTTTCAGGTTGACGGCCTCGTGAAAGATGCTGTTAGTCAGGGTGCAAAGGTTATTGTTGGGGGCAGCAAGGATGAGAGGGGAGGCAACTTTTACCAGGCAACTCTTTTAGCCGATGTCTCCACAGAGATGAGGGTCGTGAAAGAAGAGATTTTTGGCCCAGTTGCCGCTGCCATTAGGTCAGTTTAATCTGGATATTTTGCTAGTTACTAGTGTGTTGCTCAGCTACTTCAACATGCATGTGTAGTATTTTTCTATTTAAAACTCATTCGGTTATTCAAATTGACGCGTAATTTTTCCTTGCATAGAAATTATTGAGTTATACAAATTGCTGTGTAATATTTCATAGCTTAAATTTATTGGGTTATACAAATTGCTTTTCTTTCCTGATTTATAAATTGATTGTTTTATACAAATTGATAGGTTGTTTCTTGATAAAAAAATTATTAGATTATAGAAATTGATAGGTATTTTCCTGATAACAAAATTGAGTTTTACAAATTGATGTTTTTTTCCTGATTTATAAATTGATTTTTGTTGTAAAAATTGATATGTTTTTCTTGATAAAAATTGATTGAGTTCTTCAAATTGATGAGCATTATTTTCCTGTCAGGTTTAAAACTGAAGAAGAGGCTATTGAAATAGCTAATGCTACAACAGCAGGTCTTGCCAGTAAGTTTGTTGTGTGTGGTGTTACTGTGCTGACTCTTTGTTGTGTGTGGTGTACTGTGCTGACACTTTGTTGTGTGTGGTGTTGCTGTGCTGACACTTTGTTTTGTGTGGTGTTGCTGTGCTGACACTGTGTTGTGTGTGGTGTTGCTGTGCTGACACTTTGTTTTGTGTGGTGTTGCTGTGCTGACACTTTGTTGTGTGTGGTGTTGCTGTGCTGACACTTTGTTTTGTGTGGTGTTACTGTGCTGACACTTTGTTGTGTGTGGTGTTGCTGTGCTGACACTTTGTTTTGTGTGGTGTTACTGTGCTGACTCTGTTGTGTGTGGTGTTACTGTGCTGACTCTTTGTTGTGTGTGGTGTTACTGTGCTGACACTTTGTTTTGTGTGGTGTTACTGTGCTGACTCTTTGTTGTGTGTGGTGTACTGTGCTGACTCTTTGTTGTGTGTGGTGTTACTGTGCTGACACTTTGTTTTGTGTGGTGTTACTGTGCTGACTCTTTGTTGTGTGTGGTGTTACTGTGCTGACACTTTGTTTTGTGTGGTGTTACTGTGCTGACTCTTTGTTGTGTGTGGTGTTACTGTGCTGACACTTTGTTGTGTGTGGTGTTACTGTGCTGACACTTTGTTGTGTGTGGTGTTACTGTGCTGACACTTTGTTGTGTGTGGTGTTACTGTGCTGACTCTTTGTTGTGTGTGGTGTTACTGTGCTGACTCTGTTGTGTGTGGTGTTACTGTGCTGACTCTTTGTTGTGTGTGGTGTTACTGTGCTGACACTTTGTTGTGTGTGGTGTTACTGTGCTGACACTTTGTTGTGTGTGGTGTTACTGTGCTGACTCTTTGTTGTGTGTGGTGTTACTGTGTTGACTCTTTGTTGTGTGTGGTGTACTGTGCTGACTCTTTGTGTGGTGTTACTGTGCTGACACTTTGTTGTGTGTGGTGTTACTGTGCTGACACTTTGTTGTGTGTGGTGTTACTGTGCTGACTCTTTGTTGTGTGTGGTGTTACTGTGCTGACTCTTTGTTGTGTGTGGTGTTACTGTGCTGACACTTTGTTGTGTGTGGTGTTAGTTACTGTCTCTTGCACTTGATTGGCCCTACATGACTGAACACTTCACATTCTGGATTTTCTTGCCTGACTTCTTTCAGACTTTTTTCCTATATCAGCCTTATGTTTTAAACCTTTTTCCTTATGGCTGATAACAGAGATCTATTGTTCATTTACAATAAACTTTTCTTCCAAGCCACGAAAGATCTATTTTCTAGGCTATTAAAGACCTATAACAAACTCCCACACTACCAATGATCAATAACATATCTATAACAAACTTTTAAGTCAACCAAACATCTATAACATAACTTTAAACAAATTTTCATTCTACCAAATATCAAAAACCTAACTATAACAAACTTTCACACTACCAAAGATCCATAACATAAGTTTTAAGAAATTTTCATTCTATCAAAGATCAATAACTTTAACAAACTTTCACTGCTCTGCCAATGATTTATAATATGACTTGAACAAACTCTACCAAAGATCTATAACATGACTATAACAAACTCTACCAAAGTTCTATAACTTGACTATAACAAACTCTACCAAAGTTCTATAACATGACTCTAACAAACTCTACCAAAGTTCAATAACTTGACTATAACAAACTCTACCAAAGTTCTATAACTTGACTATAACAAACTCTACCAAAGTTCTATAACATGACTCTAACAAACTCTACCAAAGTTCAATAACTTGACTATAACAAACTCTACCAAAGTTCTATAACTTGACTATAACAAACTCTACCAAAGTTCTATAACATGACTCTAACAAACTCTACCAAAGTTCTATAACTTGACTATAACAAACTCTACCAAAGTTCTATAACATGACTCTAACAAACTCTACCAAAGTTCTATAACTTGACTATAACAAACTCTACCAAAGTTCTATGACAAACTCAACCAATGTTCTATAACATGACTCTAACAAACTCTACCAAAGTTCTATAACATGACTAGAACAAACTCTACCAAAGTTCTATAACTTGACTATAACAAACTCTACCAAAGTTCTATAACTTGACTATAACAAACTCTACCAAAGTTCTATGACAAACTCAACCAAAGTTCTATAATATGACTCTAACAAACTCTACCAAAGTTCTATAACATGACTATAACAAACTCTACCAAAGCTCTATAAGTTGACTAGAACAAACTCTACCAAAGATCTATAACATAATTATAACAAATTCTAGCAAAGATCTATAACATGACTGTAACAAAACTACCAAAGATCTATAACAAACTCTACCAAAGATGTATAACTCTAACAAACTCTACCAAAGATCTATAACTCAACCAAACTCTACCAAAGTTCTATAACTCTAACCACCTCCTCCCCAGGCTACTTCTTCACATCAGACATAGCCCAAGCCTGGAGAGTCTCGGAGCAGCTTCAGTACGGCCTGGTGGGGGTCAACGAGGGCATCGTCTCAGCCGTGGAGTCAACCTTTGGTGGGTGGAAGGAGTCAGGGCTGGGGACGGAGGGGGGGAAGTACGGACTGTCAGAGTACCTGGAGCTGAAGAATATTTGTTATGGCGGTATTGTTTAGATGTGTTAGTGGAGTGCGGAGCTAACCCTGTGCTGTCATAAAATAACAAAGTCAGCAAAAATAAAATAGTCAGCAATAATTTTCATCTGCATGTATTTATCATGTTTTGAAATATTTGCCATAAAGCATTAATGAATGGAGGGATGGTGTGTATGTTGGAAGATTGTTGCATCTTATACAGACTTTTTATATGACAGTTTATTGTAAAACCATTTCATGATAACATACAGTTCAGAAAGCAATGGTATGTATGGTTATGTTTATGTTGCCATTTGTGTGATATATTTTTGTGATGGTAATGTCTTTAATGACCAATATTGTATACTTTGATCACATTGAAATAAATGCTGTATACACTTTTAACAAACTCATGTTAAAGAAAGAAAAAGTCTTTTTGTTTTTTTTAATATATCTCCCTGCCTCTACAAGGTTGATTTGGATAGACCTTGATATGAGTACACTATGTGAACTGTTTCATTTAATCTGTATTGGTATATAGGCCTGCCCTGTAGGTAGTGGATTAAAGGTCTTTTTTATTTAACATGAAGTTAGTAGACTACGTATTGGGGCATATATATAATATAGATAGATAGATAGATAGATAGATAGATAGATAGATAGATAGATAGATAGATAGATTAGATACTACATAAATATTGTGTCACTGTGGACGACACCCACCCAGTTACCATTAAGTGTGTCAACTCATTTAATAGCGCCAAGGATATATAATTTCCACCCATCTAATTTAGATTCTAAATTAGCGGTGTGTTAAAACTAAACTGAAGACAACACATGACCAAACGTCAGCTAGGCCCTATCTATTCTCTACGTGCCCGAATGCCGAGGTTTGTCACTGTTTTGTTTTTCTTAATAAACAGTCCTCGATGTGTGCAGTGCTCATTTTTATTCTTCTGTTAATTACAGAGTAATAGCCCTTAGCTTCTGACTTGACCCCGCTCCGCCATTGTTTTCCCACAATGCAACAAGCGAGGCGTGACGTATGACAAAGATCCCCGTTCCCGCTTTAAATTGTAATCAATTAGCTGGCGATTTGTTCTCGTCCCTGGCCACCAATAACCTGTTTGGTCTGGAATTTAAACATGGAGTTATTGATTATCGCCATAAAGTTATGGCCCACTGGCTTTCAAAACAGTCCGCTATTGTTCTGTTCCACCTTACCGTTACACCGAGGGGATTTCAGCAGTTAAAAAATCATTTTGAAAAGATCGTGAAGACTAGAGGCAAACAACTCGGACTTGTGTGTAGTATGTCTTCAACTTGTGAGTAGAACTTGATTATATCCGTCTCTAAATGACGATATTTTTTTTAGTTAGTGTCTTGTATAACGTGATTAAAGAAAGTCGTAGAGTTACGGGAAATTAAAAAATCAATTAGAAATAAATGTGCTCTTAAAAATAACGTTCATAGGGACACAACCACACCTTACCACCGTATTCTGTTTTGAGCGATTCTTCTAAGAAAGATGTTTCGCTGAAAATTGATATTTTCCAAATTTGACTTAGCCTACCTAATTTCTCTTTCCGCGAGGATAGCAATGTAATGCCTGTCTGTTTACGTTTTTTGGTATGTGCATGTTGTGCAAAATCTATAAATATGATTGTGAGGTTTTGTATGTCTTTACCAAAAGAGCTTCATCCGGTTATAAAAATAATGCTTAAAGAAGAAAATCAGACTTAGTTTAGCCTGCTTCATGGTAGAGTACATGCTTGCTAACTTGAAAGGTTCGAGTTCAATTCTCAGAAGCATCTGGGTATCTAAGGCGACTGGACATACTGCTGACCACACTATTTCCATTACACATCGAGGTTAAAAAACACATAAGCTCTACTTCATCTGCAATACGGACTGTTAGGTCTTAAAAAATTAGCCCACTGAATGTCAATGTGGATTTTTCTTTGGTCGATGGCGAAACAGCTGAGACTACGAAGACACTCTTACAGTATTTTTTGGTACCCCTCAGTAGGCGATTGTAGCCAGTGGCGTAGCGAGGGGTTGCGGGCCGCACTGGGTGACACCATTTAGGGGGATGATACCAAGGCAAAAAATAGCACAATATATAGAGAAAAATGATAATTCCACTTAATTAAGTGGTTAATTCGAGTGTTAAAAAAGCCTTTTAAGAGCCAATTTGACAAATCCCGACAAGGGTGAAATGGGGGGGGGGGGGGTGCAAATCGAAAGTTTGAGGGGAGGGGGGTGCAAATCGAAATTGAAAGTTTGTCACCGGGAAAGGTCGCTACGCCTCTGGGGGCGACACCATTAAGTGCCGCACCGGGTACTGGTTGTACAAATTCTGGAACACCTTATCCATTACCTGCATACAATGTTTCTTTCAGACTTTTTTCTCGGGTGGACACTGGTAAAAAATAAATATATATATTTATATATATATATATAAATTCTATTTCGTTCCTGGCGAGGTTGCCTCCGAAGAGATTCCTGAAAGAAACTACATTTATACCAAAATATATTCATCATTGGCCCTTCCCCCCCCCCCCCCCCCCCCCCCCCCCCAAACACACGAAGCTTCACCGCTTCAATCTGAATGAAATCTTCAGACAGACAGAGAACCTACCAACACATTGGCTAGCAGATGAAGCAAGATTTGAATGCGGGGCTCGGGCTGACTGCGCATGCGTGAAGGTCACAACGCCATTGATTAAACATCACAAATGAAAACTTGACTCGGGCTAAATGAGAGCTGATATTGATACCCGATCGATTAATCAATACATACGTGATCTTCCGCTGAGGTCTTAATTTATTCCATCACATCTCATAACCGTTTACGATCGGTTACTAAGCATGTTGTTTTGTTTAGGTCCGTGAGCCAAAATAGGCTGTTAATCAAAAACAACTTTGTGATATTCTAAGTTGCATGAGTACTTTCATTTGTCTTTTTTTGTATCTGGTATTATAGTAGTCTAAGAAATATAATTTATTCTTAGGTTAGAAATGGTTTTGTTTACTTGTGTAAAGTTTTTATTTAAAGGAAGGTATAATGAAAACTATTTAGTGCGGTCTGATTACAAACACATAGACGGAGGGACAGTCACGGATAGGTAGTCAGACGGTAATAGCAACATTTAGAAGAAGCGTATAAGAAGACCTTCCCCCCCCCCCCCCCCGCCCCACACACACAAATACACCCCCCACAACAGTGTGTGTCTTGACGATCAAGAAAAAGACCACACTAGCACATGGTTTACGGTTGTCAACGAGCTGACTTTGTGCCAGGGTTTACCGTACCGTCACCACCAATAGATCTCTGGCCAGACTTCCAGGCAGGAATCGAGTGCTAAACACAGCCGGTACGATCAGGCCGAATCAAAGACCAAGATTGGTATCGAAATGACAATTGACGGCGGTCCTACCCGGCAACGTAGAAATCAGCTAATGCTTGGCGCAACGCGGGGTTTTAATTTAACGAGATTTGCTTGATGAAGGTTGTGTTCATAGGTATGGTTTTAATTTAACGAGATTTGCTTGATGAAGGATGTGTTCATAGGTATGGTTTTAATTTAACGAGATTTACTTGATGAATGTTGTGTTCAGGTATGGTTTTAATTTAACGATACATGCTTGATGAAGCTTGTGTTCATAGGTATGGTTTTAATTTAATGAGATTTACTTAATGACGTTTGTGTTTACATGTATGGTTTTAATTTAACGAGACTTGATGAAGCTTGTGTTCATAGGTATGGTTTTAATTTAACGAGATTTGCTTGATGAAGGTTGTGTTCATAGGTATGGTTTTAATTTAACCAGACTTGGTTAATGAAGGTTGTGTTCATAGGTATGGTTTTAATTTAACGAGATTTGCTTAATGATGGTTGTGTTCATAGGCGGTGTTTTAATTTAACGAGACTTGATGAATTTTGTGTTCATAGGTATGGTTTTAATTTAACGAGATTTGTTGAAGGTTGTGTACATAGGTATAGCTTTAATTTAACGAGATTTGATGAAGGTTGTGTTCAGGTATGGTTTTAATTTAACGAGATTTGCTTGATGAAGATTGTGTTCATAGGTATGGTTTTAATTTAACGAGATTTGCTTGATGAAGGATGTGTTCATAGGTATGGTTTTAATTTAACGAGATTTGCTTGATGAAGGTTGTGTTCATAGGTATGGTTTTAATTTAACGAGATTTGCTTGATGAAGGTTGTGTTCATAGGTATGGTTTTAATTTAACGAGATTTGGTGAAGGTTGTGGACATAGGTATGGTTTTAATTTAACGAGATTTGGTGAAGGTTGTGTTCATAGGTATGGTTTTAATTTAACGAGATTTGCATGATGAAGGTTGTGTACATAGGTATGGTTTTAATTTAACTAGATTTGCTTGATGAAAGTTGTGTTCATAGGTATGGTTTTAATTTAACGAGATTTGCTTGATGAAGGTTGTGTTCATAGGTATGGCTTTAATTTAACGAGATTTGCTTGATGAAGGTTATGTTCATAGGTATGGTTTTAATTTAACGAGATTTGATGAAGGATGTGTTCATAGGTATGGCTTTAACTTAATGAGACTAGCTTGATGAAGGTTGTGTTCATAGGTATGGTTTTAATTTAACGAGGTTTGATGAAGGATGTGTTCATAGGTATGGTTTTAATTTAACGAGATTTGCTTGATGAAGGTTGTGTTCATAGGTATGGTTTTAATTTAACGAGATTCGCTTGATGAAGGATGTGTTCATAGGTATGGCTTTAATTTAACGAGATTTGCTTGATGAAGGTTGTGTTCATATGTATGGTTTTAATTTAACGAGATTTGATGAAGGATGTGTTCATAGGTTTTAATTTAACGAGATTTGCTTGAAGGTTGTGTTCACAGGTATGGTTTTAATTTAATGAGACTTACTTGATGAAGGTTGTGTTCATAGGTATGGTTTTAATTTAACGAGACTTGCTTGATCAAGGATGTGGTTATGTGTGTGTAGCTTGGTAAGTAGGGATTTTCATAGTTCTTTGACTATTGTAGAAATTTGAGCTGTTTCTTCTTCTTCTTCGTTCAAAATTGAAATGTTGGAAGGGATTTCTTCAAACAATTAAGTATTACGTGTCAACTTGTTATGCGCCAAAAATAGGCATTAGACTCCGATTTCAGCCTGTTTATTCTTTTTGGATTTGCTTCCATAACTGTTTGATTTTGGAGTTTTCTCTCATATATGGGTTGCTGTCCCCAGCAATAGAACCTCTTTTACCGACACGACCACGCCGACCCCTTAAATTGCTTGAAAAAGTTTTAGAACTTTAGAACATCTAGTGTATCTAAATACTCATAAGTATGATTGTTTAGAGCTAAGTATAAACACACAGTATGTATAGCTTGCGTCGTAGCATTTGGTCGATAAGTTGCCTTTCATTTCGATTCCTATGCCCACCTGACTTTGCTTTCCCTAATAGTAGTCAGGGGCCCCATCAGAACTGTCCGGGATCCGAACTCGAGACTTTCGTTCGTGTTAATAGTCGTGTGCTATACCATCCGACCACGCCAGCCTATTTCGTCCATAACTTTTTTTTGTAAATAAAGAAATAATAAACTAATTAAACTATTGAAAACTTCCATTTCAAGTTGTCAAAACATTTCGTGAAATGTAATTCTGTAGAACGTGAGGTAAAAGAAAATAACCACAGCGATTCTAACATCAGTACTCTATAAACCCATTTCATAACTTAGGTGAATACAACAATATCGCTAACATTACAATTACAAAGTCAAAAAGTAACTAAAACTGTGAGCCTTACTTCCCTTTAGCCCCTAGCCCCTAACAATACATACACCACTTATCCTAAATCTGCCCCTTAGATTGAATGTAACAATTTCTAGTACATCTAAAGTTTCGACAGCTCTACTTAACCTACATGAATTTAAGACCGCTAGACTGTCTTGTAACTCCAGAAGATTGAGACATTAAAACCTATTGTATTGATCGTCTGCTCCGTTTAATTCTGCTATTGATTGATACTAAACAGCCAATGAACCGGCACCTCTACAGCCCTACCAGTCGATAATCCGCAGGTGACCTCACCTGTGGCACCTGACACCTGACATGACATTGTCATGGTGTATGGTGTCCGTTTACACACCAGCCAAGATAGCAGTTGTGTCTGTGACGGATAATCAGACGTCATTGTGGGCGCCATTTTATTTTATTTTTATTATTTACGGTTCTGCTAGGAGTAGCAATAAACAAACACGTATTTAATTTTTTTTATCGTCGGCTGGTAGTCTGTGATCTAAAATATCGATTGAAGATTAATAACCTCACGCGATTGTAAATAATAATTAAATGCAGAATACTAACAGGAGTCAACGCGGGACTTGGCAATACAATAGTCATGTTAGGCCTATTTGATGGCGGAGACTAAGAATGGGACGGTAGAGCGCACGAGTTCTACCCAGAGGCGTAGCGACCCTACCCGGCGCCCGGGGACAAACTTTTCGATTTGCACCCCCCCCTCCCTCGAGATTTCGATTTGCACCCCCCCCCCCTCAAACTTTCAATTTGCACCCCCCTCAACCTTTCAATTTATTTTTCCAACCCATTTTGGCGCCCCCTAAGCTCGGCGCCCGGGGACATATGTCCCCCCCCGCCCCCCCCCCCCCCTCGCTACTCTACTGGTTCTACCCAAACGTCTTAGGTTCGGATGCCGGGCTTGTCTCCTTGAGTCCAAGCAGCTCTGATGAGTAGGCCTACCTGACACATTGTAAAAAGTAAACGCGACTGGACGTAGAACTGACCATACTACTGATTCGTATGCCGATGTCAGATGAACACGTGAACTCTTCTTCATCTGCCTTATTTACTGTCATGTCCGAAACGGTGTAGTTAATTTACTTTACTTTGCTTACGCTGGTAAAATAAGTCTATAACGGCCTATGTTTTTACACCGAGATAAGAATTTCAAGTTCTTATATTTTTATCCTCCTAAAACAACATAATGAACATAATAACCAAATTTTCTTTTTGTAGAAAAGAAATTAGCTGAAATCTCTAATGCGATTACACTAATTAGAAAACGCCACACGTAATTAAAATTATTTTTTTTACTCCATATTTTAAATAGCTGAAAGTAAATTAGAACATGGTAAATTTATATCCTAAAGGCCCTTTCTAACTGAATATTGATTTATTTTAGGGTAGTTCGTAATCACGTCACGTTTTTTTTTTGGGAATGTTTAACACTCCTTCTCCTACTCCCCCACCACCCCCCCCCACCCATTCCTTTTCGTCTTTACACAGTCACAAAATTCACATCCAACCCCCTAAGTTGATGCCCATATAGCAAAAAAACAGCGGTTGTAAATACAAACCAACTCAAAATTTCAGTTTTTAAAAAAATCACTATAAATAATTGAAAATCTTTCTAAATCCCCCCTCCCCTGAACGAAGTGGAATTTATATAGAAAATATATACTTTTAACAGAGTCCCCTCCCCCGGAAATTTGAGTCCGCCTCCCCGAAAATGTCAAGTGCCCCCCCCCCCCCCCCCCCGGAGAAAAAAGCCTGGAAGAAACACTGTTCCCATAATTTGTGATATATATATATATATATATATATATATATATATATATATATATATATATATATATATATATATATATATATATATATATATATATATATAGGCCTATATATATATATATATATATATATATATATATATATATATATATATATATATATATTGTGGGTTGTGTGTAGAGGGTGGGAGGGGGGTCGAATATTATGTTGTGGTAATGTTTAATGTCGTTACATGAAGTGTATACGATCTATTTCAAAACATACATTGCGGTTTACATTGTACAACCTGAGCGCGTGTTGGGTAAATCTCAACAAGTAGGCCAACACACAAGCATTCATACTTGACGTTTTAAAATGTTATGCTTCGTCCTTTGTCTCGTACCTACGACTTGATATCGGAGGTGTAGATATGTAATCGATCCGCCTCGCCGATCAATAAGATATTGGTTTTTCTCCTTTGATCTGCGATAATTAATTAGGTATTGGCGCTGGGTGAGATGTAACCAGTCCTAGGTTGTTTTTTTTCCCAAGTTTTTACTGGATAGGCCTCTACCCATTTATCTTATGTCTCATGATATTTATTTTATACGCCTGCTTTGTAGTCCCTAACAATAATGGTGCTGCATCAAAACAAACTATTATTTCAAATTTTAGCGGGTTTTGAAAATGATGGCAGTATTTTTTCGATAAGTGGAGGCCTATAACTCCCTTTATATAACAGCTATTGTTTAATATGCGGTAGGTCAATCTCTCATGGTCGTCTCAAGACTTAATTGTGATGGGGGTTTCAATAGCATTAGGTGCCCACATTAATCAAATAACCGCTGCAACTTTTAACTCGCAGTTCCTGTAATGGTTTTTTTATTCAATAACTTAAATGTGCAGATTGCATAGTTTTAAAAAAATGAAGTGGCTAATATTTATATGTTTCTTACACATTTATCGCAGTATTAACAGATGAATCTGAAAATTTTAGAAGTGAAATAAAAAGTGCTGACAAAAAATTTATGTTTTTATTTATTACGCCGCAGAAAGCACTTCCCTCCCTTCCAACGGAGCACGTACCCACCCCCTCCCCCAGCCCCAGTGCGAAAGAAAAACTACCAGTGTCAATTTCCACGCACCCCCCCCCCCCCCCACCCAATCCACCTTGTCCGAATTGGAACTTTTATTACGTTTATTATTATTATTACAGATATTATACGCTAATATTGAGCAACTTTTTTTTTTTAATTCCAGATTTAAAAAGACTAAACAGGTTTGTTTAGGGTTACAACTCGAACCTTATATAATCAATTGACTGAACTGGATCTTAATGCAGTTACTTCTAAAATTCTAAACAAAAACCTCTCTGAATCAAAAAAGCTGTAACTCTTCTGGATACCAATTTTAAAAAAAAAATATCGAAACAAACAGACACAACCAAAACCAACTAGAGCATCCTTCAATGTTGAAACAACAGATCAACATGATTTATTGTCTCAGAAAATAGTATCAACATTTCTAACGATGTGATGAAGGATACGGACTGTACTTGGTAACCATTGGATACGTAAAGTTGTCGGAGTTATGGTTCCTTAACGCCATGAGTGGAGTATCGCTTCCCTTGATTCCAGGGGCGAGTCCGGCTCGGGTATCTGGGGGCTCAGATCATGGGAGTCGGCCTGGCTCTGGAGCCGGTGGGAGTTTTTCTTTTCTACCTCATTTGTCAGGTGAGTTACGTGTGGTTTACCTGGAGTATTACTTGATTAGGTGAGTTACTCGTGATTTACCTTGAGTATTACTTAATTAGGTGAGTTACTCGTGATTTACCTGCAGTATTACTTGATTAGGTGAGTTACTTGTGATTTACGTGGAGTATTAACTGATTAGGTGAGTTACTTGTGATTTACCTGGAGCATTACTTGATTAGGTGAGTTACTAGTGATTTACCTGGATTATTGATTTGTCAGGTAAGTTACCTGTGTTTTACCTGGATTATTATGTCTGGTGAGTTACCTGTGTTTTTCTTGCATAACTAATTGGCAACTGATATATATATATATATATATATATATATATATATATATATATATATATACATATATATATATATATATATATATATATATATATATATATATATATATATATATATATATATATATATATATATATATATATATATATATATATATATATATATATATATTATATATATATATATATATATATATATATATATATATATATATATATATATATATATATATATATATATATATATATATATATATATATATATATATATATATATATATATATATATATATATATATATATATATATATATATATATATATATATATATATATATAATCGCCCTAACCCCTCACCTACACCACTGCATTGAGTAATATCGCCAGTGAAAAAGAAACGGAAAAACAACAACAAACAAGTGTTATTAACGTTGGGTCTAAACATGTACCATAAACGAAAGTAGAATTGTTTTCTTTGTAACACAGTAGAGTGGGGCCTAGTTATCTTAGAATCCTTCTAATATTTAGGCCATTTAGAAAAAAATCTTACCCAGTTAATTAAGTTCATTGAGTTAAACAACAGAACACAAAACTAAAGAGCACAGTTTCGAAAAAAGAACAGATTGTCAAAAAAAATGTTTAAATTATTTCTAATAAATAAAGAATAACAGATAAACCGATCGTGTTCAGAAAACCAAACAACACCTTATTCAGACGTATCTATAACTATAACCGGTTAGTTTTAAATTAGGTCATGAGAGAAGCATATTATACAGTTTTATGCGAAGGAATTCAATGGACCCTGGGACAAAATCTTGGAATTAGCTGATGACATAGCATTACTTTCTTAGAGATCCAAGATTCACAGGAGAAAATCACAACTTTGAGAGGGATTGGTAAAAAGAGTGGGCTTAAAATAAACCATTTTAAAAAGTAACCACAAAGAAGTTGACAATGTTATATTAGTGAATCAAATCGGTGACCGGAAAGATGCGCAACGGAAAACTGCGAACCACGGTGTAGATAGCGTCATATATCTCGGAAGTGTGGTCGATGTGTCGAATGATAGAGACGAAGATATCAGACGATTAATAAACTTAGCCGACATTTACCAATCTTAGACTAGTCTGGACATTTTCAAGCATCTCTTAAGAATCTTTAACTCCAATGTGAAAGAAGTCTTGCTTTACAGATCAGAGACATAAAGAATAACGGAGACAAGAACCAAATAGAATCCAGACCTTTATTAATAAAAGTAAGGAATTTATTAAAAAAAAATTAGCGTAGAGAGAGATAGCAAAACGGTGGGAGATAGTGGACGGGAAACAATAGAAATACAAATCATGGAAAGAGAATGGCTGGCGATGGCTTGCTCAGACGCAGATGCGTAGCGACCCTTCCCGGCGCCCGATTTGCACCCCCCCCCCGCCTCAAACTTTCGATTTGCACCCCCCCCCCCCTTCAGGATTTCGATTTGAACCCCCCCCTCAGGATTTCGATTTGCAAACCCCCCCCCCCCCCCTCAAGATTTCGATTTGCATCTCCCCCCTCAAACTTTCGATTTGCACCCCCCTCAACCTTTCAATTTATTTTTCCAACCCATTTTGGCGCCCCCTAAGGTCGGCGCCCGGGGACATATGTCCCCCCCCCCCCTCGCTACGCTACTGCTCAGATGTCCAGAAGAGTTACTGACAACTGCCAGACAGACCTTGAAATAGAACGACACAGATCTGCCCAGGAAGACACGACGACGTAGTGTGCTGGGGGAGGCCTAAAGAATAGAACACACCTGGTTAAGGTGAAAAGAGTGGCAGGAGACCTTGGGGGAAAGCTTTAACTCTATGTTCTTTAAGGAACCAAACGGAATAAAGAAGATGTGATGATCAACTACCGGTAATTCTGAGTCTACAACATTTAAACATAGGCCACTTAGAAGCCAGTGGCAACGATAAAAACAGTACTGACACAACCAAAATTAAATCACTGAATGCAGTCAAGAAAACAGAATAAAAGGAATCATCGTTGTGATTTGTATGCTTGACAGGCAAACTTTCACAACGAGGCAATTTTACGTAAATGTTATCTTAATAATATATTCTCGCAAACATACACCAGTAGAATTTTGAAAGCGCCACACGCATAATTAAATTTCATTAATCTCGCGGATATCCGACGTTGCTATCTCAAGGCTTGATCAATAAGGCAGACTTAGATACAAAAAGTCAACATCGATTTGCATTTCTTCCATAAACAGCCAAAGCATGTCCGTACACCGTGGTGCGAGCGGATGAATACACGCCTAGTGGCAGCTGCCATTCAAGCTGCAGTTGTAGTCTCGAAGCCCTTTTGACGGTTTTCATTGAAATGTTGAGATATCGATAATCGGGGCTTATTGAAATCTGTTCCTAGCGTTCGCGCCTTTCACGGCAGTGAAAACTCTTTTATTCATAACAGACTACGGCCAACGGCTTTTCTTTTTATAGCCCAGGGTCGTCAGACAGATATTTTATTCATTATTTTCTTCGTGTCTATAGACAGTGACAGACAGAAAAGTTGTGAGAATAGAAAGGGGTTATGTCAGGAATTTGGTGCAGTCGGTGAGGCGTGTTGAAGCTTATATTTAATGAATGCGTGAAACCATATTAAACTCATCAAGATTAACATGTTAATTAGATATTATACACGCTGAAAGAAAACACACCTACATGTGTGCAATACTGACTCGTGCTAACGCAGAACTGCCTCTTGGAAACACACCCTCATGTGTAGTGTGTAACCTACAAACTAACACCAAAACACCAAGCGTATTATATTTTATGTGCGAGTCAGCTTATGTTGTTAACCCAAAAAGTCTTGAGTTCGAACCCTCGGGCAGATGAGGCTCAACAGCTGGGGACAGCCACCCATCTAATAGAGAGAAAAATTCGAAAATCAAACATGAGTGGAGCCCCTTAGGCGATAGTATTACCATTTCTGGTTTGTTGGTAACTCCTGCGGCACTCCTGATTCCAAGCTGTACAGGTAACGCCAAGTCCCTGGCTCTTCTCAACTTAGGGCCCAGGTTTGTGCTAGGATTTCCAATATGTAATCACCCAATGGTCTATTAGAAGATGGAGCCATATTTGTTGAAGTCGTAACCAAATCGGCATAGATTTTCTATAGATTGGTAGCTTTTGGTAAACCCATTGTATTTAAAGTACATATTAAAGAAAAAGACTTGGTAGCTAGACATCGTCTTGCTATTTAGCTGAACAATTGAAATACTATGTGTTTCTTCGGGTGTACATTGAATATGCTTTCGTTGTTGGATTATTTTATATAGTTACTTTGGTTCTACAAGTAGGCTTAAATGCGATAAAATTAGCTGTAGGGTTGGGGCAGGGGGCAACTAATCGACGTTTTAGTGCAGCGTTAGCCGCAAGCCTTGAGTCCGATAGGCTGGGAGTTATCTCCCGTGTCATCTTCACCATTAGTTCGACCTCAACCACTAAACCACACCCGACCTTCATTACTAGCTCTACCTCAACCTCTCAACCACACTGGTCCTTCACCACTAGCCAGACCTAAACCACTCAACCACACCGGTCCTTCACTATTAGCTCGACCTCAACCACACCGGTCCTTCACTATTAGCTCGACCTCAACCACACCCGTCCTTCACCATTAGCTCGACCTCAACCACACCGGTCCTTCACCATTAGCTCGACCTCAACCACACCGGTCCTTCACTATTAGCTCGACCTCAACCACACCGGTCCTTCACCATTAGCTCGACCTCAACCACACCGGTCCTTCACTATTAGCTCGACCTCAACCACACCGGTCCTTCACCATTAGCTCGACCTCAACCACTCAACCACACCCGTCCTTCACCAGTTAGCTCGACCTCAACCACTCAACCACACCGGTCCTTTACCACTAGCCAAACCTCAACCACACCGGTCCTTCACCATTAGCTCGACCTCAACCACTCAACCACACCGGTCCTTTACCACTAGCCAAACCTCAACCACACCGGTCCTTCACTATTAGCTCGACCTCAACCACACCGGTCCTTCACTATTAGCTCGACCTCAACCACACCGGTCCTTCACCACTAGCTTGACCTCAACCACTCAACCACACCAGTCCTTCACCATTAGCTCGACCTAAACCACTCAACCACACCGGTCCTTCACCATTAACTCGACCTCAACCACACCAGTCCTTCACCATTAACTCGACCTCAACCACACCAGTCCTTCACCATTAACTCGACCTCAACCACTCAACCACACCAGTCCTTCACCATTAGCTCGACCTCAACCACTCAACCACACCAGTCCTTCACCATTAGCTCGACCTCAACCACTCAACCACACCAGTCCTTCACCATTAGCTCGACCTAAACCACTCAACCACACCCGTCCTTCACCATTAGCTCGACCTAAACCACTCAACCACACCAGTCCTTCACCATTAGCTCGACCTCAACCACACCAGTCCTTCACCATTAACTCGACCTCAACCACTCAACCACACCAGTCCTTCACCATTAGCTCGACCTAAACCACTCAACCACACCAGTCCTTCACCATTCACTCGACCTCAACCACACCAGTCCTTCACCATTAGCTCGACCTAAACCACTCAACCACACCGGTCCTTCACCATTAACTCGACCTCAACCACACCAGTCCTTCACCATTAACTCGACCTCAACCACTCAACCACACCAGTCCTTCACCATTAGCTCGACCTAAACCACTCAACCACACCAGTCCTTCACCATTAGCTCGACCTCAACCACTCAACCACACCAGTCCTTCACCATTCACTCGACCTCAACCACACCGGTCCTTCACTATTAGCTCGACCTCAACCACACCGGTCCTTCACCATTAGCTCGACCTCAACCACACCGGTCCTTCACTATTAGCTCGACCTCAACCACACCGGTCCTTCACCATTAGCTCGACCTCAACCACTCAACCACACCCGTCCTTCACCAGTTAGCTCGACCTCAACCACTCAACCACACCGGTCCTTTACCACTAGCCAAACCTCAACCACACCGGTCCTTCACCATTAGCTCGACCTCAACCACTCAACCACACCGGTCCTTTACCACTAGCCAAACCTCAACCACACCGGTCCTTCACTATTAGCTCGACCTCAACCACACCGGTCCTTCACTATTAGCTCGACCTCAACCACACCGGTCCTTCACCACTAGCTTGACCTCAACCACTCAACCACACCAGTCCTTCACCATTAGCTCGACCTAAACCACTCAACCACACCGGTCCTTCACCATTAACTCGACCTCAACCACACCAGTCCTTCACCATTAACTCGACCTCAACCACACCAGTCCTTCACCATTAACTCGACCTCAACCACTCAACCACACCAGTCATTCACCATTAGCTCGACCTCAACCACTCAACCACACCAGTCCTTCACCATTAGCTCGACCTCAACCACTCAACCACACCAGTCCTTCACCATTAGCTCGACCTAAACCACTCAACCACACCCGTCCTTCACCATTAGCTCGACCTAAACCACTCAACCACACCAGTCCTTCACCATTAGCTCGACCTCAACCACACCAGTCCTTCACCATTAACTCGACCTCAACCACTCAACCACACCAGTCCTTCACCATTAGCTCGACCTAAACCACTCAACCACACCAGTCCTTCACCATTCACTCGACCTCAACCACACCAGTCCTTCACCATTAGCTCGACCTAAACCACTCAACCACACCGGTCCTTCACCATTAACTCGACCTCAACCACACCAGTCCTTCACCATTAACTCGACCTCAACCACTCAACCACACCAGTCCTTCACCATTAGCTCGACCTCAACCACTCAACCACACCGGTCCTTCACCATTAGCTCGACCTCAACCACACCAGTCCTTCACCATTAGCTCGACCTAAACCACTCAACCACACCAGTCCTTCACCATTAGCTCGACCTCAACCACACCAGTCCTTCACCATTAACTCGACCTCAACCACTCAACCACACCAGTCCTTCACCATTAGCTCGACCTAAACCACTCAACCACACCAGTCCTTCACCATTCACTCGACCTCAACCACACCAGTCCTTCACCATTAACTCGACCTCAACCACTCAACCACACCAGTCCTTCACCATTAGCTCGACCTCAACCACACCGGTCCTTCACCATTAACTCGACCTCAACCACTCAACCACACCGGTCCTTCACCATTAGCTCGACCTCAACCACTCAACCACACCGGTCCTTCACCATTAGCTCGACCTCAACCACACCAGTCCTTCACCATTAGCTCGACCTCAACCACACCGGTCCTTCACCATTAACTCGACCTCAACCACTCAACCACACCAGTCCTTCACCATTAGCTCGACCAAAACCACTCAACCACACCAGTCCTTCACCATTCACTCGACCTCAACCACACCAGTCCTTCACCATTAGCTCGACCTAAACCACTCAACCACACCGGTCCTTCACCATTAACTCGACCTCAACCACACCAGTCCTTCACCATTAACTCGACCTCAACCACTCAACCACACCAGTCCTTCACCATTAGCTCGACCTAAACCACTCAACCACACCAGTCCTTCACCATTAGCTCGACCTCAACCACTCAACCACACCGGTCCTTCACCATTAGCTCGACCTCAACCACACCAGTCCTTCACCATTAGCTCGACCTAAACCACTCAACCACACCAGTCCTTCACCATTAGCTCGACCTCAACCACACCAGTCCTTCACCATTAACTCGACCTCAACCACTCAACCACACCAGTCCTTCACCATTAGCTCGACCTAAACCACTCAACCACACCAGTCCTTCACCATTCACTCGACCTCAACCACACCAGTCCTTCACCATTAACTCGACCTCAACCACACCGGTCCTTCACCATTAACTCGACCTCAACCACTCAACCACACCAGTCCTTCACCATTAGCTCGACCTAAACCACTCAACCACACCGGTCCTTCACCATTAGCTCGACCTCAGCCATTCAACCACACCGGTCCTTCACCACTAGCTTGACCTCAACCACTCAACCACACCGGTCCTTCACTATTAGCTCGACCTAAACCACACCGGTCCTTCACCATTAGCTCGACCTCAACCACACCGGTCCTTCACCATTAGCTCGACCTCAGCCATTCAACCACACCGGTCCTTCACCATTAGCTCGACCTCAACCACACCGGTCCTTCACCATTAGCTCGACCTCAACCACACCGGTCCTTCACTATTAGCTCGACCTAAACCACACCGGTCCTTCACTATTAGCTCGACCTATACCACACCGGTCCTTCACCATTAGCTCGACCTCAACCACACCGGTCCTTCACTATTAGCTCGACCTAAACCACACCGGTCCTTCACCATTAGCTCGACCTCAACCACACCGGTCCTTCACCATTAGCTCGACCTCAACCACACCGGTCCTTCACCATTAGCTCGACCTCAACCTCTCAACCACACCGGTCCTTCACCATTAGCTCGACCTCAACCACACCGGTCCTTCACCATTAGCTCATATATCGATAACTTCAGCATTGGTTAAAGTCATATAACGATGACTTAAGCATTGGTTAAAGTCATGTAACGATGACTACAGCATTGGTTAAAGTCATATAACGATGACCACAGCATTGGTTAAAGTCATGTAACGATGACCACAGCATTGGTTAAAGTCATGTAACGATGACCACAGCATTGGTTAAAGTTATGTAACGATGACTTCAGCATTGGTTAAAGTCATGTAACGATGACCTAAGCATTGGTTAAAGTCATGTAACGATGACTTCAGCATTGGTTAAAGTCATGTAACGATGACTTAAGCATTGGTTAAAGTCATGTAACGATGACTACAGCATTGGTTAAAGTCATATAACGATGACCACAGCATTGGTTAAAGTTATGTAACGATGACCACAGCATTGGTTAAAGTCATGTAACGATGACCACAGCATTGGTTAAAGTCATGTAACGATGACCACAGCATTGGTTAAAGTCATGTAACGATGACCACAGCATTGGTTAAAGTCATGTAACGATGACTTCAGCATTGGTTAAAGTCATGTAACGATGACTTCAGCATTGGTTACGTCATTCACGTTTTTCCACAGGGTCACACGGCAATCAGAACTACGCCCCAAGTGGACCAACCAGATCTTACGGCTTGGCGCGTTCAACCAATCGTCTGCCGGCCATAAGAAACTACCCTAGGGGTCATGTGGTAATGATACACTATTTTCATTGGTCAAATCTGTTGTTTTTTTTCACTGTTCGCTAATAAACAATTTCCTTGAACTGTTTTTAAGAGAGACTTTGTCTTTAATATTGGGGCACTTTTGTTTAGCAAATATCCACTATGTAGGGCCTATTGAATAATTATTTAAACGAATAAAAAAGAGAAATAGTAGTGATTAATCTGGGGTAATGAAGGGCAATGGAGGGAGAATAGACGGTGGGGGGTGAAGGGTTGGGGGGTAATATTATTCTTGCTTGGATTAAGGCCGACGTCTTACAAAGCTTTAACAAAACAACAAAAAATGTCGATAATTGTCTTGTGATTATATGGGCTTTACGTAGGATAATGGCATGAGTTATTTTCAAGGAAGGAATATCCTCTTTTAAAAATGTAATCTTGTCTAGCAACGAAACAAACAGTGATATTTTGTTCCGTAGAGCCGGTCCATGTACAAGAAGTCACACTCGTCACTGACAGATAACGTCACGTCACGCTACTCGGCCAGGCACAGGCGGAGTCCTGGGCCGTTTTCTAAGAGTGCTGCTGATTCTCCCTACCTCCCCACAGTAAGTCTCTGCTGATTCTCCCTACCTCCCCACAGTAAGTCTCTGCTGACTCTCCCTACTTCCCTACAATACATTTTTGGTAGCTCATCCAACCTGACCATTGCAAGTCTTCCATGACTCCTTGCCTCCCTACAGTAATTTTTTCATGACTCTCCCTACCTCCTTACAAACATTTTTGGTGCTTCATCCCACCTGACCAGGGTAGGTCTTTGTGCTTCCAAGACCAGGATTGTTGTTCATCTCCCCTACCTCTACACAACAAAATCATGTTGCTGATCTCCCTTACCTCACCACAACAAAATCATGTTGCTGATCTCCCTTACCTCTACACAACAAAATCATGTTGCTGATCTCCCCTACCTCACCACAACAAAACCATGTTGTTAATCTCCCTTACTTCACCACAACAAAATCATGTTGTTGATCTCCCTATAGCACAACAAAATCATGTTACTGATCTCCCCTACCTCACCACAACAAAATCATGTTGTTGATCTCCCCTACCTCACCACAACAAAATCATGTTGCTGATCTCCCCTACCTCACCACAACAAAATCTTGTTGCTGATCTCCCTTACCTCACCACAACAAAATCATGTTGTTGATCTCCCTTACCTCTACACAAAAAAAATCATGTTGCTGATCTCCCCTACCTCACCACAACAAAACCATGTTGTTAATCTCCCTTACTTCACCACAACAAAATCATATTGTTGATCTCCCTATAGCACAACAAAATCATGTTACTGATCTCCCCTACCTCACCACAACAAAATCATGTTGTTGATCTCCCCTACCTCACCACAACAAAATCATGTTGCTGATCTCCCCTACCTCTACACAACAAAATCATGTTGCTGATTTCCCCACTTCTGCACAAAAATCATGTTGCTAATTTACCCTACTCACCAGTCTAACTGCTGATTCACCCCCCCCCCCCCCCACTTCCCCCATCTCCCAACTGTAATTAGCCAATTTTCTATTATACTTTCTCTGACTCACTCTTCTTTGAATGTAAAATTTTAATAAAACGAATCAATTTAAAACAACGTAACAGTAAATAATTTGTATTTCTCTCTTTTAGTCAAATCCAGAAGAATGTTTAAAATGTTTGTTAAGAGTCCCTCACAGAAAATGCGAATCGGTAAGTTTTTTTTTTTAATTTTCATACACATCCCTACTCCTATGTTTGATAAATCTACCAACAATGAAGAAACCGTACACTATTATTATTAACATGCAAATTATTCCGCCAGAACCGACCATAGCTAGAGAGAAGGTTATTGATAGAGGCAGGGTGTCAGTGTTCATTTCGTACATTTCATCTGGGGGGGGGGGGGAATCCCTATTCCCTGGAGAATATACCCAGAGGCGTAGCTAGGGGAGGGCGGGGAGGGCGGCCGCCCCGGGCGCCGACCCTAGGGGGGCGCCAAAAGGGGTAGAAAAAAAATTAAAAAACTCATTTTAAGCTGCAGTTTTGAATTATAAACAGTCAAAGTAAAGAAATTTAACGGCTGAGAGCCTTTGCATACTGATTTAACTGTTTTCTACCTTGATTGTGTAACTGTAAAAAGGATATCCTTAAGAAACAGTGACCGGAAAAACCGCTTTCCAACTTTCCTAGATGGGGAGGGGGGGGGGGGCGCTTTTTCGAAGACTAAAATCGGAAAAATTCACATCGGATTAAGGAATAAATAACCGATATCACTCAGAAAAGAAACCCATTGAACTAAAGCGTATTTTACGATTGTGTAACATAAAAAAAAGAGTTAGTGACGTTTAAAATCTGCTCTACCATTTTTTTTGTCCAAGATTAACACTTAATGTGTATTAACACTTAATGTACGATTTCCCTTCTTAGTTTCGCTAAGTAATAACGCGACTGGTTCTTTGTAAGATTCTTACGATTCTCAACTTTATCGTGAGAGATCAGATAGTTTTACTTGATTGCATTACATCTTACCTGGATCACTTCATTAAAGAGAAATAAATATCACGGATTCTTGTATCGCTATCCGATCAGTAAAATAGCAGTCTGTCGGAGCGGGTGGTGGATTATTACTTTGTTCAACCTAACTGATAATTTAAAATTGTAATATTATTATAGGCCTACTATTATCAAAATTTTCTAAAGACACGACCAAAAGTAGACCAAATAAGGCTTGCACCTTCTACAAAATACGCTCTAAAGCAATGGTTCTTAACTTTTTGGAGTTACCGAACCCCACCAGTTTCATACGCGCAATCGCCCAACCCTTCTTAATAGTTGCATTGTCCACACTGACAAAATCCGATCATATGAGTCGGCTGTGTGTCTTGACCTCCGCGGATGCCCTGAGACTGAATTACCGAACCTCTCGGGTTCGATGGAGCCCACTGTTTTAAGCTCTTTTGATTTTCTTCCTTTTATTCGTTTCGGCTCCCTAATGAACATAGGCGTCGGCAACACTCGTCAACTAATAATCCAGCCTCCTCCTGAACGTCACGGGCGTCAGCTATTATCATTAAACCGGTTATTACAGCTTCTTCATCCAGTACAATTAGATCTTGAATGTGTGCGAGAAGGCAGCGCACATGTGATAAATCCAAGACTTCGAGCTGTTGTGTCCGTTGATTTCCAGTTTGTTTCCTCTAGCTTGTTTCATTATACAATCAACCAGTCAACGAAATACCCATATCGTATTCCAATGTGAACAATACTTTTGCTACTATATGTCAATTGTATGACCTTAATCTAACAAACTTATAATCCAACTATGTACCATATCATAAAAGAGACTGTTCCAAAGATAAAACATAAAAAGACTGTCCTAAACGAATTAGCACCGCTACAATTTTATTTTTTTCTGTACATTACTAATCATCATTTTTTAAAGGATAATGCATCTTAAATGGAAATTTAATTGGCGTCGAGTAAAGTTTTAGGGAACGACAATCATACAGCGTAATTATTTTTTTTCCGGACTGTCGCACACACATACACACACACACACACACACACATATATATATATATATATATATATATATATATATATATATATATATATATATATATATATATATATATATATATATATATATATAGGGCCTATATATATATATATATATATATATATATATATATATATATATATATATATATATATATATGGGAGGGCGCCAAACTGAAAGTTCGCCCCGGGCGCCGGGAGGGGTTGCTACGCCTCTGAATATACCCCTCCTCCTCCTCCATTCCATTGGAACGAAATTTAAAAATATATAGCCTACAATTTTAATTAAAATAAACATATCGGCTACTTTTACCACCGTCCGTCCCGACCCCGGAAGTCGCAAGTGTCCCCAGGAAGTTTCACGAGCCACTACCCCCTCCCCGTCTGAAAGTAACCCCTGATAATCCTAATCATATATATATGCCTACCTAATAATAATAATAATAGGCATCATTATTAAAAATATATATGATCCCTTCTATAGGTCTGTCTACTTTAATGATTATTACACATGCAGTTCTCAAATATTTAAAAAAAAAAGTTGACATCATGTAAAATTAAGATATTAATGACTTAAAGTAGGCCAATAATGTAACCCTGAACTCTATGTTTTAGCACAAATACATACGGGTTGGAGGCGGCTATAGACACGGCTATTGGTACATTAAATGTTTGTTGGAACAGCTGGAGCTACAGGTTAGTAGTGAGAATAGTTAAAAGTTTTTGAAGAAGAACACTTTCAGTGTAATACATCTCGATTCAACTAAGCAAATATATCAAAATAGTTAATGAATAAACAAATTAAAAATAAAACTCTAATTTCCTACTCGAAACACAAGAATTACTTGACCTATTTAAGTATATTGACATTATTCGAGAGGACATGTTCCATACCTTACAACTCCCACCCCTTCACGCAACATTCTACTAGATTAGATCTATAAGTCTATAGACTATAGACCTGTTTGTAATGTCAATTAAAGATTTTCAATATAGACTTAAATTCTGAACCTTATGACATCTGTTTATGAAGTGTACAAAAAACAACAATTATTTAGTATTTAGGCCTATAATTAAAATAATTTGCAGCAGGATTAATTGTACTTTTTATAAAATCTACTTCAAATAGAGACAAAGAGAGTTGTTGAAACAACAGAGATTAGACGTCATTAAAGAACACAGTGAGTTATGATGGCATAGAGATTAACCACATAAAGGCCCTATATCTGATAAAATTGTATTGTATAGTTATTAATAGATACTAGGTCTCAGAGTGGTCTTTAATAATTGAAATATAAGCATTAAGATATTAAGTAAAGCATTACATTTCTGGAATAAACAATCAAATCATTTAAAATTTAAAGCTTTAAATGCTACTTAAACTACATACAAGATTTTAATGTTATCAAGATTCTCTAACTACAATCAATATTTATTTTATATGGCTGCCTCTTAATACATTTTTCAATGATTTTCTGTTAAATTATGGCTTTAAATATTTTTTAAGAATTTTATTTCTTATTGAGTTTTTTTCTTTTTCAGGGGTGAAAGCAATAAAAACTTACATCAGAACAAAAAGTGGTCGGCTAATTGAAAAGATTATATTTTTGTCAGAGGAGGATTATGAAGCATTTAAAGCTGGCAAAAATATTGAAGGTTAGGATTAGTATTTTTAAAAATCCCTGCTGTAGGACAGAATGACTCAAAAAATATATAGATCTATATCAAAACCGTTCTTAGAATTCTGGGTTGGGGTGGTTTAGTGTTAGAGCACATGCTAACCTATTGAGAGTATTGAGTTTAGTTTATGGAGGTGAGTCAGTGGCAGGCCTACATCTATAAGTTCACCCAGTTCTATGGGGTGTTTGATTCAGATTAGATTATCTCTTCATATGCTGAAAAAGAGGTAAATTCTACATCATCTGCCATATTAACCATCAGATTTGGAAGATTGGAAGAGTAGTTTTATTTAATTTATAGTTGGTACAGAGATGACTTAGCAGTTTATAGTTATACTCTAAAATGTTGATGTTGCTGCCAATATTATTAAACATACATTATAAATATATTCAAACTTTGTTTACTAATGTATTTATATTAAAATGTCCATTACCATTCAGCTTCACTGTTTAAGAGCTTCTTATTTCTTTACACAACTGTGAACTAGATCTGCTCAAGAAGTATTTAACAAAGGAAGAAGCTGAGGGTTTACAGTCATGGGATAAAGATGAAATGGTGGCCATAAAAACATATGTGAGGACCAAGAGTGGGCGACTTATTGAGAAGCTAGTTTATGTTAGCAAGGAGGATTATGATGCCATTAAGGCAGGGACTAAGGATGCCAAGGATGTACGTTATATTAGCACTTCTTTGGTAGCGTAGCCATACAGATATTTTGTTAGTTAGCCATACCTAGATTCAATATTTTGTTAAGTTGCCATACCTGGATTAACTATTTTGTTAGTTAGTCAAGCTATATTTTGATGTTTTATTTATTTGCCCTATGCAGATTAAATATTTAAAATTGCTTGTATATCACCTATAATAATATGACATTAATTCTAAACCTAACCCTATATTAAATAATAATATTAAATAATACATAATACTAATTCAAACTTTAAGGGTTAAAGTATTGTTTTAACTACAGTTTTAAAAAGAAATCTATATCTATATTTATAGCAAGTGATGAGCTAATTAGGATAATACGTAAACTTATAAGTTTCTGAACAAGGCTGTCAACTTTATTTCAGGTTTTGAAAAATTACTTGAAGACAGAGGACGGAGAACAAATAGAGGGCTGGGAGGATGCTAAAATGAGAACGATAAAAACTTATGTCAGGACAAAAAGTGGCAGACTTGTGGAGAAAATAATCATGATTAGCGAAGAGGATTATCAAGCCATGCTTAAAGAAGGCAAATAAATATTTTTGTTGATGTAGGTCAGCCATAAAGCAGTCTATGTTTGGATAAAATACTTTTTAAATTGAATGTTTTTCCTTATAGGCAAGGACCCAAATGACATAATTAAAAAGTATTTAACGCTAGAGGAAGGGGAGACAATTGATTCTTGGCAGAGTGGAGAGCCAATGAAAGCCATCAAGACAATGATAAGGACAAAGAGTGGCAGGTTGATTGAGAAAACAATCTATGTCAGCGCTGATGATTATGAAAGGATGATGATGGAGGTGAGACATTTTTAAAGTTTTTGTTTTAATTAAAAAATAGCTGGGAAATTTATCCAAATTGTTTTCATTTATGAGAAAGCAGTTTATTTATTAAATGCGGCAAACAGTTGTAAAGGAATTAATACTCTACATTAAGCTTTTTTTTATGTTAAGGGTGGAGATCCTAATGCTATCCTCAAGAAATATTTGAATCCAGAGGATGGTGAGCTACAGTCCTGGGAGAAAGTTCCAGAAGGAAACCCTATGAAGGTAGTAGAAAATAAACAATTTCTGACACAGTGTCAGAAAATATTCCTGGTGAAGCTCAGTTTTTTTTTTTTATGTTTACTAAGTTCATAGAACTACTAATTACTTTTTAAATAATATTAAGGTCAAATAAAGATGCTAATAATTTTTTAGTCTGAATGATTAGTCTGACTCTAATGAAAGGGAGTATTTGTAAAATTAGAGCTCATCAAGGGGAAACAACTCAATAAAATCTGCTGATTGTCATTAAAAATAAAGTAGCACATTAAAAAAATGTGTTAAATTCTCATGAAATATATTATTAATTATAACACAATTACCCTTTAATTAGACTTTTAGTTTACTGACTTGTAGATAAGTTTATTTTTTTTTACATTGTTTAATAAGTTTTTGAGTCGCTTTGATTCCACTATGTTGCCAACCTAATGAAGGTTTCAATGAATATTGCTTCTTTAATTTTCGGAAAAAAGCAAAATTCATTACCTATTATTCATTTAGTATTTTACTTTCACAACTGTCCTCCCTTACCCTTCCCTAATTAAATCAATAGGCAATATTATATATTTACATTTTAACAATTGATCTACAAAATATTTGAATATTATTGTTTTGTAAGAAACCTGAATTATCAATATTTTATTAAATATTTTTATAATTTTAACTTAAAATACTTTATAAAGTCTCAAATCCTTATTTTCATATTGTTTGAGTTAAATACTTCATTAAACAAATCAATCTGATGTCTAATAAAAAAAAATTATACTTAAATATTAACTTCTAAAAAGTGAAATTTGATACTTTATTTTTTTAACATACCAGGACTGTAGTTTATCTACTCCGTGATATTTTATATGATACAGGTCATAAAAACATACGTGAGAACAAAGAGTGGCAGGCTCATAGAGAAGACGGTCATGCTAACAGAGGATGAATACAACGAGTTTCTCAAGTCTGGGGGGGACCCTAATTTCCTCAAGAAATTTATGGACCTCAAGAAAGGGGAGGTAATTGAAAACTGGGAGAAGGCTTCAACCGTTTACTCTGACAGTGATGACCCAGCAGTACAGAAGGGTGAGCTCATTAGCTGAGTAGTGTTGTCATGGTAACAAATGAATTTTACTGATAGTAAACAGAGTTGTTAGTTGAAATGGTATGACTTTTTAAAAAAAAAAACTCATTGTTTTTCAGCAAAAGCTGGTGACAGAATAGTTGGAAAAGATGGAAAAATTTATGAGATATTCGTTGACCCTGTCACTGGAAAAAAATATAAAAAGTAAGCCCAGGAATTTTTCTAGATCATTTGTCTCAATCCTTCAACCCTCTTCTAGTGCTGGGGTCTAATTTAACATAATCAGCAACTTTAAACCTGTTTCTGCGACCTCAGTATATAAACTCTACATTACTTGCCCAATGGACCATCAAGTTCAAAAAGGGAACTTTTTTAAAACTAAAAAAAAAGGTATACTGGTAAGGCAGTATTTTTTTTTTACAATTTTTAAGTTGAATACCCAAATCAGTGATAGACATATATTGACTGTGACCCTTGTGAAGAAAAAAAACGGTAGCTGTGGTGAGGTCTATGTAATAAATAAAACATTTTCCTCACAATTTAAAGACAATTGTAAAAATTCAACAGACTTTTTTTGAAAGAGGTTGTCTTTATTAAAGTTGCTGAAATTATCTGTTTTGTAAAATACTTTGCCCTAAAAAACATTGAAAACATTTCTTTTTTTTTCCCGCACTGAAGAGTCGTTGGTCAAGCTGACCCAGGGAAAACAGGAAAAAAAGGCAGAAAGGGGAGGGGAGGTGCAGGGGGAGACGGTGAGGAGGAGACAGCCGAAGAAAGGGAGAGAAGAAAGAAAGGGAAGAGAAACCAGGACAGTGACAGCGAGTTCAGCTACAGGAGTGTTTATAGTGCTGGAGGTATGTGGATGTTTATAGTTATAATGTGTCTATAGTGCTGGAGGTATGTGGATGTTTATGGTTATAATGTGTCTATAGTGCTGGAGGTATGTGGATGTTTATAGTTATAATGTGTCTATAGTGCTGGAGGTATGTGGATGTTTATGGTTATAATGTGTCTATAGTGCTGGAGGTATGTGGATGTTTATAGTTATAATGTGTCTATAGTGCCGGATGTATGTGGATGTTTATGGTTATAATGTGTCTATAGTGCTGGAGGTATGTGGATGTTTATGGTTATAATGTGTCTATAGTGCTGGAGGTATGTGGATGTTTATAGTTATAATGTGTCTATAGTGCTAGAGGTATGTGAATGTTTATAGTTATAATGTGTCTATAGTGCCGGAGGTATGTGGATGTTTATGGTTATAATGTGTCTATAGTGCTGGAGGTATGTGGATGTTTATAGTTATAATGTGTCTATAGTGCTGGAGGTATGTGGATGTTTATAGTTATAATGTGTCTATAGTGCCGGAGGTATGTGGATGTTTATAGTTATAATGTGTCTATAGTGCTAGATGTGTGCTATCTCTAAATGGTTTGCAAATATAATGTGTCTATAGTCCAGTAGGTGTGTACCTCTAGATACCTTGCAATCATAATGTGTTTGTAGTGTGTGACTTTGCCAATGTTTTAAAACTAAAGCTGTGTTTTGGTCAGCCTGTACTTTTTCCCTTGAAGAAAAATGAAACAATATTGAAATGTTAACACATCATTAAGCAAAAAATAATGTTTTACAGTTTGTTAAGCCTTTTTATTTTCAAAATTTCCCACATTCATTATGTAAACATTTATTGACATAATTTTGCAGCTAATTAATTAACATGTAATTAGGTACTAGTTTTTAAAAAAAATTTCATAATTCTCAATAAATTGTCAGCAGTCAAACGTGAAACAATTAATGCAAGGCTTTAAACAGAAAATAATTTCTTTAACTAATTGTTTCTGGTTTTAATATCTTTGATTAGGAACAAAACATGTACGCAGACGCAGAAAGAGGGCAGATGGCACGTACAGTGATAGTGAATCATATCATAGTAGTAAGGTCTGTATGTGTGTTCCAAGCAGTCACATATATGTCACAGTGAATTGTATCATAGTAGTCAGGTCTGTATGTGTGTTCTAAGCAGTCACATATATGTCACAGTGAATCGTATCATAGTAGTCAGGTCTGTATGTGTGTTCTAAGCAGTCACATATATGTCACAGTGAATCGTATCATAGTAGTCAGGTCTGTATGTGTTATCCAAGCAGTCACATATATGCATGCCTGTTCCACTGTTAAATTTATAATCAGCTCTGTAACAGTGTTCCATTCATTCACAAATATGCCTGCTGATAACTTATATAAATGCTGTCAAAGAAATTGAATTTTTTATTCTGTTTGTGTTACTGTCAATGACAGGAACAGGGCCAGTAATTGTGTTATGTTCAAGGTTAGGGTAGTCGTAAATAGCACTGTGTACACCAATGTTTGGAAACAGCACTGTGTACACCAATGTCTGGAAATAGTACTGTGTACACCAATGTCTGGAAATAGCACTGTGTACACCAATGTCTGGAAATAGCACTGTGTACACCAATGTCTGGAAATAGCAGTGTGTACACCAATGTCTGGAAATAGCACTGTGTACCCCAAAATCTGGAAATGGTATCCTGGACTCCTGAGTCAACTCAGCTCAAGTGGGTTCCTGACTCACATTAGGGAAAGTAAAGTTGACCCAGGCTTCAGACTGATTAATGACTGACATATGCCATTGATACACAAACAGGTGAGCTCTACTTCATCTGCCCTATCAGGTCCAAAAGGGTAGCTTTATTTTTTTCCCTCTTATTTCTGCGTGTCTCAGGACGGGGATGGTGAGGCCAGGAGAAGGAGACGCAGGAGGGAGAGAGCGCACGCAGACAGCGCTCACAGCTACTACAGCGTGGTCAGTGCGGGGGGGACCAGGCACGTGCGCAGGAAAAAAAAACACGCTGATGGCACCTACAGCGCCAGCGAGTCTTACCACAGGTGAGAGAAGTTTACTTGTTTAGGGTTGGTTATATATTGTTGTGTTTACCTGACCTTTTACTTGACCCTTTGGATTATTTACCTGACCTTTTGGGTTATTTACCTGACCTGGTGGCTTATTTATCTGACCTTATGGATTATTTACCTGACCTTTTGGATTATTTACCTGACCTTTTGGGTTATTTACCTGACCTTTTGGATTATTTACCTGACCTTATGGATTATTTACCTGGTCAATTGGATATGGCCAAAGAAACAGATGAACTCTACTTCATCTATTCTATGCACCATGAGGTCTGACATGGTACTTTACTACAACTTATAGTGCCTGAAGGAATTTAAATGGGTTTAGGTTTGTGTTATAGATTTATAACAGTGTATGATGTGCTTACAGCTCTGACAGTGAAAAAGAGGGCGGAGGGTTGAGCAAGAAGAACCAGCAGAAGAAGAAGAAGAAGAAGGAACATGGGAGTGACAGTGAGTACAGCTACTTCAGTGAGACCAGTGAGGGGGGCACCAGGAGGACCATGAGGACAAAGCGCATCAGAGACGCAGATGGGAAGGTGATAGGGCATGGCAAGCCAGAGTCCTATGTCTCTAGTGGTCAGTGGTTTTTACAAATACTTGATGTCAGTCCTATGTCTCTAGTGGTCAGTTGTTTTTACAAATACTTGATGTCAGTCCTATGTCTCTAGTGGTCAGTGGTTTTTACAAATACTTGATGTCAGTCCTATGTCTCTAGTGGTCAGTGGTTTTTACAAATACTTTACTGTATGAGGTCCTATGTCTCTCGTGGTCAGTTATTTTTACAAATACTTGATGTCAGTCCTATGTCTCTAGTGGTCAGTGGTTTTTACAAATACTTTACTGTATGAGGTCCTATGTCTCTAGTGGTCAGTTGTTTTTACAAATACTTGATGGCAGTCCTATGTCTCTAGTGGTCAGTTGTTTTTACAAATACTTGATGTCAGTCCTATGTCTCTAGTGGTCAGTTGTTTTTACAAATACTTTACTGTGTGAGGTCACAGGATGTCAGTCCTATGTCTCTAGTGGTCAGTTGTTTTTACAAATACTTGATGGCAGTCCTATGTCTCTAGTGGTCAGTTGTTTTTACAAATACTTGATGTCAGTCCTATGTCTCTAGTGGTCAGTTGTTTTTACAAATACTTTACTGTGTGAGGTCACAGGATGTCAGTCTTATGTCTCTAGTGGTCAGTTGTTTTTACAAATACTTGATGGCAGTCCTATGTCTCTAGAAATCGATCACGGAGTTCCTGTACAGCCAATCAATTTTTGTCTTACGAAAGTGAAACATCGGGTTATAACTTAGGCTTGATGAAAATAAATAGAAATAAAGCCTTAAACTCAACAAATTATTTTCAAGTTCTCTGGTTCTGCAAAAATATTAAATTTCTGAATTAATTTTAGGCTTAAGTTTTTAATAAAATTTTATCTCTTATTATTTTTACGGTCTTAAATCTAAAAAAGCACATTTTTATTCCATGTCAACAACATAACGGAATGATTTTCGTCAACTCACTGGTGTCCATTAGTTGATTGTATTGAATCACAGAAAGCCAAAGTCATATGTTCAAGTTTTCAGTTTTTTTTTCGTATTCAGTTTACTATATCAGTTTCAAAAGTCGGAGGCACTGGCTGGTACCTGGGAGGCACAAAATGATTCATAGAAATATAAACAAGTTTTCTGATTTAAAAATACTTTAAAAAAGGAGTAGTCCATTTTGAAACATTTAAAGCAGTTTTATTACAAAGTCAATATGCATAAACTTCTATATAGATAAATAACAGCCTGTTGGTTTCAGGAATAAACATAATCATAACAGCAACAATAGTTTCCTAAACTAGAGTAAAATAGTAATTAATCCAAGCTTCTTTCATAATAAATAAGGGAGACAACCTGTAAATATGTTCTTAAATTCTTAAGAAATAAGATAAATTCAATATTGATTATAAAATAATAATAGATAGGCCCTAACTGTAGATTATTATGTTTCACATAGATATTGAATTCACTATACGACAATTTGTCTAATTTGTTTTGATATAATACATATTTTAGAATTAACTGTAGTTCAAATAGTAAACCCTTAGCAGACTGAATAATACCTTTGTACATTTTAAAATGCTGGCATTTATTTTGTATTTGTTTTGGTCCTTGTGGGTGAGCTGCCACACTTTATATTTTCATTTTCAATATTTTCTTGTTTTGAATCTTGAACATGTATGAACTCTACAACACTTCTTTAAGGTGTATACAATGCACACAATAAAGGTTAAAGAATATTGAAAGTTTTTCTTATAACAAAAACAGATTTTAGATGGTTTTTTTTATTACAAAAGCAAAGAGGGTTGGGCAATTCCATACACTACAGTAATAAATTTAAAAAAAAAAGCTAATTTGAAAATGTGCAGAAAACACTGAAGACATGTTTGGGGGCAGATGCTATTCATCATTGGAAGAAAAAAATGCCAGTTTAACCACTTAGGATCTTTTCTACAACCGTTTTCAAACCCTCCGCTGACCATACTGAAATTAGAACAAAAAATATGTTATTAACTACGAATTTTATGTATGCTAATAATCTAATTATTACTGGCTTTAAATCTTGCATTACAAATGTAGGCTAAAGTAAAAATTAAAGAGAAAAAAACTTTGTATGATGGGAAATCTCCATAGGTGTGGCATTACCCCATACCTACTATTGAAAAAAATGATTTCTAATTCTAAATAAACCGGGAGTGATCTCCCCTAAAATTTCTCGAATATTCTAATATAACACTATGGGGGATGGCAACTCGGGATATAGACTTCTAGACATAATTTTTAATCCATTTTAATTACTCAAATTTTTAAAAATAGAATATAATCTCGTTGAAAAAAGAAATGCACACCAAGTGAACGCTAAATAAAGATGTGCATAATAGTGCGCAATCTTATTAGTACTTTATAAATTTACATGCGTTTTTCGAGAAATCGGAAATAGTGTAAATAAGTACTTCCGGTCAACGGAAATTACTCAAAATTTGACAGAAGGTAGAGAATTAGATCTTTTACTTACATATCAAATTTCATTTATCTATCTGAAATAGTACTCAAGTTATAGGCTTTTGAAAAATTCAAAGTAGAAAAAGTACCACTTCCAGTTATTGGAAATAGCTCAAAAGTTGATACGGATCTACGATTTTGATAAAATACTTATATATGAAATTTCATCAACCTAGCTGTAACGGTACTCAAGTTATCGTGTTTACACACGGACACACACACACACACACACACATACACACAGACAGACATATGGACAAGATTGCAAAATTATGTTTTTCCGTATCAGTGAGATGTAAAACGTCGAGATTTGCAAAAATCTCGATTTTTTTTTTTTTGCACGATTACAAGACTTTCTCTATACTTCGTATATACGAGAAAGTAAAAAACAAACTGCAGTATTGGACATTATTAAATTTGTTATTAGTAACAAAAGTTATTTAGCTAACGTGAAAATCAATAGTTGACAGCATTTGAAAAAAAATAAAATGTAAAATATTTCAAAAAGTGCAAGGGTAATACTTCCGTCAAGAAGCATGAAGATTGATGGTGACAAAATAAAATTATTGCTTTGGTCATAGAATTCCTTTAAAATTGAAACAGGAATCAAGATAAAATGATGACTTATGTAAATTAGTTCGCTTATTAAAGAAAGATAACTCAGTGTATAGGGTGTGGAATTACCCCAGGTGTGTCGGTAATTGCCCTGGGTCACCTTATATAAAATGACCAATCTTTATTCTTAACCCAAAACAAATTGTTGCTTGATGGAATTATACTAATCCATTATAATAGTATAATAACTTAAGTAACACCTGTGATCTAAAGGATAAAGTGTCTGTCTATTGATTGTTAACTTGGAAACAAAATAAATGTGAAAAAAATTGTATCACTCATGTTCACTAACTTATTAGAAAAGTTGTATGATTAAATTTACCTAAACAATTAGCCTCCTGTATGTTTTTTGTGGTGTAAGGGTGGATGTTCAGAAGGCTCTATGATTTTTTATGTTTCAAGTAACTTAGTAACAGAATTATTTTAAAAATATATTCTGCTGTATTTTGTATCTTATTTGAAGTGTTGAGTGATACCTTATATTAGTGTATTAAGAGAAAACAACTGCCTTAATCAGAATTTTTTTTTGTTTCAGATTCTGAAAGGTAAGGTTTATTTCAGCAATTTCTGCAACATTACATAATTGGTATTTTTAAAAAAATGTAAATAATGACTTGAAAAATACAATTAGTTTTATCCATTTTAATATTCTTTTCATAAACTTTCTATTGATAAGAATGATAGTTAATTATTTTCTTTTAGTAAGTACTTCTACTCTTGTTTCTGTTTGTTCATAAATAGTACATTTGTTAAAATAGCACTTTCTTGATTTTGTGCATTACAAATAAATGTTCAGTGTGTACACCGAAATTTCTGATGGGAAAGGAGGAAAAATCCGTGTGAAGAAAGAAAAACCTGGGAAAAAAGGCAGGAAAAAAGGGGAAGTCGCCGACTTCAGTGACGCTAGCACAGACTCAGATGACGTTGACTTGGAAAACATGACTGAGGAGGAACGTCAGAAATATTTTGAAGAAAAAGCCAAGCGCAAGGCAGAAAGGGAGAAAAGAAGGCGGGAAAAATATGGAGATAAATATGACGAGATGATGGCGGCTCATGAAATGTTGGTACAATGCTCTGCTGACTAACATCAAGGGTGTGCTTTGTTTTTTGAATAACAGCCACTAAATATAATGCTTGAGCATGCTTCCAAGGAAAAACTAAATCACATTTCTATATATTTTTAATGACATTTAATATTTTAAATTTCTGTATTTGCCTAGTTCCCGTCCGCCACAGATAACATCCTACTTAAAATTATAAATTACTAACACTTATTATATATATATATTGTGTTGATTGATCAAAAACTTTTGTATTAACTGGCCATTGTGGGAGGAGATCAGAGTTAACCTTTGGTGATATTTCCTTTTTTTTTATAACAACAATAACATTAAATAGGATGTATTTTTTCATATAATAATATTCATGGCTGATTTTTTATTGTGACAATAACCTTTATATTGGCTCTCAACAAAAACTACTGGAATTCACGTTTTTTTTGTCTGAAGCAAAATTGTTTAATTTTTACATGAAGTTGGACAGCTCAATATTAAATTAACAAAACTAAATTCAGTAAAACATCTGCAGCTGCTTAATGTTGTATTAACACAGCTAAAAAAAATATTATATCTACTAAAATCCCTTAAAATATTGTCAACTAATTTCTAGTTTAAGTGTCACAGTATAGGCTTTGTATTGTGGAAGGTCTGAGTGAAAGTCTTTTACAAATATTGTAAATTATGAATGGCAGCTTTAGTGTATATGTAAATGTTTTGATTCAACCTGTTGTATTATGTTTCTTGACAAATCATTAAATCTATTTTCAAAGCATTTCTATCCTTTTAAAGTAGTTAATTGTTCTATAAAGCTTTAAAATAAAACTAGAACATTATTCTTGCAGGAAAAAGAAACAGAAAAAAGAGGCAGAAGCAAGGTTAGAAAATAAAGAAATATTTTCCTGAAAATGCTATTTCTATTTATTTGTCGATGTTTTATATCATCAGAATAAATTTTGAGTCTCATTTTTTTCAGTCTCAAAAAGAAAGGTCAAGGTGGAGAAAGTGATAGTGAATATGGTAAGTTCCTTAACTCTAGCTTCAGTAAAGATAACTCATGACTTCATTTAGTCCATGGGGCAGATGAAGTAAAGATCACCTCTGTAATCTCATCATATGAAGGAATAGTGTGGTCAGTACTTTGCCCAGCCATATTTATTTTCCTTGGGTGGACTCAGAGACATCATATAGACGTGCGCCCAGAATTTGAACTCAAAAGTTTTTGTCTTAATTAGTTATAAAAAGAAAACAAAGTTAAATTTATAACAGTAACAATATTTGGAATGGAGGCTTTTTTCACGTGGGCTGTATTGGAAAAACAATAAATAACAAAGACATTTAATAAAATAACAATCCGATATTAAATACTAAAATAGCATTTAAAAATGTGGTATAAAGAAAAACAACCATATGACTTAATTAGATCTGCAAAAAATGTGCAGTTAAAACTTGTTTGGGTGAGGTGATAGGCTTCAATTGTTACAATTAGAATCTAATAGATCTGCACTTGATGATATTGACAAAAACGTTTTATTGAAGGTGTGTATTTGTTAATTTCAGAGATTGACCCAGTTACAGGCAAAAAGAAAAAAAAACCAAAGACATCATCAGATGGAAAATACCTTTATGTGAGTGACTTTTCTACGTTTTTTAATGTAAAATTCCGTTTTTCTGGCTGATGAGAAATAATGAGAATATACTGTGATATCAAATGATCTCTTATAGATATCTGTGAATGTTTCAAGTTTTAGTTAATATTAACAAACTTAATCTCCTCTAGGAATATGATGAGAAGGGAAGGATTATTAAAAAGACAAGAATTGGTGGGGTAAGTGTCTCAATTACTATAACTTGAAGTATACGCTCCTAATAACCCTCATGCATGTTTCAATGGCTGTGTCTAAAACTGGATATAAAATAATCAAAAAATTTGAATGATGTTGGTCAATGTGGGAATAAAGCTATGATTACTCTGTTGTTGTTTGTCTCATCCATTTGATGTCTTGCTACTAATGTCATATAAGTAATGTCATACAACTGATGTCATGCTGGAGGTGACATTCTACTACAGTGCTTAAATCATGAGCTTCTCAGTTGACCTGTTGATTTTCCTGGTATCTCAGGCCATGCTGCAATGTTTTGAAGTGTGTAATTCTGGTTATGTTTTGATTTACCACAGGGAGATGACAGTGGATCAGAATATGAATATGAATACGATGAGCATGGGAACCTCATCAAAGAGAAGAAGAAAAAAGGAAAGGTCAGTGTCCTTAAAGTGGTTAAAAAACTATAAAATGACCCATCTTTCTGTTTAAAAAGTTTTCTGAATGATCAGTGTTAAAACTTTTGACCAATCATTTCACATTGTATAAAAAAAAAATAATTATTATCTCATATGTTGCTTGAACAATGATTGAATTTTTATGATGAAAACATTTTATTATTTCTATAATAGCTGAATTTCATCATTAGTTTAACTTTAAAGATTTTTGTTTTGTTTTTGATGAATTTTGTAAACAACACTGTGATAATTTTAAACCAATTAATAAGTTTAAAAAGAAAAAAAAAATTTTATTCATGAAGATGTACAAAAAAATGAGTTTGATAGTAAATTTATTTCCAACTCTTCAGAATGAAGTTGTACTAAAAATATGTGTTTAATAATAAATTTATCTCCAACTTTTCAGAAACAAGGAGATGAAGGTGATGAATTTGAATATGTTTATGACAAAGATGGGAAACTGATCAAAAAGATTAGGAAAGGAAAAGTAGGAACACATTTTAAAAACTTAATATTATATTATTAATTTCAGTGCAATCCCGAAAATTTATTTTGGCCTACATTAACTATGGTTGTTTATAATATATACAAGTTAAACAGTCTTTCAAATTGATGCCCTTTTTAATGCTCCACATGTTCACTAAAATGTTTATTATTTTTATTTTTTATGTGCTGTTACTTGTATAGGGAGGTGATGATGAAGGTTCTGAATATGAGTATGAATATGGTAAGTTTCCAGCAAATTTTAATTTTGGTTATTAAAATATTCATTCAAAATGGACATTGATCAGTGAAAACCTATTTTATATTTAAAAGTAATTTAAATTTCAACACGTATCCAGACAACTCTCAATTATGAAAGTAAGTTTGACCTTAAAAAATGCAGGAAAGTTTTTTAGCAGTTTAAAAAATTATCTAATTTTTTATTCATTTTGTAGACAAAGATGGCAATCTTATTGGCACCAAGAAAACAAAAGGAAAACCAGGGAGTAAGTTCAACAAATTTTTTCTATGGTTTTTATTATTATGTAATTTGATTATTTGAAAAGGAAAGCTACAGGCAGATAATATTCATCTTTAGATTTTATGTGTAAATATTTTAAACACCTTATATGGCTGGAGTATTTTAAATTGTTGTTATATCTTAAAATTAAATTGTATAACATACATACTCATATAATATTTTATAAAAACAAATATGAATCGAAGAATCAGTTTGTCCTGGGCTAATTAGCTAATAATCGAGTTGGTTTGCAATATGAAATTTAAATATTTTAAAAATTTGGTTATACTGAATTACATTTGATCCAGGCGCCGCAGGTTCTGATGATGGAAATTAAAATATTTTTAAAAATTTGGTTAAACTAAATTACATTTGATCCAGGTGCCGCAGGTTCTGATGATGGAAATTACTTTGAGGTGGATGAGAAAGGCCAGGTATAGTAAACGTGTATATAAATAAAGACTTCTGTCATTAAAAGTGGCTTTTATGGAATGCATGCTAAACAAAAGTGTTACAATGTTTTAAATGTATATTTCAGTTATAGACATCATTGAGCTTTAGTAGCGTTGGCATGATAAATAAATAAACTAAATTTAAATTAAATTGAAGCTTAAATATTATTTCATAGAAAATTTAGTTAAGGGCTATTTTTGTGTAGATTAAACTGAGGCAAGGGAAAAAGAAAATTGACCTGTCCAAGCTAACGGATGATGACCTCAGAAGACTAGGCATTGACCCAACACTATCTAAGCAGGAAATAGCCAGACTGCTGAAAGTGAGCTAATTTTTGTGCAATTGTTTGTGCTGCAAATGTTTTTTATTCAACCAATTTAACGTGTGTTAAACTTTTTAAAAAACTTGATTTATTTTAATAAAGTTATAATTTAATTAGGCCTATTCCTCAATGAAATTAATAAAAGTAAAAGACCCATGATGTCAAATGGCACACACAATTAAACAGTTAAAAGAACAAATTATTCTTTTGAAATAATTATCTGCAGGAAAAATTTGGAGATGACATTGAGATTGTTGATGAGAATGTCAAAATTGGCACTAAGAGGCTTTCACAGTATGGCAGTGAAGTTGATACGGATGACCTTGCTGATGACAGTGACCTTGACATCACAACATGTAAATTTTGTTTTTGCTGATTTGTCCAGGGTTGTAGTCTGTGTATGGTTCTGTCATCTTGTTTTAGAGGGATTTTGTTTATGTTTTGTACTTGAAATTTAATGGTGTGGAGGGGAGGGAACAAGTAAGGCCATTAAACATTATCACAGTCTGTCTGAAACTTACTTTAGAGAAAATGTTTAAACTCTTGTCTGTTGTCATTGTAACAATTTACCCTAGCTAAACCACGCAGGCTGTATATAGTGTCTATATATATTAGACATTGTGTACAATATTTTAAGTGAAAGGTCTCTATGTAATATACATAGTGTACAATATTTCCAGTGAAATGTCTCTATTTAATATACATTGTGTACAATATTTTAAGTGAAAGGTCTCTATGTAATATACATTGTGTACAATATTTTAAGTGAAAGGTCTAAATGTAATATACATTGTGTACAATATTTTAAGTGAAAGGTCTAAATGTAATATACATTGTGTACAATATCTCCAGTGAAAGGTCTGCGTCGAGTCAATGTCCTAATGAAACGAGGAGGCCAAGCCTTGTTGGATCACATGAAAAGAGTGTTAGATCAGAGTGGATTACAAGATGACAACACCTATGCCAAAGATTTAGATGAAAGAGGTTTGAACATTCAGAAAAAGTTTATTTGAGTAATTTAAAGCTTTAGAATAATCACTGAGAAATATTTTTTTACTCCTCTGGTTAAGTATGATCTTGCTTATGTTACATGTAATTTATTATGTTTAATGTGATGTAATAAAATGAGCACAGGGGACATAGACTTCTTGTCTCACTACAAACTGGTGGATACCAAGAAGTTGGAGTCTTATGCCAGAGCGTTTGTGGTGGAGGATGATGATTTTGACACGGTCATCAGATCTAAGGTGAGTAAAGTTGTCCCTGCATTCTGTGAGTAAAAAAATAAGTAGATTCCTTTTTGGACCTGGCAATCAATGGGCAGATTATGTACAGTCCATCTCTCTCTGTGACCCTGGGAGTCAGGTATCCATCAGACTTTGGTCAATTCAGGGATTACTATGTTGTTACGATGTATGACTGTTCTCTTTGTGGAATCTGTTACAGGTCAGTTGTAGGTTAGATAGAAATAGGCTAGAATAGTCTAGAACTTAGGGAAGAGTGTGAGTTGAGTTCACTCTAGTGTAGTTAACCCTGGTGTGTTTATGTATTGTTATACCAAGGTCAAATGCGGGTATAAAGGCTGCAGTGAATGGTTGTAACTGGGTTAGTTGGTAGCGGCTAGGTGCGAGGGCGTGTTGTAAAAAGATAAAAAGGACAAGTGAAATGAATGCTCAACATTGCCTACAAAAGTGTTTGCTTGATGAGAGGTTGATTGTGTAACGTTAACCTATCTATTAGCCAAATAGAAGGAGAACGTCCCCGGATTCTTTTTTCGGGGTCATATGCAAATACCTTACGGCCTAAGTGGATGAACACTTAACACAACGACCACTAGGGCTCGAATCAATGTCTAGGGGAGCTAGTGATACTATTGTAATTAACACTCATCCAATCTACATACGACCTTTTAATCAGCGAACTCAGTTGTAGATGAACACAAAGATGAACTAGATAAAATATTTAATGTATAAAATATCAAAAACCCAACTTACACAATGTAGGAAAAAACACTATCACAGATTTCTACACTGTCTAAAAAACAGCTACAGGCCACACAACACTGCTGTAGCTTCAAGACTTACTTAGCGACAAGTAATATTAAACTAGAAGACTAAATCAACTGAAGAAAGCAAGGCACACACAGGTCTTAAGTACTCTCACGTTCAAATGGTCAGAGTCTATAGCCGGACAATATGGACGGCTGCCTGAACAAGGTAAAACGGCCTCGTAGACTGCCAGGTCAAGATAAACTGCCTCGTGTTGCGAGTGTGCGGGGCAATTAAAGACTTCTGTGACAGGGGAGGTTATCCTCAACTCATGTCGCCATTGGTTGGGATAATCATCTGATCAGAATCATTCAATCAGATTTTAATGGAAATTTTCTATGTCTCAAACACCTTAATAGTCAATGGAAAAACCCCAGATGTTACACAATCATTCCATATAAGGAATTATACAATGTCAAAATAAAAATGACTCGACCTAAGTAGGTCACATCCCCTCCCTTTTTGGAAGTGACAGATAGGTTCCACAAAAACATACATAAGGAACCAATCTGGCAATAAAATAACAAAAATGTTTTACAAATGTAGGCAATCAAAATCATAATACCATATGAAAATATCCCTGAACATAAAAGGGAAGTAACTCCAACTTTTACAATTGGTGAAAGGGGAGTAACCCTTCAAAAAGTAATTATACATCAAAATCCCTCAAAAAAGGGTATTACAATATTTCCATGTGGATATTAAAGGTGGTAAACCCGCCAGGGTAAGACCTTTATTTCAATGACTAGCTACAATATCAATTGAGTCATATGAGACATATTATTATAAAAGATTACATATACTCAAAAACTACCTTTAATTAAGGTTCACCTGAAAATAAACAAAATATTCATCAGGAATGGAATTTTGAAAAATTCAAAACTCACACCACTCATTTTCATATGAGTGACACTCAAACAAAACCGGTTTATGGTCCTAATGAACCACAAAGCATGTCACATGATCAATGTGTGTAACAAGATTTTACATCCTTGACAAACAATCAGCCACAACATTATCACTACCCTTAATGTGTGAAATTTCCAGATTAAAATTTTGGAAATATAAGCACCATCTCAATATTCTTTGATTTGTCTGTCCTAACTTAGAGGTAAATTTCAGGGGATCATGGTCAGAAAACACTCTGACTGGATTGGTTGAAGAAGAGACATAGACTTCAAAATGTTGTAATGATAAAACCAAAGCTAAAGCTTCTTTTTCAATAGTAGAATAATTCTTTTGGTTCTCATTTAACTTCCTGGAAAAAAAGGCAATGGGATGGTCAATTCCCATGTTGTCTTCTTGAAATAGGACTGAGCCAATGGCTAAGTTGCTAGCATCAATGGCAAGTTTAAAGGGCTTGCTAAAATTTGGTGCAGCCATAACAGGAGCATTAGATAGAAATGACTTAATGGTTAAAAAAGCTTCTTGACATTTATTGGACCATTCAAATTCAACACCCTTTTTCAATAATGCAGTAAGAGGTTCAGCAATAGCTGAAAAGTTTTGACAGAACCGCCTATAGTAACCAGCCATCCCAAGGAACTTTTTGATATCTTTACAATTTTTGGGAGGTGGTAACCTTACAATAGCATCTACTTTAGCTTCAATGGGCCGAACTTGGTTCGTTCCCACTTGATAACCCAAATAGGTAATTGAAGCTTTACAGAAATCACTTTTATGTAAGTTTACAGTAAAATTAACTTCAGACAATTTTCTAAAAAGGTTAGTCAATTGAACAATATGTTCTTCAAAAGTATTAGAGAATACAACTATATCATCTATGTAGGCCTCACATTGGTCTATGTCAGCAATGACAGAGTTAATGACCCTCTGGAAAGTTTGACCAGCATTTCGCATACCAAAGGGCATGCGTTTGTATCTATAAAAACCATTAGGGGTTACAAAAGCAGATATTTCTTTTGCACGGTCAGATAAGGGGATTTGCCAGTATCCTGAAAGTAAATCAATTTTGGAAATTATCTTAGCTTGACCAACTTTATCAATAACGTCCTCTATCCGAGGTAAGGGATAGGAATCAGCTTTGGTGAGCGCATTCACCTTCCTAAAGTCGGTCACAAACCTGAAAGATCCACCGTCTTTCGGGACTAGGAGACATGGGGAACTCCAGTTGCTGAAACTGGGCTCAATGATATCATTCTTGAGCATATAATCAATTTCATCTTTTATCAAAACAGCTTTTTCCGGGTTAACTCTATAGGGGTGTTGTTTAATGGGTTTTGCGTCACCAACGTCTACATCATGAGGTGGAACCTTCGCTTCTTTGGGGACATCCCCAAAAATAGAGGGAAATGTCTCAAATAACTGAGACAATCTATGGCTTTCCTCTGTGGACAAATGCATAAGGTGGACATTCAAATTATCTAAAAAGGAAGAATTTACCAATTTTGGGGGTTTCAATTTATCATGTATCACATCATCAGAAACATTTGAACATACAGGTAAAGTAATTTTAGCTGTGGATTGAAAATTGTTACAATTATCATAAAACTTTTTCAGTGAATTAACATGATACACTGTCTGTTTCTTTCTTCTGTCGGGCGTATTGACAACATAGTTCAAATCACTTAATTTTGAATGCACTGTAAAGGGTCCACAATATCTCAAGGATAACGCATTGTTCAGATTAGGTACTAACACAAGAACTTTGTCGCCTGGATTGAATGTTCGTTTACAAGAACTCTTATCATACAGTTCTTTCATTCTAACTTGGGCCTTTCTTAAGTTCTTGTGAGCCATTTCGCACACGGCTTTCAGTCGAACGTGAAAATCGTCAAAGTTTTCCACTGGATGATCACTGGTACCTGTCCAACGTTCGTGTATCAGCTTCAGGGGGCCACGGACAGAATGTCCAAACACTAGTTGAAAAGGCGAGTAGCCTAAAGAGTCCTGGACACAGTCCCTCGCGGCGAAAATAATCCAAGGAACAGACTCATCCCATTGGGTGTTACTATTAGCGAATGTCCTTAGCATGGTTTTGAGGGTTTGGTGGAACCTCTCAAGTACGCCTTGAGACTGAGGGTGGTAGGCTGAGCTGGTGATGTGGGTAACGCCTAGCTTGGCTAGCGCTTCCTGAAAATGGTGACTGGTGAAGTTGCTGCCTTGATCTGTTTGCACGATTCTAGGTAATCCAAAGGTAGTGAAGAACCGGGTCATGGCTCTGACTACAGTCTTTGCCTTAATGTTCCGTAAGGGAATCGCTTCGGGAAAACGGGTACTTGAACACATAAAGGTAAGTAGGTACTCGTTGCCCGCCTTGGTTTTAGGCAAGGGACCTACACAGTCCATGACGATTTTAGAAAAAGGTTCTTCTAACACAGGAATCGGACTCAAAGGGGCCTTAGGAATTGTCTGGTTTGGCTTTCCGGCCAACTGACAGTTCGTGCAACTTCTACAGTAACGCGACACATCTTTTCTCATTTTGGGCCAAAAGAACAGTTCTTTGATCTTCGCCGTCGTTTTAGTGACACCTGGGTGCGCTGACATTGGATGGTCATGTGCCAGCTTAAGTATTTCATGCCGATAAGGTGGAGGGATCCACAGCTGGTTTTTACCCAACCATGGTTCGGCCGGTGAGGCAATCACTGGTATAGCGCGACGAAAGAAGAGGCCGTTCTCGGCGAAATATTCTCCATCGTCAGATGATAGAGATTTTTCGACCGTTGCTTTGAGTTCCGCGTCGACTTGTTGAGCTTTAATGATGTCTTCCTGAGATATTCTCAGGGGTAAGCCCAGGCTTGTGTTTTCTGGAAGCATAGACTCCAGTTTGGGAGTCGAATTTCTTGACGATGATGGTAGATGTGGTTCAGACGTTGTGTCAGCCAATTGTTTGGTCTGGCTTCTTGTCACCGCACATGCAGGATACAGTTCATAATCATTATCTGGAACTGTCGACAAAGGATCTGAAACCGTACAGGGGTATACTTTGCTTCCCGCAAGGTCATTCCCTAGAAGTAGGTGTACTCCTGGGACTGGAATACTATCTATCACACCTAAAATGACCTCACCTTCGACGAGATGATGTTTCAGGGCAAACTTGTGTAGAGGGACGACAGTAGATTTTGTCCCCACTCCCTGGATAATGGAAATCCTTCCGGTGTTCGTCTCTGGTGAAATGTCCATTGAACTTTTCAAAAGGAGTGATTGTGACGCTCCTGTGTCTCTTAGAACGGTGATATTCTTCTGAGACAACGGATCACCTGGTTTGCTAATGATGGCTTCGGCAATAAAAGATGAAAAGTCAACTTTTCTCGATCTCTCGAGATCGGTAGACTCGGAAGAAACTGGATGGTGGCGAGAACAGTCAAAATGTGACTGCACATAATGTGTTGAGACTTGACTACCTTCTTGCGGACACTTAGGGTTAGAGTCCTTTTGAATTCTAGAGTTCATAGTTGAACTGGCTGCTTGAGGGGATAGAGCATAGTGCGCGGAAGTACGCACCACCTCCCTGTTATTCTGAAGACGTTTGTAACAGTCCTTGACATGGTGACCAGGCCTTTTGCAGAACTGGCATACTGCTCGACGATTGAGAGTTGATCTTGGTTTCTCTCTGGACTGTGATGCCTTCAAATGTTGGCCAACAGGATGATTGCTGCCAAAAAGGGGAAGCACGGGGTTGAGGCGGTTTCCTGACACTGGTGGTTTCTTATGCACCAACATATATGTGTCAGCTGATTCAGCAGCCTTCTGGATGTCAGTTATCTTGTTATCCAGAATGTGTAGTCGTATCTCTTCAGGCAGGGACGATAGGAATTCTTCCCTTAGGATAAGTGACCTGAGTTTCTCAAACTCAGAAACTTCCTCAGAGTGTAGCCACCTTGAGAATATTTTCTCCTTTTCAAAGAGAAATTCCACATATGATTGTGTGGGTAACTTGCGGAGTGTTCGGAATTTTGTCCGATAGGCCTCGGGCGTCAGTGCGTAGGCCTTTAAAATGGCAGTCTTGACCAAACTATAGTTATTTTGAACGTCGTGAGAGAGTGCCTGGTATGTTTTTGCAGCTTTCCCAGTAAGGACAGAACTCAATAAAGCAGTAATGGAAGTTTCGGGCCATTCACATATCTTCGCTAAACTCTCAAACGAGTTAAAGAAAACGACCAAATCTGTTTCATCAAATTTCGGAACTAATTTCCCAAATTTGGCAATCACTTGCCCTACCGACAACTTTTTTGGATCTACCGGAGAAGTGACATCACTAACTTGACCAAACTCTAATTCCAACCTCCTCTTATCTAAAGCAATTTTAGCCTCTAACTCCTGTTTCTCTAGAGCACTTTTAGTTTCAAACTCCTTTTCTTTTAATAGAAGCTCCCTCTCTTCTATAGATTTCTCCTCGCGGAGCAACACACTAGCTAACAAACTTTCGTCAAATACTCCTTCATTAATGAAATGAACAACAATTTTATCTCTCAACACCTCTGACTTCTGCGTAACAGAATAATCCAATTTCAATTCCTTAACAACACTAACCAAAACTTTTCTACTCAACTTTTCTACATCTTCAACAGTAGGATTAGCCAAAAACGACTCCATAACACTAACTTTCAAATCACAACAAGCCTAGGTTCACTAACTTAACACGGTGAGTTGGGCCGTGTACTTGACCTCTAAATGTAGGACGTGACACGTCTGCTTATTTGACCTAGATACTCTAGCCTGAGCGCGCGTTGTAAGACCACGGCGCTACACTGGATAAAAAAACAACTAGACCAGACTAAACTTAGTATTCAACTGATATGACCAACAACTGGAACGACAGATTAAATCTCGGCGAGCTCCCACTTTGTAACGTTAACCTATCTATTAGCCAAATAGAAGGAGAACGTCCCCGGATTCTTTTTTCGGGGTCATATGCAAATACCTTACGGCCTAAGTGGATGAACACTTAACACAACGACCACTAGGGCTCGAATCAATGTCTAGGGGAGCTAGTGATACTATTGTAATTAACACTCATCCAATCTACATACGACCTTTTAATCAGCGAACTCAGTTGTAGATGAACACAAAGATGAACTAGATAAAATATTTAATGTATAAAATATCAAAAACCCAACTTACACAATGTAGGAAAAAACACTATCACAGATTTCTACACTGTCTAAAAAACAGCTACAGGCCACACAACACTGCTGTAGCTTCAAGACTTACTTAGCGACAAGTAATATTAAACTAGAAGACTAAATCAACTGAAGAAAGCAAGGCACACACAGGTCTTAAGTACTCTCACGTTCAAATGGTCAGAGTCTATAGCCGGACAATATGGACGGCTGCCTGAACAAGGTAAAACGGCCTCGTAGACTGCCAGGTCAAGATAAACTGCCTCGTGTTGCGAGTGTGCGGGGCAATTAAAGACTTCTGTGACAGGGGAGGTTATCCTCAACTCATGTCGCCATTGGTTGGGATAATCATCTGATCAGAATCATTCAATCAGATTTTAATGGAAATTTTCTATGTCTCAAACACCTTAATAGTCAATGGAAAAACCCCAGATGTTACACAATCATTCCATATAAGGAATTATACAATGTCAAAATAAAAATGACTCGACCTAAGTAGGTCACAATTGTAACAGAATCCAAAGTGTAAATAACAGAGCCCAGTAGTGAAGCTGGAGTTAGTTCTCCACCAAAGTAGAACAAGCTCTTGTAGTTGATTTGAATACTGATAGATGCTCATGCTGACATTCATGGCTTGAGTCTGGGTGTGATTGTGAATACACTATCTTTTGCAAGCTCCAACTTTCATCAAATAGCTTTAAACAAAACAAGTTTAAAATACATTTATGAAAGAGAAAAATATGAACTCTTTCGAGTTGAATTGCAAATTGCAGTCAGTCAATTTATGTTTATAATTATGAGTTCAATTTCCAAGGGAAGGATAGTTAACATAAGGGACCTAATAACTATTGCTATTTCCACTTCAATTTTGTTATAGGAAACCAAACAAGCAATAGAAGGTGTTGCTAGTGTGAACCACATTACACCTAAACAGTTGGATTATGTTTTTAAGGCAAGTCTTGTATAGTATCAGGCAGAAATTCCTTTGTAACAAATATGTAAAAATTTCTCGTACAATTATAATTTTTAATTGATGATGCTTAACTAATAAAACATTTTTAAAAAATATATATAATTTTTTACTAATGTGTAGAAAAATTCTAATGCTATGAATATAAAATCAAGCCAAAATATATCACAAAAATACATTCAGCCATCTGCCATTAAAAATGTTAAATTTATACAGGTGTTAAAAATTGATGATGCCTCCCAGGTGACCTTCAAAATGTTTTCTGTCATATCTGCGCTGTGTGAGAGGGTTACTCAGATGGAGTAAGCTGTGTTTTTTTTCCCTAGGTCTTGCATAACTAATTATTTTTACTATTTTGCTTAGAGGAAAATATTTTTTTCTAACTTGTGAGTTTGTGTTTCACATACAAAACTGTTTGTGTTTCACATACAAAACTTCATTGTAAAAAAAAGTAATTTCATGTCATGTTCTTTTTAATGGAAATCAACACAGTTTTTTTTTAATTTGTTTTTAAACTATATCTTTTTGTTACAGAAATTTCATTTGTTTTAAAATTTAAATTATTAAATGAAGGGGAAGCAACTCTACTTTTTAAAAAAGTCAACTACAAATAACTGGTCTAATTTTAACCTTTCCCTACTTTGAATTATCCAGTCCATTGAGCAAGCATTTGCTGGAGATCTGTGACCTGCTGGACATTGAGAGGAAGATGACCCTGTACAAAGCCATGTTCTACACCAATGTGAACTCAGACAGGGACCCCAACTTCATCAAAGCAGACTCCCTGAAGATTGAGTTGATAGCAGGGGGCCTCAACTGGAAGCAGCAGGAGTTCATCATGGAGAAGCTGCAGCCAAACTATTACAACGAGGTTCTTAACATCACTTTCCTAACTCTTTAGAGAGGCTTCTGACTAGAAAAGCTGCAGCCAAACTATTACAATGAGGTTCTTAACATCACTTTCCTAACTCTTGAGAGAGGCTTCAGACTAGAAAAGCTGCAGCCAAACTATTTCAATGAGGTTCTTGATGTCACCCCTCTAACTCTTAGACCTGAGATGGAACTGTTCTCCTTATCTCATTGCCTTTTCCATGTACACAATTGACATAGAAATGGATCTCTTTGAATGATTACAAATTACTAAACAATGAAGACCCTCTCTAGATTTCTGACTTTCTGTACTACGTAATACCTTATCTATATAATTGATGGCTTCTTAAGTGACTTTTTAAATCAAATATATCTCTGTCTTTTATTTTTGATTTTCTGATCATTTTTTTTTTGTACTGTTTATAAAAATAATTACTGATCACCCTTATTTTAGATACTTTTTACTAGATTACTTTTTTTTTATTTTCCCTCGTTATTAATCTCATATTATCTCCTGTTTCATATATGTTTTTTCTAGATTACATTTGTTATGCCCCCTTGTTCTTAACTCCAAATTATCTCCCCTATTTCAGATATCTTTTCTAGATTACATTTGTTATATCCCCCTGTTCCTGTCCATGCATGATAACATAGTTGACAACCCACTAGACATGAACAATAACAAATATGATAAGATGTTACGCAAGCCTTCAGGATTACGTAAGTTCAGGTTTTGTCATCACATGGGTAGCTGTAATTATCACATTGTTTATTAGAAAGATTTGTAATCAATGACTTGCTCATGTTCAGCTAGGCAAGTGTTATTATAACTGAACCATAAATTAAAGGTGTAGCCATAACTTAAAACCTTGAGTACAAAGTCACTAAAGTCACTGATCTTACCCAGCTCAAATGAGTACCCAGCATAATTTAGAGAATGTACAGATTCTGCTCTGAACTTCTACATGGAAACAAAAATCCTGTACCTGCTACTAATGACTATTTGATTTGGCTTTAAGCATTGCTGTAAAGCTGTGTAGCAATTAGTTTAAATTAAGAATGATATACAATTTTGCTGTTTACAATTATATAAACTGACATAATGATATAAAATTTTGGCTAAAATACTACCTGTTTAAGTAGCATGTTATCACAATACATAAAAAAGAATTTGTTTTCCTCACATGAGTATATTTGTTTGATTCAAGCAGGTATAACCAAATAGGCAAGACAAAAGTACAAGAACTTTCTAGAAACCTCTTAATTTTTCTCCCTATTTAGAGGTGTTTGTCTTACCTAAAAAGGGTAAAAAAATCTCAGTCAAATTCTAATTTTCAGCGCGGCAAAGAGATAACAACCCCCTGGGGAATCCCCTGAAAAGAGATTCCAACTACCAAAACAAGCAGCTGGCTAAGGACTTGCTGGATGGTAAAATAGACATCAGTGAAATTAAAGCTGAGAAAAGGGAGCTCATCAACAAATACACAACGTAAGTTTCATTTTAATCATTCATTCATTCATAATTTGGGTTATTGGATGTAAGTTTTATGCACATCATATAAAACATATCTTTTTATTTTGTGTCTACAGAAAGCTCATATATTTGTCATTAATTCTAGAGTTTGTAAATTTTAATACCACCATTTTGGTCCTAAACACACCATCTTCAAAGTTTGATCACATGATCCATTTTCCAGATTACCCATGTTACTTCAGGACAAAGAAGTCTCCAATATGTCTGTGTCATCAGACAAATGAAAAAACTCAGAGAAAATGTGTCTTTCTTTTCAAAAATTTCAGAAGTAAAAAGTTACAAAAAACTGATTTTAATGTGTGTTGAAGGTGTACATAAATACAGTTGTGTGTGCATTGTTTACTGAGTTACTTATCTGCTAATTTCTAGTAATTAACAAACTGATTTGTTAAATATGCAACGTATTTGTCAAATAGCCAACAAATCTTGTCAAAATAATTGATTACATAATTTTTTTTAAAATCTGGCAACGTGTTATTTTTTTTTTTAACATTCAGGATAAACATTTTACATTTTTATAAGATAAAGTGAGAAAATGTTTTCCAAGTTATCCATATACCATGACACAAAATTTGCTTCAATGGTATGGTATGCTTTGTGTCAGTGTCTGTCTAAATAATTTTTTGCTTCATTGGAGAAGTTTCATAATGAACATTTTGTCTTTTGTGAGTTACACAGAACTTATTCTCACTAGGCCTACATAACTGTAAAAATGTATTTTTCCTATGACATAAATTAAAACTATGAATAACAGACAATCGAAACATTACAACTCAAGGACTTTATTTTGACTAAACTGATTGCAATATATTGCTGCCGTATACCTTGATAACATATCTCTTATCTCATTAATTGCAATGTAAATAAAACATGTTTAAAATGTAATTCAATAACAACTGAGAATTGAAATCTTGAAGTGTTTTAATGCAGTGTAAATAAATATTGGTGAATTATATTATTGTATTTGTATGAGTGTGAGATGACTGGTATGGCTGTTAAATTATTGATAGGTAAGAACGAGATATTTTAAACATAGTTTTTGTATGTGTGACAATATAAAAATTGTGTGTTTTTTATATTGAGTGGCAAAATAAAATTCTATTACTAACATGTCTCAAAGTAATTTTCAAAATTTCTGTACAATTTTGATAATGTCTGTAATAAATGGCTTCAAATTTTAGTCCTGGATCTCAAAATTAACATAGGCCTGTGTGTGAGATTTATAATGAATTTTATTTACTAACAGTTGTATGATTAAATAAAGATTAGCAACAAGATTTTGTTTATATATACCTCTTAGTTTATCACAGAATATTGAATCATGACTGTAGGATAAATAGAGAACACAGAGGCTAAGATAGGAAGGTGTGATAAAGAAAAGAGAAACAGTCTTAGCTTCTAACAGAACTTAAATTTTAAGACAAAAATATAAGGAGAATTTACAGATTTTGTGTTGTGTATTTGAGCTTGTGGAAAAAAGAACATCTTAATAGTTGCAACAAATGCATATTTTATTTGTTAAAACAAATAGCCTAGCCAAAGTGTACACTAATTAGAACAAAATGAATTGCATACAAAGCTGCTGAGTAGCTGATATCTCTGGTTAATTTACCTGCATTTCTAAAACAAAATGCAGGACTTTCATACAAATTTTAATGGAACAATCTATTCCTAAATTGTGATAAGTTTGTTTCCAACAATTTATTAACAGATTAAATTTATGCTCTATAGCCCACAAAAAATTATAAATATAAAAAATATATTTCTTAAGCAATCAAATGAAAACAAATTATGGTGGAATAAATTTATATGTTTGAGTTTTGTCTTTCTCATTAAACCTTTCCATTCTAAACACATTTTTTCTGCTACAATTTTTTTTCATTTCTTACTGGTCTTACTGCTCATACATTAAAATTTTACAAACCAGAACATAGCAGGATTATCAAAATATAGATCAGCTTATAACACTTCTGGTTACTTGATAACTGATTAGTTTATGCTCCATCTTTGCATTAGGTGTAGGAAATTATCAGATCTTATTGCACATACAAATTTATTTCTAACTAAAGTAGTCAAAACTACACAACCATCTCCACTACACTTCTTCCTTCATATAAAAGGCAAGCTCTGAGCAGGTAACATTGCCCCCACTGATGTAAACAACGACCTTTTTGCCTTCAATGTCGGGCACTTTTCCGCTGAGTACAGCCGCCAGGGCAGCACAGCCTGAGGGCTCAGCTTTAATCCCTCTCTGAAACAACAGCCTCATTGTTCTTAAGATCTCCGCATCAGAAACCAATAAAATATCCTCCACAAACCACCGGCAGTGCCTGTAGCAGATAGTGCCTGTGACAGAATAAAGCATCTGGTTTAGTTTTTAAAAGGTTTGTAAAATTTTTACTGAGAGTTGGATTGCACAAACAACTTGAATAATTTGGTGAGAGTTTTATCAAAACTGGACTTTTAAAAATATTTTTGGAAAATAAAAAAAAGATTTTGTTATTGAATAAAATGAAAAATTGAAAAAAAATTGTTTACTAACCAGCATAAGGGGGAGCTAATCCTGCAGCAACAGATTTTGCTTCAGGGAGAGTTATTGGCCTTCTTGCTTTAAAACTTTCAAACATTGTAGAAGCTGTAAAAATAAGGGCAGTAGCCATGTTTAAAACCGTATAATGATAAGTGTAAGAAAATCAAATTTAAATAACACATAATAAAGTGTGAGCCTAATTAATGGTTTTACGGTAAAACATTTGTTTGATATGCCCCACCTCCATCTGGCTCTACAGCATACACACGACAACGTCTGTGACCAGACAAGGATATGCCAGCACCAACTCCTGAGACCAGACCTCCCCCACCGCAGCATACAACCACAACATCAGCGTCAGGCACATCCTCCAGGACTTCTAGGGCAGAGCTAAAGTAGATGATAACCATTGCTATAACAATCACAAAATGTATTAACTTGAAGAGTAAATTTCAAGAGATAGATAGAATAATGTAAAATAATTTGAAATTTTTGAAGTGATCAAAATTAAACAGTAAAGTTAAATTGAATTAAGATTAATTCACACCAAAAAATCTGGCAAATCTAGCAAATAAGAAAAAATACCTGGCATATCCCGCTATGAGATTAACATAATATAAATTTTAAATTTTTGAAGTGATCAAAATTAAACATTAAAGTTAAATTCAATTAAGATTTAAGTCCCACCAAAAAATCTGGCAAATATAGCAAATAAGAAAAAAATACCTGGCATATCCAGCTATGAGATTAACATCATCAAATGGGTGGCAAAATACAAAATCCTCTTCAGCCACTAGCCTGTCAACTTCTGACTGTAATTCACTGGTTGGTGTCTTCCTTACTTCAACACCCATTTTCTAATTGAATAATTTGTAGGTAAGGTTAACAGTAACATTACTAACTGATTAAGATAAAAACTGATAATAAATTGGTAATTTTCTTTTTGAAATCATTAACATTGGAAGTATAGCATCCACTCTCTTTTAGTATTACAGGTTATTACAGAAATTATTTTTTTGGCTAAAATTATCACCTCAATGAGTTTTGATCTGTTTTGTGGAGCTGTTTTGGGCATGACACAAACTGATTTGGTTCCTGAGTTGCCAACTGCATGAGCAAACGCTTTCCCATAATTCCCTGCAGACATGGTGACTAATTTGGGCAATTTTCCATATTTTTCTTGGACTTTGCGCATTTGATTGATAACTCCACGAATCTTAAATGAACCTGAGATAATACAATTATAGTTACATGGATTTTTTTTTAAACAAAATGTATTTAAGGACACTTGCTATTTTTTTCTAGGACTAAAAGTCAAATATAACTTTTCATGTTAACTTTTTTAAAAATGTGTAAAGTATATTATTACTCAAAGTCAAAATAAAACTTTTGTTGTTAACTTTTTTTTTAAAATGTGTAAAGTATACACAACAAACACTAACCTGTTGTTTGCATATTTTCCATCTTTAAGTACAGGTCAACTTTTGATAAGTCTTTGACCAGTAGGTCATCGACCTCATCTTCCTTGTCACTTCTTTGAAATAAATTTTGAATGTGTGGCAAGACTGGTGTGCGAACAACATGTGGAGATGTTTTCAGATATGCATATGCTTCATGAATCTGATCTAAGTTCACTATAGCAGTGTCTAAATCCATGTTCAACTAAAACAAAATAGAGCCAAATTTTTTTTATTATTTGAGAAAATATTTTAAGTAGTCTTATGTTTAAGTCAGATTATATCATGTAGGCTAAAGATCTTGTTACTGCTATCATAATATTATTCAGATGAAATCTAATTTGTGAATAAACTCTCCTATTAGTACTATTAGAGCTCATGAATTACAGTAATGGTTAGGCAAGCGTTGCAATATAGATAGTAGTCTAATGTGCTTTGAATGACAGAGTTATCTCTCTTTGACCTTGACCTGTATTATAATGTTGTAAAGCATTTTCTTAAATTATTTTTTAAAACTTATTTTAAATGTATATAAAATATACAAATAAACAAAGCTAACAATGAGCAGTCAAATATATATCTATCTACTTTAAAAAATGTAAACATTTAAACTCATTTTAAATAAACATACAGATTCACACACTGTGTGAGAGTAAAAACTATTGTTACCTTTTCTAACCCTAGTGCTAGGCTGGAGACAAAATTATTCAGCTGTTGACAAGACTGAGATATCCCACAATGCAATAGATCTTCAAGTTTGGATAAAGCTTGGAAAGGTTCACTTGATAAATTTTGCCAAAACTTTAGATTCATTTTTTATTTTATTTAATAAAACAATTATTTTAAGAAAAACACCTTAAGCTACAAATCGCATTAGTTTTTTTTTTTTCTAGCACAAAAATATTATAGGCCTACAGCATGTAGAACACTTGGTACATAAAATGTCAGGTACATGAAACAAAATTTAAACTGAAGTCATGGCACTGAATACACTTTAAACTTTTTATCAGAGCTGATATAAGTGATCAGCTTGTGGCTTGCTCATGACAAACATTAGAAAAATCTTATCAGTCAGGCTTTATACCTACCCTCTACCTTTTCTATTGGTATTTTAAGTAACAGGGTGATCTGATTTGCCAGATTTTACTATTTTATAGGATAGTCTCTTTACTTTTCCTGGCCAACAAACTTGAACTTTGATACCATGAAATTATATTTAGTAGGCCGTTCTTTTAAACAGATGTAGGCCTAAACTGTAATCTTGAATGCATTACATAGTGTGACACTGAAAGGCTATGCTGGAGATGTATGTAGGGCATAGTTTTAGTAAATGAAATGGTTTTTTAGAATAAGGGGAAGTAAGCTGTTAGAAAATCAAAATGAATTTTTAAAATTAGAAACCTATGTGACATTACATATTAGTATTAACCTTTTTTACATGGTATCTTCTAATTATCAGGTTTGTTAAAATGTGAGTTGAAATATAAACATTGATAACAGTAATGAGAAGAAGAATATCAGTGATTTGATTATGATTACACTAAAGTACATGATTAAAAAACATTCTAAAGGTTAAAGATGACAGAAGAAATATAAATGATTAGAAATTTGGTCTAATTTTTAATGCCAGCAGAATTACTTTTTAAAATCTTTTATTCCTATTGATTTTCATTTTTCCATTTCAAGACGCCCAGACAGCCTGGGTTTTATTACAGCATTAAACTAGTGGTTTACTTTACTCCATTTTAAACGTACTCCTCACTTCATAAAAAGCTAAACCTCTGCCCCTGCTCAAAACTTCATAGCATAGCATTCTAGGATTGAAATCACACTAAACTTGCTATTTTTTTAAAAACCAGCCCCCTCCCCCCTTGCACTCCCCATTCTTGCAATTGTCACACTTTGTCAAAAAAGTCAAATTTAACACATTGAATGGATGTGCCACAAGTCTCCATCAACCCACCCCCCTCCCCCCTCTCTTTCCCCCCCCCCCCCCCCCCCCCCCAAAAAAAAAAACCTACATTTTCTATTTTGAAAACAGAAATAATACCTGAGTGGGGCCAAGATTAGTTCAGAAGATTAGATCTTTTAAAGAAGGTAATTACTTAGAAAATTCAGTTTGAAAACATTTTTCTTTTACACTTTGTATATTGACCCCCCACCCCACATCAACTCCCCCTCCCACACATATACACACACCTTGCAGTCACAAACGTCAACCCGCCTTCTAGCTTTTGCCAATATGAATGATTAATGTTAACCCAAATCATATTTAGCTTATTAATTAAAGAAAGCATCAAGATTTTTTTCCACATAGAAGTTCTAACATAAGGCATAATGCAGGCTATATAAGGGTCCTCTATAAATGGAATATTATCCCCCTTTTTAATTTTTTTTTACTCATCCTCTTACCCCCCCCCCCCTACCTCTGAAATGACCACACCTCCCCCCCCCTCCCCTTAGAAATTTCATTCTGGAAAATTGACTGTCAGCATGGAGTATATTAGTATATTTAATAATTTATCAATTTCTATTGGTTACTAAAATATATTTTAGGGGGTCATCCATAAATGACGTCACGATTTTTACCTCCCCCCTCCCCTACGTCACACGTCGTCACAAAAAGCCAGCCCCACCCCCCCCCCCCCCCCCCTGAAATGACGTCACACCTCAACCTACAAACCCCTCCAAAATTGCAGTTGAATTTTTTTTTAAACATCGATATTTTTCTAAAATCTTGTCTAAACTATTACAATTTATTAAAACAGTTATCTAAAACGCGAAATAACGTCTAAAATTCGTTTTCTAACATTTCTTTTTTTTATAATGTAAAAGTGTGACGTCCCACACATTTATGGACGACCCCAAACTAGATTTACAATAGATCAATAATACTGGATCTAGATTCTATAATTCTATAGAACTAGATCTATAGATTTAGTTTATTTAGAGTATCGAGTATAATCAAATAATAGAGATATTCATTATTAGATCTATTTCTATAACTATAGAGTAGAGGCCATACATAGCGCCATAGGCCTATGGTTAAAACTGGACTAGATATAGATCTAGAAGAATCTACGTTTAATTGAAATTTAGATTTTAATCTAGATTTTATATAAAATGTTATTATTAAAAATAACAGTGTCTTCTAGATCTAGATCTAAACTTCTAAAGACTTTACTTAAAGTTAAAGACTGGAGTAACTTACTAGATCTAGATCTAGATCTAGATAAAATCTAGATCTAACTAGATTTTACTAGAACTAGATGGTAGGTAGGGCCTAGATAACTACTTAGATTTCACATTTTCTACTCGTTTTATTTATCTTTTATAGATCTAGATCTATTCTACAATTTATTAAATTGGTTTTTAATAACAAAGTTTTTCTCAGGGAATCGAATCGTTTTATTTTTCTTCCGTAGAATAGATCTAATCCCAATCTTTTACTTTAAGCTTTAATCTAATCCTAGAAATTTAGCTTGAAAAAAAAAAGAGGTGTGTTTCCGGAGTTAAAGTTCAAAAAGTATAGGTAACACTAACACAAACAGTTACAGGTAACTCTGCGATAACGTTGCTTTCTTCTAGTACATTATAATTTATGTGGTATTAGACTAACACAAACAGTAAGTTAGTAACGGTAATCCGATAATAGATTCTAAATATTAGCATTAATTAAAAATTAAATAAACTTACAACTTACAAGGTATAATTTTAATACAGGTTGTACGAGTGTAACGAACTACTTAAAAATGTCGGGTCCGAATAGCAGCCGGGGCTATTGCTACCCGAATAGCCACTTTCTTGGAACTAACTTGAATATGATTTATGAATTTTTATTAAATCTGAATCTTAGGCATTCTTAGGCCTAAATCAGACTGTAACTTAATCTTACATTACAGTTCATCAGCATATTTATGTTGTTTTAAATAACTTATAAAAACATCAAAATCTAGATCTAGATCTAGTTTCAATTTTTATTAAAAGATCAGGCCAACAAATTTCAATTATTCAATTATTTTTCTTACAATTTTACAATAGTAAAAAGAAAAATTGGTCTGTTTGAATGTGCAAGCTAATCAGAGTAGATAGATCTAGATTCTATATATTTTTACAATGGAAAAAAGCAGTAGTTATTGTTTACAAGAGTCAAATCTTCTGTTTGAAACAGAAAAGGCATAGGCCCTATAATATAAATATATAATATGTTAGGCCTACTATACTAGTAGATCTATATAATTTTCAAACACATTCTAGTAAAGAGTCAAAAGATCAAAGGTCACAAATGTTGATTATCAATTCAATAATCAAGATAGGCCAAATTATATGGTTTTGCTGTGCTGATAGGATAGGCAGGCATCCAATAGTATTTTTAAATATAGTAATTGTTTTAATTAATACAATACACTCTTATTAAGTTATTAAGCCTGGCTTGTTATCTTCAAAACAGGTAGGCATTTAATTGTCAGAACTTAAAATAAAAGTTATTATAATTGGGTTAAGAAAGAGTTTAATGATTTATGTTTCAGTATTGTGCACCAGATTAAAATTTAAACAAACAATTTTTTTTACAGATTTGATATAAATATTCAGACATCTTTGATGTTTAATTATGGCTGAGAGACTAAAAATATTGCATGGTCATATAACAGCAGTATCCTTTTCATTGTATTAAACAATATTTAAGTAGTAGTCTATATAATATATGACCAACTGGTGTGATTTTTTAAAACCTGCTAATTCTATACACGTAAAAACTTTGTTTACAATAAGTCATTTCTGCAATAAAAATTCTTAACAAGATTTTTAGGGTTGCAACCAGCTGTCTGCCTCTGCTGGAGTTAATACCTCATCTGCTTTTAAGTACACAGTTGACAACTCTAAGCTCACTTATGAGCAACGAAAGTTTTATGAAGAAAATGGTTTTCTTGTTATCAAGAAATTAGTTAGTCCTGATAAACTTAAAAAATTTAGGTAAGATTTTTTAATTGGTATGATAATTTTAAAAATAACTAATTTTGATAAATCCTTAAATGACCAGAGGTTTTAAGTATTACATTTGTCATATGTTAAAGAGAGAGATTTGCTGATATTTGTAAACGAGAAGTGATTGTCCCTGGGATGACCATCATGCGAGACGTAGCAATCAAAGACTCAGAGTTCGTGCCTGGTGAACAGGCAGTGACCAAGATCCAAGACTTTCAGCAGGATGATGTCATGTTTGAATACTGTGCCTTGCCTGAGGTCTGAATATACCCTTGTTAATTTTGTGAAATTGTAAGACTTTTGTGACTAGCAGACTTTGAGCAAGTTGACAGAATTTAAATCTTACTCTTCCAAAACCACTGTTGATGTATTCCTCTGTTGGAGTTGATGTATTTGATGCAAAAAATTGTTTTTCAGGTTGTAGAGTATGTGGAGAGCTTCACTGGCCCAGATATAGTCGCCATGCACACCATGCTAATCAACAAACCCCCAGATTCTGGTAATTAAATCCATTCAATTAATCCTTTATTAACGAAACATTTAATTTTTTATTAGGATGTTAAAATATTTTTATCAAATTGATTTTTTAGTCAAATTTGAATTTTGAACAAAGTGTTACAATTTCCTTTCAATAGGCAAGTTGACATCTAGGCACCCCATGCATCAAGATTTGCATTACTTCCCCTTTAGACCTGCTGAACGGATTGTTTGCTCTTGGACAGCTATGCAAAAGATAAACAGAGAAAATGGTTGTTTGGTTGTTGTGCCTGGTACACATACAGGAGAACTCTTGGTGCATGAATATCCTAAATGGGAGGTAACATAATAGATATTTTTTAAAATGAGAAATTTTATTTTAACAAGGCTGTTAATAATTTATTTTGGTACTTAGTTCTGTTTAGCCAAAACAAAAACAAAAAAATTAATTAAATTAAAATTAGATAGTAAAATATCTAGGCCAAAATACATTTTGGATCCTTTTTAATTTTGGATATAAATTGCTGATATAAGTTAATGCAGATAATTGTAGTAACTCCGCATGAGCAAAATCCTTTAATAATTTGCCTGGAAGTTTTAAAAAATAAGAACATTATTTGTCTAACAAGTAAATTTAAAATAGTTATGCCATTTAAAAAGTGTGCAAACAAATAAATCTATAATAATATATAAAGTGTCCATATAACCATACTAAGTATACCTTCTATCGTTTAAATTAGTAATTTAGGACAATTTTTTAATATGCTGAGTACAATGAACATAAGCTAAAAGAAAAATGAGCTTAATTTTCTTTCTTTACTATATGGCTGTGGATCTTTTTAAAGCTAAATTCCCAAGTTGATTTGCTGTTGTCTAATCTTTCTAAAACAACTTGTTTCTCTCTTAGGGTGGTGTGAATATTATGTATCACGGGATCCAAAACTATGACCCCAGTCAGCCTAGGGTGCACCTTGAAATGGAAGAGGGCGACACCGTTTTCTTCCACCCTCTTCTCATCCACGGTTCAGGTACAAACAGATCCAAGGACTTCAGAAAGGTAACTCTTTATTCTAATTGCTTAACGTTATTTTTTAAAACTTTGTAGCTACTATCCCACTCACCAAGTTAGATCTAATTCTTGACAAAATATGTACACAAATTTATATGTCATCAATAATTTTTTTAAAATTGTTTGAAAAATAAACAAAATGTTTGTATTTAATGATTGTAACGTAACTAGCTATGATTTGTCGAAACAGTCCATTTCCTGCCACTATGCAAGTGGAAAAGCTCACTACGTGGATGTTGCTGGGACTGAACAAGAAACAATAGCGGATGAGGTCATCCAGGTGGTACGTCGTAAGCTCGGCCGAGAAGCGAACATAACATTTGTGGTAAGTTGGGCATCTAGACTCTTGCTTGACTGTAGCTATTTCTCTGTCTTGCTTTGTACATATCTTCTTTCAATATTAATTTCTAGGATGTTTGGAAGTACAAAAGTCGAACAATCAAGGGAGATAACCAGCTCAACTACTCTTAAACAACACATGGATCGTTAATTGTTGTTAAAGTTTACACTTAATACTTATATAGTATCAGGTCTACTTATACAGATTTATTTTTGTTATTTAATTACTCTATGCTGTGATTTTGTTTTCACTAATGGCTGATACAATGTTTAAAAATTAATATTTTATTGTTTATAATGCAATTTTTAAAAAAAATTAATATTTTATTGATTTTTAATGCAATTTGGTTTTAATTATATTAAGAGTACAATATATTTTTGAAACTTTATTTTAACCTAACCTTGAATTATAGAATGAAATCAGTTTGAGAGAAGCTGAAGTTATTATTTTAAAACATGGATTAAAGAATTAGAAAGAGTGTAAATGAAAAATTGAAATTTGAAATGACTGATTAATATTGTTCAGGGGTCAAGGGTTTAACCAATTAATAATTTATCATATAAGTAAAAAAAAATTATATTTCTTACTTGTATACAGTGTTTTCAATTTTATTTGCAGACCAAATTTGTAAATGAATTTTTTTTAATAAGGGAAATAGTTTTCTTTTTAAAGACATAGCATTGATTTTGCATCATCTCTCAATGCCCATTGACTCCCAAGGCTTCAACAAGTTAGCGCTATTAGAAAAAAAATTATCATAATAAATACAAAATAAAAATATGTCCCACCAAAATCCTCAGGTAAAATCATTTACAATGTTTGTTTATGAACATGTATTACATTTGTATGTTCCAATAATTTCTCTTCCCAACCTAGCTAATAATTGACCATAACATTGTCACTGAACTGCATGTCATAGCTTTTTCAAAATTGTATTTAAATTAAAATGTTTAAAAAATAACTTGGTACAAGTTTGTTAGTCTTGCAATTATTTTTTTGGAGTGGCACTGAATATAAATAAAGGTACAAGGCCTAATGTTAAAAAATATCCTGTGTCATAATGTTACTTTGTCGAATTTTATATTGTAAATAATTATAGAGATCATTATCTCCAACAATAAAATGTTTGGTAACTCAGAGTTTGTTCCATCGTACTCTCCCAGATTTGAGCTAGGTACCCATCATTGTTGACCATGGTTTTATGGGTGCCAATAGGCTGTAACTTTATACTGATCACAATTACACACAATTAATTATAAGGGGGAGCACCTACAGCTACTGTTACATTTTCATATAGCTTCAAAAATCTGTTCTTATTTTAGAAACGTGATTAGCATATAGTGTTAGGTTTTGTGATGATTGTTCAATTTTTTTTTATAAAAGATGATTTGTTTATTATTGTTTACTTTACATAGCTTCGAAAAACATAATTACTAGTCATCCAAAAATGATGTCACGATTTTAAAAAGAAAATTTACCTCCATCTCCACTTTTTTCCACATGGTACTGAAAAGCCACCTGTCCCCTCGACCCCAAAACTCATGTCACAACTCAACCACCACACACCCACCCTCAAAATTATAGTTTTTGCTTTCAAAACATTGATTTCTTTGTAAAATATTTACTGAACTCAGACAATGTCGAATCTGTAAATCCATTTGTATTATAATTATAGTCTACAAAATCAATCTTTTTTAAACCAAAAATAAGGCTAAAGTTCAGTCTGCAACATTTTTTTAAAAAAATGTGTTGTCACAAGTTTTGAATCATCCCTTTATCACACATTGTCACAAACTTCCCTCCTCTCCCCTACGGCTGTGATGTTATTTATGGACGACCCCTTATGCTATAATATTTACTGTTATGAAATGAAAACTCGAATTACATTGTATTAAAATAGAGGTTTTACTATCAGTTTTTTAATGCATCAGTCCAAAACAGATATTATTATCTCAGTTATTCAATGATTCAAACTTGTGTTATCAATAGTGACGTTGAACGTCATTTTTGTCATCCAATCACAGTCATTACAAGTTCAAGGAGAACTTGATAAAACCCACAGTAATCTAATGTAAAGTTACACTTTTGTTATCAGTGTAACTGTTGCTACTAAATAAACAGGCTCCGCCTATTTGTGGAAGGGGAGACTACTTTTAGTTTTAAGCCCAAAAATTTAAAGGGCATGAACTTTTATCCCAAGTATAATTTCAATCTATAAAAGTCAAGTTGTTTAATGGAAATAAAAAATATGTTAACATGATGATTTACTATTCAAATAATGTATTAAAAAACGTTTTAGCAATATATCTACTGATGTATTTTACATTGCTTTTAAACCAGCAAATTTCGTTTTAAAGCACAAAATAAAACCAGCGCACTTGCGATATGGCACATTATGTTATAATTATTTTTACATTATGTTGTTTAAATAAATAAAAACTTAACTTGCAGGCATCGCAATGGTCAGTGTACAGAATATTAAAAAGCAGTAACTATAACTTTTTACTTTCTCGTATATACGAAGTATAGAGAAAGTCTTGTAATCATGCAAAAAAAAAAAAATCGAGATTTTTACAAATCTCGACGTTTTACACCTCAATGATACGGAAAAACATAATTTTGCAATCTTGTCCGTATGTCTGTCTGTGTGTAAACACGATAACTTGAGTACCGTTACAGCTAGGTTGATGAAATTTCATATATAAGTATTTTATCAAAATCGTAGATCCTGTTCAACTTTTGAGCGATTTCCGATAACCGGAAGTGGTAATTCTTCTACTTTGAATTTTTCAAAAGCCTATAACTTGAGTACTATTTCAGATAGATCAATGAAATTTCACATGTAAGTAAAAGATCTAATTCTCTACCTTCTTTCAATTTTTGAGTAATTTCCGTTGACCGGAAGTACTAATTTACGCTATTTCCGATTTCTCAAAAAAAAAACGCATGTAAATTTATAAAGTACTAATAATATTGTGCACTATTATGCACATTTTGTTTTGGTGTTCGATTGGTGCGCAATTCTTTTTCTATGAGATTCTATTCTATTTTTAAAAATTTAAGTAATTAAAATTCATGTCTATATTCCAAGTTATATAAGAATATGCGAGAAAGTTTAGGGGAGATCACTCCCGGTTTATTTGATTCATGACAAACCTGAGAGATCTGAGTCACTCTAGAATACAATGCAATATTAGTTATCCCCCCACCCCCCATGCCCCCCAATGATGTTACTTTGGCAGCTAATGGGGATAAGACAGGTCAAGAATTTTAAATATTCCCACACTATTGAACTCATCTATAACCACTTCATTAACTTGGCATCTACCTTCTCTAAGATGGGTTCCATGTCTGGCCCTAGCCTAGTCTATTGAGAATGACAACAAGGTTTGAAATTAAAGACCAACATTATAAACAGAGTAACAAGACATGAGTTCCCTTACACTGTGTTTACACTTGAGACATGTATACTATACATGTCTAGAAAAAAAAACTTTGCAATAAGTGAGTGGGCTCCCCTATTATCTTAGGCCCTATAGCGAAGTTTTTTTTTCTAAAAATGTATAGTATACATGTCGCAAGTGTAAATGCGGTATTACAGATGAGAACAAAACCTTAAGAATATGTGGACATGACAGGTAACAATAAAGTAATATTTCTATTTGCTTCAGCCATGAAACTAACTTGGGAATAAAAGTATTAAAAGGCCTTATTTTTGTTTCAATGTACTACAAGCTACCATAAGTTTTGTAAGTTTGTTCAAAATTTGGTTTTTAAAAGCCTGCATGTTGTAATGATCATTTCTTTTTCACAACAAAGAAACATTACATCCTTCATATAATAAATGTCAAAAATAACAAAGCTTGAACAACTATTAAGTTATTGATTATCAATCAAATTATCAAGAGTCCTCATCAAATCACTATCTAGGCTGATGATGACTACATTTATAAAAAGCAGTCTTATTTCTACATGTCCCATATAGACTTCAGTTTACATGCAGTTTGTTAGTTTAAATGTTGAACATGTGCAATTAACATTGTTTGTGTTTGGTATAAATTATTTTTTATATATTTTTAGCTCTTTGCTGGTAAAGTGTAGTGATATATTTGTTAAAATTGGTTTAAATCATTTTGATTCTTTGAGGTAAATCAACTATGGCTGATAGACTAAAAATATTGCATGGCCACCTAATAGCTGTATCCTTTTATTTCCTAAATATATTAGTTTCTTGTTTTCTTTTTAGCCATACTAGTGAGGTACAGTTAAGAAAACAAATGCTTTTTAAAAATTGTTTAGTTTAGGCCTACTTTTGTGTGTGTGTGTGTGTGTGCTTTTGCGCTCGCGTGCATGTGTGTGTGTGTCTGTGTGAACATGTGAGTTAACAAAAAAATTTAAAATAAAACTTATAAAAAAACAACTTATAAAAGCAATCATTTCTGCACTAAAAATCCTTAACAAGTTTTACAGGGTTGCAACCAACTATCTGCCTCTGCTGGAGTTTCTACCTCTTCTGCTTTCAAGTACACAGTTGACAATTCTAAGCTCACCAATGAGCAACGAAAGTTTTATGAAGAAAATGGTTTTCTTGTTATCAAGAAATTAGTCAGTCCCGAAAAGCTTAAAAAATTAAGGTAAAATTTTCTGTTTCTTTAAAATACTTTTAAAAGATTCAGTTAAGTCTAAAATAACCAGCATATTATGTATTTATGTAGCGACAGATTTGCTGATATTTGTAAACGAGAAGTGATCGTCCCTGGGATGACCATCATGCGAGACGTAGCAATCAAAGACTCAGAGTTTGTGCCTGGTGAACAGGCAGTGACCAAGATCCAAGACTTTCAGCAGGATGATGTCATGTTTGAATACTGTGCCTTACCTGAGGTCATTAGTTCATTATCTATTGTAAATTTTACCATTTCTGATTATTTAAGTAAAGCGTATCTGTTTATGTTAATAGTGATACATTAATGTATACACATGTGTTGTAATAATTAGCTTAGATGGTCTCTACTATAGAGAAGCTAAACCCATAAACAGCATTAATGTGATTAGAAAGTTAATTAATTATCAATGCTTAATAACTCTTAATTATGTTTTGTATAAGTAATTACTACTAATTGTTAAACCAGATATCCTTCTAATAATTTTGTTCTATCCTTGTAAATTAGAGTAAGTATCCATGATATAGACTTACTAGCTAGTACCAAAAGTAACATTGTGTTTTTATTTATACCCAGGTGGTAGAGTATGTGGAGAGCTTCACTGGCCCAGATGTAGTTGCCATGCACACCATGCTAATCAACAAACCCCCAGATTCTGGTAAATATTGAATTTTCAACCATTTTCAACATGACTGCCTATGGGACAGGTAAAGTAGAGTTCATATTAAGGGATAGTGTTGTCAGGTGTTGTCAGAGCTGATTTGACATAGGGTCATTCTACTGACATGAGCCCAGAAGTTGAACTAGAGACTTTCGAGGTAGCAGTCAAATACTTTACCATCTGACCACACTGTCCCACTTTATCCATCTGTACTTCATCTTAGAAAAATGCTAAAAAATTAAATCATTTTCAGAGTTTGAAATTATCATTAGTGTGTAAACTTATAAAATGTAATAAGGAGAAGAGAGTCTTAACTGCAGGCTATTTTATGTGCCGTATGATTCACTATCAGCCACTCCGTCCATTATGGGTTCTAGATTGAACCTTATAATTGTGAGTTGCATGCTAAGTTTTAAAAATAATTGGTTTCAGGCCTGTTGACATCAAGGCACCCACTGCATCAAGATTTGTATTACTTCCCCTTCAGACCTGCTGAACGGATTGTCTGCTCTTGGACAGCTATGCAAAAGATAAACAGAGAAAATGGTTGTTTGGTTGTTGTGTCTGGTACACATACAGGAGAACTCTTGGTGCATGAATATCCTAAATGGGAGGTAACAATATTAATAAGTTATTTTTAATTAAGAATATTAGGTTTTAGTAGAAGGCTGTTATTTTAACTCTAATGACATGAATATTACAAAAGGGAGGTAACAGGTAACTTCATGACAAATTATTATTTTTGGCTTAATAATTTTTTAATCTTTGTTTTCCTTAATTGTATGTAAAATTGCAAAAAATAAGTTGTTAAAATAATTAGCGTATTATTTCAGATTTTTATATGGTGTTTTGAAATCTTTAAAAACTTTGCATTGCTTTCCTAGAATAAGTATAATAAGACAACATTATAGACAAAGACCTCAACTCTTTTATTTTGTTGGTTGTTTTTAACTAAAAATATTTGTTACTTGTAAGGGAGGTGTGAACAAAATGTATTATGGCATCCAGAACTACAATCCCAATCAGCCAATACTGTATCTTGAAATGGAAGAGGGTGACACCATATTCTTCCACCCTCTTCTTATTCACGGTTCAGGAGCAAACAGATCCAAGGGCTTCAGAAAGGTAACTCTCAATGTTTTTTAAAGTTTCACCAAAAGTCTATTTCCTGTAACAATACATTTATTTCGTCCATTTAGTCTATTTCCTGTAACATTTCTTTTGTCGATTTAGTCTATTTCCTGTCACAATAGATTTATTTTGTCGATTTAGTTTATTTCATGTCACAATACATTTATTTTTTTTTTATTTAGTTTATTTCCTGTCACAATAGATTTATTTTGTTGATTTAGTCTATTTCATGTCACAATACATTTATTTTGTTGATTTAGTCTATTTCCTGTCACAATATATTTATTTTGTTGATTTAGTCTATTTCCTGTCACAATAGATTTATTTTGTCGATTTAGTCTATTTCCTGTCACTATGCAAGTGGAAAAGTTCACTATGTTGGAACAGTATCTCAAGTGTTAGTTGATGAATACATGAAGGTGGTGCGACGCAAGTTTGGACCAGATGTAAAGATGACATACATGGTAAACAGTAAATTTAGAAGAGTCTGTAGGTACATGTGTGGACTAACACCAAAAATCTATTATTTTAAATTTTTTTTTTAAATTCTAGGATTTTTGGAAACACAAGAGCAGAACAATAAAGGGAGATAACCAACTCAACCTTTCTTAAATAACCTAGCTTGGAAGTAATATCTTAATACTGGTTCTTGCAATATATCTGAATAATATATGCAGATTTATTTTGTCCTCATTCATAAATTCTGATGTTACAATACGCTATGTTTGTTTTTTTTTATATTAAAAAAGTATTAGTTTTTATTGATTTTTCTTTATTAACTGCAATTGGAAACAATTTTTAGATAGTGCTCAATATATTTGTAAACTAGAAGAAAATGTGTATCTACCTTTTGATGTAAAATAAGTTGTGTTGTTTTTTTGCTGTATTTTACTGTCTCCATTGATGTGAGATAATCAAATCACACACATAATTATCTTAAACATAATTATCTTAATTTGAAAGAATGAATGGTTGTAAATATTAATATTATTTACAATGTTGGCAATTATCTAGAAATCAAACATGTACCAACCTACTTCTCATTTGTTCATGATGGTTAAAATGTTATTGTTCATAGAATCACCATAGACCATAGTGTTAAAGTGTTCATCTTATTTTCTAATTCATCTTAAAATAAAAAACATTAGATTTAATTTGATGTTTTGATGAATATTTGACAAAATCTCAAAGAAAAATAAAGTGTAATAAATCAATTTGGTAATGCAGGTTATGAAAATTTTAAAATGGATTTATTAAAGAGATCAAAACAAAAATTAATAGTAAATACTCACAAATTTAAAAATATAATTAATTGCCTAGACAGGTTTATCATAGAACTGATAATAACAGATTCAGGTAAACTCACAGTGATCCATTTAAAATGGAATACACTACCAGGTTTAAAAAAAAACACCTGCAATTATTCAGATCAGAAGGTTTAAAGTTGCAAAATAGAACCATTATTTTAATCAACCACTCATTAGAAACATGAGGAATAGATTTTTGACCCATCTACCTACTCATGTGAAATAGATTCTGATCCATATAACCAAATAAGAAAATAGATTTCTGGCCTATTGTAAGAGGTGAAGTAGATTTATTTACTGTGACCTCAACATAACATTTTTTTTTATTCTCAAGACAGGGAAACTACAACTACAATATCACAGTAAAATCTTTATGAGGCTAGGCAAACTGAGAAAGGGGAGGTCACTAACAGTATCATAATATTGGAATCACCAACAGAAATTAGCTAGTAGGCAGTACTGCCTAAATAAAAAAAAACACATTAATATTTAACTTAAATACATGAATTATTTTACATGAGCATTTAATAACAATTATTATCAATTTAAGATTGCAAAATAAACAAAAACGAATCTTGGCACACAAGATATTATAACCTTTACAAAAGGTAGCTAAATTATGTATTGGAATGTAACAAAACAAAACTGCAACACACAAGATCTATTCACAAAATACACAAAAACAGTAAATACGTAATTATGCATCCGACATCTACATGAAAAAAGTTTATGTTCTAAATTCAGTAGAAAGGCTGAAAATTTTTATAGATGTGAGCTAATCAACAAGTCTATTCTACATGGGTGTGTGTTATGTTTAAAACTGATTGAAAAAGGCATTTTGACAATAGTTCAATAAGAGGTTAATTAATCATCAATATACAAATTTTGATTTCTAAGCATTGCACATCCTTTAGAACAAACAAATAAGTCTATAGCAAGTATGTCATAAATATATTGAAAAATTTAAGAAAATCTAAGTACTATTGCTTACTTATTAAAATTTGTGAAAACCTGAAAGACTAAACAAGAAAAACAACAGCTCAAAGAATTCATTAGATTGTCGGATCATCTTATCATGGTGTGATGATTGTTACCCTTAGCCAGCAGTTAGTAAATGTTAACGACAATTACATTAATTAAAATGCGACACATGTTTTTCTGCAACATCACATGAGGATGTCACTTAGAAACACCCTGTGATATTAGTTACCCTGGCTAGAATACTGAAACATCCTCTGATGGCAGGTGGTAAGGAACATCATGTGACATCAGATGAAACATCCTGTGGTGTTAGTTATTCTGATCATCACTGGCTGGGTACACCTGAATGGGGATTGAAATCACTCGACTGTGGTGACATCCATTGTGGGAGCTAAAAAAAACAATTTTAATTGGTTCATCTTGGTTTGTATATGTTAATAAAAATATCTTTCCTTCAATAAAAAACTAAACAAAAATTACAGTAAAAGGAATACTACTATTTTTTTTTCAAAATCATTGATCAAGAATGAAGAAATTTTATTTTGGGAAAAAATGAGAAACAATTAGTATGTTTTATATTGCAAAAGAATATCGACATTTTTGTTTAAATAAGAATAAAATAATGACATTTATTTTTATGAAAAAACGAGAAAGAATAAATATTTTAGAACAACAAATATAAAGCACCCAGAAAGGGAGGGATTGAATTGTTGTATTCTCACAACATACCTGACTCTAGCTAGCACCTCATCATAGGCAACAACATCCACCATCTGTAAGTACGGCTTCCATATCTGACCCTTGTCCACTGAGTATGACATAGGCTGACCAGGGTAACAACTCCTCAGTTCTAGCAGACCGTCCCCAGATACTCTACACAAACAAAAATATGAGTGCATACCTCGGAACCTTCCAGAGACTAGAGAAAACAACTATACTGAAACATAACACTTGGTGAATAATGCTGTTGTTTTCTGAGTATTTTATACTAACTCCCTGAAATTATCTGTGAAAATCTAACCATCTTCTTCTCACACACTGACACAAACATAAATTACACATCTTGTTTAGTCAACATTGAAGATTCTTAGGTAGCTTTTTTTATCTTCTACTTCATTCTCATATTGCAGTATTGGACGGGGTTTCCTCCAACACAATTAAGTATTACATTTTATGCACCATATATGACACTGACTCCAACTTCAGCCTGCTTTTCTTTTTACAGTTGTTTTAATTCGGAGTTTTTCTCTCCTCCATGGGATGCTGTACCCAGCTATTGAGCCTCATCTGCCCTTGGGGGGTTTGAACTCACGACTTGTTTATTAAGAAACCATGAGCTTTACTGACCCGACCCCCGTAGTTTAAGTGAAGGTAGCTGTTTCACAGTGATGCCAATCACATTATATCAATGAAATCAATTAATTTAAAACAAAAAATAAAAGTAAAAAGTTTCCCTTTCAAACCTGACGGTCTATGGGGCAAGTTTAGTAGAGCTCACTTGTTTCTGTGACCTCGGCATATGAAGAGATAGTGTGGTCAGCACTATGACCAGCCGCCTTTACTTTCCCTAACCTGAGTTAGGTACCCATCAGAGTTGGGTGGACGGTCTACTGACTTGAACCCGGATTCGAACTCGAGACTTACGGGTTAGCAGTCCAGTTCTCTACCGCTAGACCACACCGCCCCCACAAAACACAAGTAAGCAACTTATAATTTCATCAATATAAATATTTCAGCACAATCTAAAAAATGATTCAATTAACTTTTTTCCTTACCTTGCACCAGGTGGAGGGATGTGATAGGAAATATTTGCAGCTTCTAAACGCTTCAGCTCCTTGTTGCCTAACGTGTGGGCAAAGACAGACCAGTCTTCTTCTTCTTTGGGTTTTCTTTTCTTGGGGTCGACGTCTTCCCATGGTGCTTTGTGCCACGCCCTCTCCGCAAGGGCAATCAGGCGTGGAAATATCATCTCATAAAACTGATCAGCTGTTCTCACTAATTCTGTCCAGATTTGGCCTTGAATACCTGTGAAAATATTTAGTTGTCCCACATATCATATTGTGCAAGTACATTTTCTTTGAAAATCTGGTAATTTTTGTATTAATTATAAATAACAGCTACTAATAGTATTAAAAATGTGGCAGTTTTTAAAAAACAATTTTTTTATAAAGAACAGGAAACAAACACATACTGCACAACATGAGTCCATTTCTGCCAAACAATTCTGGTACAATGAATTACCTGTGATGTTTTTTGGCTTCTTGAGCTCAGTAAAATCTTCAGACTCCCTGAGCAGCTGCAGGTCCAGCTTAGTGATCTTCTCACCAGTCAACTTGACGTCTGCGTTAAACATGAGATTTTCTGGAACAAACCGGAACACCTTGTGGGTGTCAAGGTAACGGCAGGCCCAGTACAGGCCTCGCTCTTCAGGGTCAGGTTCATAAGGGTGGTCAAAGTACAGGTGAGTGCCTGGCGCCAGAATGACCTGGACGTTGGAAAATAAATGTGTGATGTTCAAAATACAGATACTAAAATAATTTTAAAAATTCTAGGTAAATATTTAAAAAATTTATTTTTTCATTTTTATTTTTTGAAGATAATCATTTTACATATTAAACAATAACAGCTACCATTACAAATGCTCATAAAACAAGCAATGTTTGAAACAGCTAGACCTATGAAATGTCTGACCTCATAGCCTTCATTGGCCAGTTTGTGTGCATCATATGCTTGCCCTGACTCCCAAACGTTCCTCCAAAAGTGGACCAAGACGTTGTTGTTTGGGAACTTGCTGCGGCTGTATGGACCCACACTTTTCACAACCTAGAAATGAACCATGTAAAATTTTTAAGGACCCACACTTTTTACAACGTAATATCAAGTGTGCACTATGTAATAAATAAAATAGAAATATGTAATAAATATAACATCTTCAGATGGTTAAGTTCTCAATTTGATTTTTTTCAAGTATTTGTAATTAACCATTGGACCAGCGTGCAAATAAATTAAATTTACGTCTTATAAGTTTGAAAATTTGAAATTAAATCTAAATCATTTTATAAAACTTCAGTATTTGCAAAATGTGATTTTAAAATTTTACAGTATATTTTCTTATATAAAGAAACAGAATTAAGGGAAAAAAAAATAGACCAGATAAAACGAGAAACTGATAAAAACTTAATTAGAAAATTGTGTTTTATAACCTGAAATAATTCAATTCGCTGAAATTTTTATTCATGAGTAGTCCTAACGATCAACGGTAATAATCTGTTTCAAACCACTAAACATTCCACAATCCCATTTTTTAAACTCTATAATTATAATTATTAAATTACAAGAATGAAACTTAAAGAGATCTGTAAATATATCAAGTTCCTGCATGCTAACATGAGTCAAGTTGTAACAAAGCTCACAATTCCATCTTGCCAGGCCCCAAGTTCAAGGCCATGTTGGTGCGCTATCCTCCCAACCCGTGTCACAAAATACTCCATTAGATCCTCCAGGGCGGCAACTTTTTTCGTGTCCACCAGGGCGCGGCATGCTGGCGAGTCGTCCCAGGCCTCAAACGGCACCTCGTCCCCGCCCATGTGGAAGACCCTCAATGGCTGAATGTCTTGGTGCATTGCCTTCAGTTCACTAATAACCTGGTTTTTTAAACAGTATTATTTCACAACTTTTAGACTACAACAAGACAAGTTTTTAAAAAATCATGTATATAAATGTTTATTAGGATGTAAGCATTATTTTGTATAAAGTAAAAGTCTGCAAATGTAAAGATACATGCTCAATTATTTTGCTCGCAATTGTATATAGCTCAATTTCTTTGTGTATTAAAAGGGTAAGGTTACCTTGTCTATAAATGTTCAATATGCTAGATTACCTAGTCTACAAAGGTGAAAGGTCAGATTACCTAGTCTACAAAGGTGAAAGGTCAGATCACCTAGTCTACAAAGGTGAAAGGTCAGATTACCTTGTCTACAAAAGTGAAAGTAGACTCCAAGCCAGGATTCATGGAATTCTCTGCCATCATCTGCACAGAGAAGCTGTGGCTTGTCTCATTGGGATCTGTCAGCAAATACCTCTCAGCTTCTTTCTCATTGTTCTGATGGGCAGGGGGATAAAAAGGGAGATTACTTACAGTAAAGACTTAAAAGGGAGACAACTTACAGTTATGCAAGAATTTACTAAGTAAGGGGAGGAAGTAGACTATTTAGAAGGAACATTTAAAATAGTTTTTTTTTAAATAATGATTCAGCACAGCATGAAGCATTCAGTACAAACAGGGGTACATTTACAATTTCATCAAACATCAGAAGTCATGTCATGACATCTAACATCAGATATCAAAACATCAAACATCAGTTACAATTTAATTTTCTAAAAAACATGACTCCAAACTTTAAGAACTTCTCACCTGTGACTTGAGTTTATCATATCTGACCCTCATGGCTCTGATGGCAGCATGGCTATGTCCTGGCATGTCAATTTCAGGTATGACCTCGATGTGTCTAGTGTTGGCGTAGCGCAGGATGTCTCTGTAATCTTCGACAGTAAAGAACCCGCATCCCAGACCCTCAGGGAAGGGTCCTGACCCCAGCAGAGGTAACAAGCAGGAGTTTTCTGTAGGGTCATGACCTCGCCTTGACCCCACCTAGTAATTAAAATATTAAGATTTAGATTCCATTTAAACATTAAGAAAATGATTAAATTGGTATGTAACTTGGAAAACAATGCAAGAAATTTTAAGAATTTTTTTAAGAACAGGATAACTGACCAAATATATGCAAGCTGAAAAGAAAAGTTATTAGAAATTTCACAGGGAAGATTTTGAATAGATATCTTGTAGAAAACATCACTCTTCTGAACAGTTTATGTTATTAGCTTATTCATTGGACTTTTAATAAATACAATTGATTAAGCAAACTAATAAGGGAAAAAATGAATCAATCAAAATTCCATGAAGATGGATTATTATAGTATAATTTAAAAAAAAATATTTCCTCCAAAAATAAATAAATCAGTTAAATTATGAACACATAAAGCAAATCCAGAAAAAGTATTTTAAAATTTCTTAAAATTTATAGCAGCATTTATAAACTTCAAAGAAGAAGAAGCATGAACCTGAGTGAGCTCCTCTAGCCCTGGTATCTCCAGTCTCCAGCCCTCGTCATCAGTCAGATGGAAGTGGAACTTGTTGAGCTTGTACATGGCCATGGTGTCTAGGAGAGCCAGGATCTCCTCCTTGGTGTGGAAGTTCCTGGACACATCAACATGCATTCCCCTGTAGGGATAGCGGGGAACGTCTTGAATGTGGCAAGCAGGAACTATTCCACTCTCAGATGCCAGGCTGAGCAGGGACTGAATCCCGTAGAAAACACCAGCTGATGTGTTGGCTGAGATCTGGATTGTATCAAAGTATCATTTTTATTTTAAATTAATCAAAATTTGAATTTTCAAATCAAAATTAGAATGCATTTATTTGATTTTAAAGACAAGAAAAGTTAAAGACTGAAGATTTCAATACAACATATTAGCTTATTTATGATTATAGTAAGCTTTAGCCATGTAATCTTTATTAGCATGGTGTATAAATACCTCATAATGTTTCTGACATGGTTTTTAAGATCAATTTAGGTTAAAGTTATTATAATTGAAACTGATTTTTTAAAATGTATAATCAAAGCAAAAGCTGACTTTTAATCAGAAACATAACTTAATTTCAGACATTTTACAAACAGTTACTTTAAAAATGTGAATCAAGTTAACATCTTTCAAAATATTGACATAAATGAGAACTATTTGCAATGGTGAAAGAAATCAGTGAACATCGTGGGAGATGTTTTACACTGCTCCCCGCTAACCTGGACAGATTCATTGGATGGGTCCACCTCTACTTCATACGCTTCATGGTCTGGAGCACCCTCCAACACAGGTTTTACTTGATTTTTCCTAAGGATGATTGAGTGGCGAGGGGAAGCAACCAATTTAGCACTTTCTTGTGTAACAGGAAGTTTCATTTTCTCTTGAAAATATTTAATTATATCAAGGTAAGAATAACATCTGCATTTGAAAAAAGGCAAGGAAATAATTATCCAAATGTAAACAAAATTTTAAAACCATTTACCTGATAGAAATACTGCCTCACAACTGAAAACATCATCAATTGTTACAATACTCCAGTCTCCACAAGTAACATCAACCCGGCCTTCACCTTTCTTAAAATAAGCCGGTGTTGGAATTACAAACTTCAAGTGTTCTGTTTCTTTCTTCACTTCGGGATAACGTGAAAACCTAAGCTCTGGAGTAAACGGCTGGTATATATCAAAGCGACGTTTTCCCGAAGGTAGCACATAGTCAAACCGCTTGTACTGTTTTGGGGAGGTGAATGGCCCCACAAAACTGAGAGACTCTCCCTCTGTACATTTGATGATCCTTGGCTCCAAGCCCTCCACATGAATATACCAGTTAGGTAGGATATCAGTCCTGGAGGCCGAGTAATGCTGAGCATTGAATTTAAACGAAACAGTGTCACCATTACCGAGAGTTTTAAAACTCCGAAGAGGACTAAGTTTGAAAATACATCCATTTAAGTGAGAAAAACTGATGCCGGCGTATTCTAGATTGACGCTGGAGTCTGCGGGCAAGTAGGAAGGTTCAACCATACGCAAGTGTGAGAAATAAATGGACCACTCCTTGTGTTCTATAGCGTGTGACAGCTGGACATTACACTGATTGGTCAGGGTTATAGAGGAGCTGTACAGAGCACGACCACCACTTAAGTTGTCTTCAACCTTTAGACACAGGAAATAAAACAGATCAAGTTTAGCAATAAGAACATTTTTAATATGCTCAATTCTCTACAATGTTATCAATTAAACCTGCTAATATTTGTCATACTGTTAACATTTATAATATACAAGTATAGCATCATTGCTTACATGAAATATTTCATGTTATTTAATAACTGTTAAAAAAATAGTTTCCCATGTTAACTAAAATTAAAAAACAAAAAAAATGTCTATTACTAACTTGGTATTTCACATCTAGTGTAGATGCTACGAGGTCAAGGTCTTCTTGTGTAATCAACATGCGACCTGAATGTTCAGTTCCAGCCATGATTGAAACTGTACCTTGCGTTGACACCTTTTAAAAACTATCAGGAACGTTTATTATGAAGAAATTAGAAATGTTTTTAATATGCCTACTAAATAAATAATTTGTAAAAAGCCTCAGCCTAAATATTTTTATTGAAACACCAAACACATACACTTTCTTTAAAAGGTCATAAATAAAAACATTTTTGTTTAGGGCCTATTGAATTAAATTAGTGCTTAGCCTAGATGTAGATGATCATAGTCATAGTGTTAAGTGACATAGTTGTAGCCCTAAAATAATGGTTGTCATGATTAGGCCCTAATTAAATATATACTACGAGCTGGCGTGCGACGTAGCATAGGCTGCTATTTTGTTTAATTCCTATTTTTCAGTAATTCATAATTTGTGAATTCGACACTACCAATGCTGTGACTAAAAATATTTTGCTATAAAACTCTATCAGTAGCTAGTGAAGAAAGATTATCCTCACTCTCACTTACCACTCCTCCCCCCCCCTCAGGGAAAGCAGCCGTCTGTGACGACAGTTTATAGACAACAATGGAAAGAGCAAGCAGAACATGTTATTACCTCCCCTTAATTTCAAATCGTTTAAATTATCTGCCCAGATCCGGCTTTTGGGGGTGGCGAACGGGGCTGTCATCCCTGGCCCCGCGCTTCAGCACCGTCACTGTTATCTGAATTAGTTTGTAAACTTAAAAAAATTGTTGCTGAATTCACTTGGGAAAAACTAAATGGTCGAATGCCGACGTTGTTGATTATTATAACTGAGGCCACGGTTGATGTTAGTGAGTTATCACCCATATAAGCCTAAACTGGGACAGGCCGTAAATTATAGAAAAACATTAGTGTGACACACCTCTCTGTGTGCAGGGTACGACCTGACCAGAGAGGAGAATTTAGAAAACACGTAATGAGATACCCTATTGTATGAGGATCGATGAAGACGTTTTGTATTGAACAGACAAGATGCCTGTATTAGACAGATAGTGACCCGGGTGGGGGTGGGGGGATTCACTTGGAGGCGTGGTCGGTTGCTAACAACAATATGGCGTCCGGACCGGACACATGACTTCCGACGATTTTTTGGCCAAATTCCAGTGACCTTCTACAACTTACTATTAAAAATTTTTACCACGAGCAAAATGGCGGGGTTTGCGTTGGAAAATGAAGGCTAAATTTAAAAGTTGGTTTCATTAAAAATACTAGAACTTTTTAAATATCAATCTGAAGAGTACAAAAATGAAATGAAGTCTGTAGAACTATTAGGTTTATCAGTCTATGTAAAAAGAAATCAAATATTGCTAACCACTTTTCTATAAACGATGGCTTTTAAATGATAACCAAATTTATTTTTTTTAAACCACGTGACCGCTATTTGGTGACCACTAGTGAGGAACTCTGGGTGCATGGCCACTTAAAAAGTCTAACCAATTTGTGTTTTTCTTTAGCTTCAAAAGTAAGAAGAGTTGTCATGGAGAGATGTGTTGTGCATTTTGTGATTGACAATAAATATTAAATTAAGTAAATTTTGTTTAAAACTAACTAAAAACTTCAAAATTAGTGACTAATGGATTAAATACGGATGTCTATCATTCAGTGGTCATGTTTAAATTTAAAATTGGGTAAATTTTAGATTTAGTGAGAAAAACTAATATATATGGGCTATTTATATAATGGTAACGGTAAAAGCAGGCCCCGCGGATGGTTGGCACTAGGCCCCACGTATTCCTAACGCCGGCTCTGTATCTGCCCCTAATAGCCATCACTACAATTGTAAACAGCTCACCAGACTGATGGGGGTGAGGGTGGTAGCGACAAGGTCTGTTGAGCTTACGTCTTGGTGGTGTCTCGTATGGTCCCCACATAGAGAATTATATATATACGAGCCGACCCGCTGCGTATCATATGCCGCTATTTAGTTTTTTTTTTTTCTACTTTTCAGTAATTTATAATTTGTGAATTCGACAGTACCAATGCTGCCATTGAAAATATTTGCTTAAAAACACTACCCCCCCCCCCTCCCCCCCCCACGTGAAAGCAGCCTCCTCTTAGTTACCTCCTCTAAGTTTAAAATCGTTTCAAACTAAATTATCTGCCCCTAATAGCCGTCACCAAACCCGTCTCTGTGATTGTAAAATTTAAACAGAGTGAACACCGCTCACCAGATCATGTGGGGGTGGGGGTGGTAGTGATAGTGATAGAGAGGAAGAGAGGGGACTGCAAAGGCGCGCTTGCAGCTTGTTTTCTAACTGATCCCAGAAGAGAATTATATATATAGATATAGATATGCCCTAGATCTAATACTAATTAGATCTAATTAGTTAATTAGTAGGCCTATTAGTATTACTATTAATTTCAAATTTAAAAATTAGATTTTAAATTTTTAGTACCCAGAGAAGTGACTCTAATATTATTTATATTTTTAGCCATTGATTTTGGTTTATTATTCAATGGACACCAGTGAGTTGACGAAAATCCCTCCGAAATGTTGTTGACATGGAATACAAATGTGCTTTTTTAGATTTAGGACCGTAAAAATAATCAAAGATAAAATTTTATTAAAAACTTAAGCTAAAATAAATTCAGAAATTTAATATTTTTAGAATCAATGCTATACAAGTTGCAGATCCAGAGAACTTGAAAATAATTTGTTGAGTTTAAGGTTACATTTCTATTTATTTATTTTCATCAAGCCTAAGTTATAACGTAAGACAAACATTGATTGGCTGTACAGGAACTCCGTGATCGATTTCTGACAGCCCCACTTTATAGTTTTTTTTGTTTACAAAACTTTGCAGATCAAGTTTTTAAATAACAATGCAAATTTAAACAACATGACCTAGTTTATTTATGGCAGCCTATCGAATAGCAGGATGCCATTGTTTATGTTGCCATTACACATGAAAACCAAATTATTTTTGCTTTTTTTTTTAATTTTTATTAGTTACCGAAAATATTAAAAACATCAGATACATCCAATCTTTAGTAAAGTCCAAAAAAAACTAGACAGGCAGGATTTTATAACGCCATTAGGCCTAATTGTAACTACGCCTGCATGATTTTTAAATTAATTTATGCTTTATGGACCTCTCAAATACCTTTGAGTGACTTTTCTCGCTGGTGTCCATTGACACATGACTACTAGAGATCTAGCCTCGGCCGATTTTACGTACCTAAAACGATAATTAATTTACTAATTAATTAATTAATTAGGCATAATCCTTTAGTTTAGTTTAATAGTTAGGCCTAATGAAAGTTTATTAAAAATTCCGAGTAATTCTTTCCAGCAATTCTGAATTCTAGAGATTTACTACCGTAGATCTCGATTTATTCTTTTTTCAAGTTTTTTGTTTTCATTAGAGCAAACAGTATCTGATTCTAAATCTACCTAGATTCTACATTATCTAATAGATCTAGATCTAGATTCTAAGTCGATCTAGATCTAGACCACTCCAGCCAGACCCTACCAAAAGCCGTGAATTCGAATAGTTTAATTAAATTTACGGATTGACTGTCCGTGTTTCTCTCAAATTCTGTTTTAACTTCGTCGTCGTTAGGTTTTTTAAGTCCGAATTTTACTTCACTGGCTTCCTATGTCAACAAACATGGCTGATACCGGAGTAGAAAACGTTGTTGACGAAATTCGGAAGATAGTATCAGATGAAATATGCAATATGGGAGTTGAAATAGATAGCAAAACATTAGATATAAAGAAGAATAATAAAGAGCTAAAAAGGGGTGATATTATTATTCCTGCGGGAAGTGTGAAATTAGTTGACTCTCGTTCTGAGTCTCTCCAGAAACAAGTGAGTTAGGCCGGGGTAAAAATCGGGAAAATTGCAGTTGAATTTTTTTAAAAACATCGAAGTATTTTAATCAATTCCTATTACAATTTATTAAAACAGTTTTCTAAAATGCAAAATAACGTCTAAAATTCGTTTTCTAACATTGCTTGCAAAAGTGTGACTTTGCACCATCTTAACCTCCCCCCTCCCCCTCATCACACACCGGGCGTCACAAAATTACGGACTCCCCCCTACGAGTGTGACGTCATTTATGGACGACCCCTTTAGACTTTTAGTTTAGTCAACTTTAGTGACAAGTGAGCCTCACTAAGACACGACTGAGACTCCTCACCAGCTCAATTGGTGAGGATCAGTCATCATCACATCATGACATGTGTGAAGTATTTTGGATAGGCCTAGATCTAGAGATCTATATTTATCTAATTTCTAAAATTAGAATCATAATCAACCCCTTGAAAATGAATCCCTGGCAGAATGATGAGCCTCAGGAATGGCCTCAGGCTCAACAACGGTCTGGCTTGTTACATTGAACTAAATTAATTGCTTATTTATAATAACTCAAAACAAAAATAGAAGGCTGCGGCTATTCATAGTTCTATATAAATAGCCCTATGAAGGCTATTCAAACTCTGTCCAGTCAGCGCGAGGCATTTTTCTGTGATTCTTAAATTCCCCTATTTATGCAAATTTTTTAGGCCTAACAATTACTAATTTGGTGCTTGATTGATAAATGAAATAGAAAGACTAATTATTTTGCAACTGTGTCTAGCACTGAAAAGATAATACATTGAATAACTGTTTTTCAGTTGTTGTTGCAGACAGAAAAGAAAATTAAAGAAAATAATGGCCTTCTCAAAGATGTCGTTCAAAATAAAAACTGTTTCCTTGCCTTTTATTTTAATCGTCCAAAATTTTGCAGTACTGTTATCAAACAGGTAAATCCTTAACAAAAACTTTTTGTGACCTTGACATTTATTATAAAAGAATAAGTACATTTTAGTCCTAAACTTAATTTGCCAGCAAGTATTTCTTTTTTTTCCTTTGTTTGCAGATTGAAGAACTAGGTTCCAAATATGGCTTTTCTAAAACAAAAACTGGACAAGAAATATTTTTGAACACAGTTCTAGAGCGAAGTGAGAAAAATAAATCTAACAGCTGTGTCAACTCTCTAACAGACCTCAGAGTATCTGTTGTACAGTGCCACTTGAAGAAGTTACTGGAAGCTAATGGGTGGGTTCATATGTTTTAAAATGATTGGCACTGGTCTTAAATTTTAAAGGATTTAATTTTAAAACTGCTGGCTCATCTTTCTTATATTTATAAACCTATAGAGATGATGCTTTGTGCTACACAAACGTTTACAAAAAATTAATCTCAAGTTTCTACTGTTTTTAAATTTACTCAGTTCTAACCCTATATTTTAAGCCTGATATTTTTTTTAGTTTGGCAGCATTATGACAACCTTTTCAGTATTTTAAATATATATCAGAAAACATGTTTATCTATAAGAAAAGAAAAATTATAAGAAGTAGAAGAAATTAGTTGAATGTGAAGAATGAGTGGTGAGTCTTCCTGGGTTTTTTTTTTCACACAAGTAAAAACAAACATGATTTTTTTTTTACATCTGTTGCATTCGAAATTGTATGATACATTCTGATTTCTCCACAATTTGTTTACAGTTATGATGTATACCCAGAGACTGTTTCTAATCCTCTGAGTTTATTGCTGGAAAATTCAACTAGCTGTGACACAAAACTAGGGGAAATAAGCCAGTCAAAAAGTGACAACTTGGGGCAGGATATGGATGAGTTATCTGCACATTTTGTATCAAAAGCTAAAATCCTCTGTACAGAACAGTTGACTGATTTAGATCCAAATTTAAATGCTGAAGTTGACTTGGATTTACAAAAAGTTATTGCAGAAAAAAATCTTTATCTTGGTAAAGAAGGCTTTGACAAAAATTTAAACAAAGTAAAAGGTAATGTGTCTTTAATGTTTTAGCTTTATTTGTAAATACTTGGTAATGTTATAAACCTTCTAAAGAATATGATAGAAATCATGTATTAGTCAAGCTGCTTGAGAAGTATATCATATATAAGAGTTTGATTTATTTTAGTTTATTTTGGTGTGTTGCATAGGATTATAAATGTCCTCAGTGTTAAATAATACATAAATAATTAAAACCAACATTGTTATATTTTCCCTTCTTTAATTTATTACCGATTGCGGTTGTTAACATAAATCATAAGTTTAAAAAAAGCTTTAAAAAAACAAAAAAAAAATTTCTACCTCGTCCCTATTATAATTAATCCAATATAAAATGAAATAGTATTTTTTTTTAGCATTTTTATCATATAGTTAATATTTTTCACTAGTTTTGGAACGTGGTGTACCAACATGGGCACTTGAAAGTGCTATAGACATTTCTAGGAAGATCCGTCATTTTACCAGTAAACAGGTGAATCTCTATGTATGTGAATGTTGTGGGAATCAAATTTTTTTTTTAAACTGCAATTTTCAAAATGCATTACTTTGACAGAAAAATATGTTAAATGTTGTTTTTTTATTTTGTATGTTGTAAATTTTGTCATCTATGTAACTAGAAACTTTTGTTGACTAGAACGTTGGCTGTTTACATATCGTGCCACAAAATATGGCCTTCAGGCAACAGCAAGTTGAAATCCTCTCAATGGCTCTTTGCCAACAGCAGTTCATACAGGTAGATAATTAAATTTCCAGCTAATTACTTGGGTAATTTACCATGTAAAAGCAACAAATCAAGTTACTCCTACTGCTACATCAGAATTGTGTCTGAAAAAAAAATCTTCTAATTGTCCAGGCCCAGCTAGTTGTGGGACCAGTTACTAGTAAATCAAAGTCTGAGAAATGCCCAGACAAAGCTGCTCAAGATTTTCTCAGGCAAGTTTTTGGCCACAAGTTTGTTAAGCTTTGGTTACTTATAGCTTTCATTAGGTCTTCACTTGAGTAGTTCACATCATTTTCTTTAACATCAGTTTAAAACCGCCCCAGACATGTAATTATTTGTTTTTATTTGATTAAAATTTTTATAGGGTGAGGTATGAACAGATGAAGGAAGCCTCAAAAATGAGATCCTCTTCAATATTTGAAGGTAATTTTATTGTAATGGTTGTTAACAAAAAAAAACTGTACATTTTGACTCAATAATTATTTTGAGTACTTTTTGAACAATGGAAATTGATGTCCATTTAAACGTAACATTATTAATTTATCAGAAATACAAAATTAACAATAAAAAGAAAATATTTTACAATCTTTTTTTATAATAACTTATTTAATTGTTTTTTTATCTTTTCTTACATTTTGTTAGACCAAAGCAAGCAGATTGAAGAGCTGACATTTGCTAGTGTAATAGTTGACTTACTGACCAACTCAGTACACACTTCAGTAAGTGGAACTTCTGACTTGCTTGATTGGTTTTGTTTTGTTTCTCTTTTTACTGCTTTTTAAGATTTTGTGATTCAAAGCTTGAAGTTTCCTGACCTGAAGATGTTTCAGTATTTACTCCTTTTATATTCAACATCAGGCCCATTCATGTAGCCTTAACTAAGAACTGTTGCTGAACTTTTAATGTAAGCACAACTAATTTACTGGTCAGTTTGACTGATCACCACCAACATCTGTTACTGACCTATTAATCTGACGATAACTAACTTACTAACCTGATTATCTGACCACAAGAAACCTAATTTGTTGCCCAGTTGATTTGACCACAGCCAACTTGCTGATCAATTGATCTGACCAATTGATCTGACCACACCTAACCTAACATGTTGACCAACAGCTTCACCTAGATACCAATGGAGAAGAGCAGGATGCTGAGACCAGACAGGGGGCTTTTATCATGTACAACACAGCCAGACTAGCCACACTGATGGAGCACTTCAACCAAGGCGTTTCTACTGGTGGGTGCCTAGACTTTTATAGTTAAACTTAAACTATATCCTTCAACCAAGGTGTTTCAACTCGTGTGTGTCTAGACTTTTTAGTTAAACTATATCCTTCAACCAAGGTGTTTCTACTGGTGGGTGCCTAGACTTTTATAGTTAAACTTAAACTATATCCTTCAACCAAGGTCTATCAAGTGGTGGGTGTCTAGACTTCTCTAATAAAAAATGAGTTTCATTTGGTCGATATCAAGGTATTTTTCTTGTTGGGATCCAGTCCATATTTTACTTAAAGCTTTACACAGCAAAATTTACTATATTACATTAAAATGTTGTATGCAAGCCTGTCATATTTTAAGAATATTAATTTTCAGGCATGTATCCACCCCTGCCATCTGTGGATAATGTGGATTTCAGTCTGTTGAGGGAAGAGGTAATTTTTTTTTTTTACAACAGCTTCTTTCTTCTTCTTCTTCTTCGTTCTTAATTATTAGTGTTGAAGGGGATCGAGATTTATCTGCCAGTGCGTTTGAACTCGAGACTTTGTTCGAATTTATCAACCATGAGCTTTTTGCCGACTCGATCACGCCTCCAACACAATTATTCGTTACGTGTCAACTGGTTATGCGCCATTGAGGCCATTGACTCCGATTTCAGCCTGCTTTTCTTTTTGGATTTGCTTCCATAGCCTTTGTCCAACCAAGAACAAACTACAAGGCAGCAGTTGTTTTAATTTTGGAGTTGTCTCTCCTAGAAGAGTGGCTGTCCCCAGCTAACGAGCCTCATCTGCCCGAGGGTTCGAACTCGAGACTTTTCGGTTTAGCAACCATGAGCTTTACCGACTCGACCACGCCGACCCCTACAACAACAAACTTTATCATATTTTTAGCAGTCAGGTTTATCATTTGTCAACTTGCTAGTTACAGAACTAAGGATAAGAAAATTCCAGTGTTAAACTGTTACATGTTTTCATGCTGGTTTAAAATTTAGAATTGTTCCCTTTCTGCAGCGGAAAAATTGAATCCAAGTTTTTAAATCCCCAGGAAGATTGGGAGCTGGTGTATTTGTTTCTGGCAGCTTTTCCTGATGTTGTCAGACAGGCTGTGGAGGTGGTCTTCCCCACGGGTGGGAGGTGTTCAGCAAAGGTTCACACACACAAGGTAGGTTAGGGAGCTGGTCTTCCCCACAGGAGGGAGGTGTTCAACAAAGGTCCACACACACAAGGTAGGTTAGGGAGGTGGTCTTCCCCACGGGTGGGAGGTGTTCACACACACACAAGGTAGGTTAGGGAGGTGGTCTTCCCCACGGGTGGGAGATGTTCAGCAAAGGTCCACACACACAAGGTCGGTTAGAGGCTCATGCAATGGTAGTTACATCACTCAGGTCAAAGGTCAGCTATCTATAACTCAATCAATTTTGCAGTATACTTGGAAGTTGCTATTTTACTTTCTTTTACATCTTGTATTTAATACTTTGGTCATTCATCAACCATCAGTCCATATATACAGCCATATTTACATTGCAGAATGGTGGCTATAATAAGAATTTAATTATTTTAAGAGCAATAGAATCATTAAGTTTTAATCAACGTAGTTTTGATTAGTTAAATTTATTCGTTGATTACAAAATTTTAAAAATATCAAATGCAGTTAATGTTTAGGCAACAGTAAGATAATTTCAACAAAACATTTTGTCTCTAATAATGCACTGTTTAAAATATGCAAGTCGTATAATTTAGCTAAGCCCCCAGTAGTTTTTTTTTTTTTTTAAATCTTGTAAATTATATGATGACTGTTTTGAACAATAGTTTTCCTATTGAGTAAAATTGTTAATGCTCAGGTTTCTTTAGCCCTGCTTAAGTTAGTGTCAATTCAATTCTTTAGTGTATCCGGAATTTAACTAATGATTAGTGTTTTAATTAAATTGCTGCCAGTTAAGTCAATGACTCTATGCTCTGCAGATAACAAACTTTTTGGTATCATTCAGCACACGCTTGAGTGCACACTACAGTAGATATCATGTTTTAGCTGTAAGTAGATATCACATTTAGCTTTAAGAAGATTTCATATTATTGCTGTGGTTAAATATAACATTTTAGCTGTAATTAGATATCACATTTAGCTGTAAGAAGATTTCATATTATTGATGTGGTTAGATAGCATGCTCAATAAGTATATTTTTTTTAGCTGAAGTAGACACTATAATTGCAGGAAATTAAGATCTTGTTTTTATCTTTAAAAGAACTGCTATCCTATTTTAAAAAATGATGTATCATATGTGTAATCTGAAAAGTTAATGTATAATTTAGAATGCTCTCTAAATTTTCAACATGATTACCATAACAATATCATAATTCCTACCTTGATTTACCTTTTTTCAGAGTGGAGAGCCGCACCTGCTCCCTCTGATGTATGCCAGGTTGTACCTGATGAAATCAGCCCACCAACTCCTGGTCAACTGCCTGCATCTCATTGGGGTCAAGGCTCTGTCCTACCTATAACTTGGCTTCAGTTCAATAAAATAAAACACTGGCGATTGAAAAGTTCTTGACACGTACATAGGGTGTGCATAAGGTGGAGGGGTGGATGTGTGTCATACGTAAGTGAGGGGTGGATGTGTGTCTTGGTTTAGTGTGTAACCAGCCTATTGCTGACTTGAGTGGTGAGTAGAAAAAAGTCACAGGAACAAAAATCACAGTAAAAAATAGCAGGAACAAAAATCACAGAAAATGACACAGGAACAGAAATCACAAAACATAGTTACAATTTTTGCTAGACAAAAAATGTCACGGAAAAAAAGTTAAAAACAATGTTGGAAAAGTTACCAAAATAAAGTCACAAAAAAAAAAGTAAAAAATGTGTATTAAAAAAAATTGATTTACTTGTCATGTTGGGTTTAACTATTACTATTCACTAACAGTAAACCTTCTTCTAACCCGAACTCTAAATCTTACCCATAGTGTTAATAAATTGTCATAGAATCTACCAGCCCAGCATACAAAAAGTAAATACAAGAAAGATTCCTCTTCATTCTTAATTTTGTTATGTCGGATGGAATTTCCTCCAACAGTATTATGCTTCAATGTCAACCCAGATTTCAGCCCGCTTTTCTGAATTTGGAAGTTCCATGGCCTTTGTCCAACCAAGAACAAACTACAAGGCAGCAGTTATTTGATTTTGGAGTTGTCTCTCCTAGATGTGTTGTTGTAACCAGCTATCGAGCCTCATCTACCCTGGCGGGTTCGAACTCAGGATTTTTCGGTTTAGCAGCCATGAGCTTTACTGACCACGCCGACCAAATACATGAAAGAAACAATCCTAGCAATTAATTACGGAAGTAGTATGTTGATAAATACTTAAATATTTCAAAACTGAAGATGGGGAGTTATTAATACATTTATGTTAATCTGGTGGGGGGGGGGGAGTGGAGATAATAGAATAATACACTTGTTATGATAATCTGGTGTTGGGGGGGGGGGGATTAATAGCCTTGTTATGTTAATCTGGTAAGGAAGAGGAAAAGCCAAAAGCGTGAAGACACGGGTTAGGACACGACTTGGAACACTTCGTCCCATGCCTGTCTTCAATCAAATTCGTCTCAGCTCTTTGAAATGCCACAAACTTCAGCAGTTAAAATGTCTACGAGTCTTGCTGTTTTAAAAATAATTGCCCCCCAAATTTAGTATTCGGAACATTTTTTTTTTCGTTATGAAAAATGCTGATTCGTACAACTGTATGACAGCCGCAAAGACGAGATGAACATTCTCATGCGACCATTTTTTGGGCAGTTAACGTCGGTTGACGGTGGTGAAGAGGCTGGGAGAGTCACCCCTACCAGGGCGGGGATCCCTTTCACACGTCCACTTTCCCTCTCGAGCACGCCCCGGTGCGCATAAGAAAACAGTCGGTGCTAGGCGCCATGGTCGACGCCCCCCTCACGTGACCGTGTCGCTTCCGCCAGCCCGGCATGATTGACAAGCTATGATGCTCCCACCTCGTGTGGTTCGCGCCGGCTCTGACACCTCGCTGACTTTAACAGCCCCGGGCCGATGTTAGATGGGGACATCCTGGGATTAATTCATCAAACGGGGGCCAAGATTTACGGGCCCTGCGTTCGTGTTCCTTGTCTACAAAAGCGGAGAGCGAGGGAGAGAAAAAAAAATGACTGCGCGGCGTATTTAAATTTAGCTGCATTGTACCGACAAGGGAGACGTCCGTTTTAGTAACATTGCGCAGGGATGTTGATGAGTTGATGGGACGTATCACAGCGTCCTCTCGCGGGTTTCCATGTCTAATTTATTCTCAACATTTAGTAAGGTTTAGGGGAAGTGAGGGGGCGGGGCATCACACCTGTGCGCAATCAATGTCTAAAGTTTCCCTTTCATCGAGAAATGTCTCAGCAATGTGATACATCAGTCGATACTTGGGTCTGATGTTGACGTGGAAGTTTGCATAAGAATGCCTGGCTTGAGTTGTCTTTCCTATCAACACACCTGCAGGTTCAAGTTAGCACCACGGTGACCTACAGGTGTAACATGGTTCTGTTTGTCACAATACAATCCTTGACCTTGCTTATATATACCTGAATCTAGACGTTATCTTTTGCCTCGAACGTAATCGGTTATTTGATGTCGTTCAAAATGGATGCCCTGATTTCATAAAATTTCAAAATAATTATATTATTTACTACCTAGTTTATTCAACGTATTATTCACCCACGTCATAGATACATTGCTTGCACAAACTGAACATTTTAAAACATTATTTTATTTTAGTTTACAGTTGAACTATTCTGTAGGTTTCTATATTATATAGCCTCCTTCTACAATATTTTATATCGACTTCCTACAACATTTAATATCGTCCTTCCTTCAATTTTTAGCAGTCTCTTCACTCGTTGAACCGCTCCTGTCGTTTTTGACGAGTTTTTTTTTTTTTTTTTTTTTTTTAAAGAAAAAAGCATAGGAAAGGAAAAATTACTGTTAAAAAAAACCGAACACATACTAATCCATCACACAAACAGGCATATTTCAGTATACATATTTAGAAACCTGGGACATATACCTACTGTTTAAAAAGTAGGCCTGCAATATAATAAAACAAATATTTTAAAAATAACATTATAAAAACAAGCTTTTAAACTCACTGAAAATAGTATCACACATTCGTTTATACACCAACAAAGTATAATACTTGTGACTTACGAATTTGGAGCATTTTAATACCCGGGGATCTAAAAATAAATCTAGAAATATTACTATTACTTTTTCCTTTTAAATATGGGAATGGTATTGAAACATAGATTAGAACGTACAACTGCAAACGACATTGAGAGTGTTACTATTTCTGAAGCCGCAATAGGCATACCGTAACATGACCCTGCAAGTTAAAAATGACAACTGCTAGTTCTCATAAATTGGTAGCTATAAAATATTTTCAATACCTACCACATTGCCATCAAAGAAAATTAAGATGTTCAATTTTACAAAATATCTTAACTAAAACTTAATTAAAGGTAATTAAATTGTCAAATGTTGTCTGACGTCAAGTCTAAGATATAATCTTACCTGTCAAATCAAACTTGTCTATGTCATCGTAACGGTTTCTCAATGTCATTGGCCAGGGATCTGTTTTCTACAGGCGTATATGGTGTAGACAGCAGGGGTTTATTATAGCCAGCGTAAGTAATCTGGTAGTTGGATAATGATCAGAGTTGCTTCCAGGTATCTCTTCGGGGGGCGAACGAGATGGAATTTATATAGTAAACATACACTTTTACTAGTGTCCGCACCCCCGAAAAATGTTGATCGCCCCCCCCCCCCCCCCCCCCGAAAATATCAAGTGCCCCCCCCCCCCCCCCCCCCGGATAAAAAAGTCTGGAAGAAACACTGATAATGACGTCGTTGGGGCAGAGTCGAGGAATAGTTTACAAGAACAATGCCCCCAGAACAGGGGCGATCCTCAAAAACGAGACACAAAAACAATGCCACGAGATGATGCTTATGAACAATGTCCTAGTATGATACCCCCTAATGACAACACACAAGAACAATGGCCCCAGAACAGTCTAGGGACGATCCTTAGAAATGAGGCACAAAAACAATGCCCATGAACAATGTCCTGGTATGTTGCTCAAGAAAAATACACATTCACGATGCCTAAAGACAAGGCCTAGGCACAATATGATGATATCCCATATCTAATTTAGTGCCGATATCCAAGATCAATAGCCTAGCAAAGACTTCAGTGGCCGGTTGTTGTTGTTTTTAGACAATTTTCTCCAGGAGGTATTTAAACTTTCGCGGGGGGGGGGGGGGGGGGTTGGTGGGGGGAGGCGGACACTCACTTTTTAAAATACATATTTTGTATAAAATTCTATTACGTGAGGGGGTGAGGGAGAGGCGGTACACGTGCCTCGGTATTCCCCCCCCCAGATCCTTCCGTGAAGATGCCCGAAAGAAACCCTGCCCATTGTGGTCTTTTTATTTGAGAACCACCACAACAGCCAGAATTTTCGCCTGTCCTTCACTGTCAATCATGTAAGCTAAAATTTAATTCGCCTGATTAAAATTCCTCCGAGCTTATGAAATCACGTCCCTCGGTTTGCCCTTGCCTAATGGGACGTTTTCGGAGGGCCATGCGGCTTAAATTTGGACCCAGCCCCTAATTGACTGGGCAACAAACGACCCTAAGCAGGTGGATTAAGGGATGAACATGCCTGTCTTGGACAGAGCTCAGCCTGACGGGCCACTTGACGCAGGTATTCCCATCCATCATCTGTCGTCATACATCAGTGATTACCGGGACTGGAAGGATGTGTTCACGCTTGATCAAAACCTGTTAGCTGCCTCAAAGAGAGCCATTTTAGGGGTCGTTCATAAATGGCTGCGCATATTTTTTTGGGCGATTCCTCTTTTTCTTCTTTTTCGTTCTAAATATTAGTGTTGGAAGAGATTCCCTTTAATACATTTAAGTATTACGTGTCAACTCGTTATGCGCCCTATAGGCCATTGAATCTGATTTCAGCCTATCTTTATTTTCGGATTAGCGTCCATAGCCTTCGTCCAACCAGGAACAAACTATTAAGGCAGCAGTTGTTGGATTTTGGAGTTGTCTCTCCTAGATGAGTGGCCGTCCCCAGCTATCGAGCCTCATCTGCCTGGGGATTCGAGCTCGGTATGTTTCGGCATAAGCAACCATGAGCTTTAACGCCCTGTTTAACTAAATCCAAAAAGAAAAGCAGATCGGAGTCAACCGGCCACACGGCCCATAACATATTGTCACGTAATACTTAATTGTGTTGGAGGGATTTATAATTAAAAACTTAGAAGACGATTAACTATGGCTGATACTTTAAGAGTTCCATAACATAGAACTGGCCACATTCGCCTTTTATTTGCCTTTAATACAAACAGGTAAACTCTACTATATCAGCACATTTACCGACTAATCCGAAATAGCACTTTATAAAAGACTGCAGGTTTTAGGACTGACGAAGCAAAGTCAACCTGTTACAGCATCCAGTCTTATTTT